TCTCTTCATTGCACCCCTTCATTGCACCCCTTCATTGCACCCCTTCATTGCACCCCTTCATTGCACCACTTCATTCCACCACTTCATTCCATCTCTTCATTCCACTTCTCCATTCCACCCATTCATTCCACCATCAATTCATTCAAAATTTCTTAAAGGAGAGGTATGATTTACTAAATCCAGCTCTAATAAAACCAATTTTGATCTCATAGCTGTATTGTAAGTTTAGATATCAAGCTACTCATACCAATTTTAAACTGAAACACGAGCTATTCCTTTTTCTTGGAGCCGGAAATGTTTAGGCCGAATCTTTCCTTTCCAAGAGAGGCATTAAAATGGAATTTTTAGAATATGAGAAAAGGGAAAAGCAACAAAACTCACAAAAAAGTGTTGCAGAAATTTTCGGGAATTAGTTGACGTTTGGTAGAAAAGTTAAAACAATATTCGGAACGAAATTTGTTCCAAGAATAGATGATCAACGAGTTTACCGAGTTTTCATCGTCACTTCTCTGTTCTGATCCTTTAAAAAGGATTAGGATTAGTGCTTTCGTTAAAACTTGCAGCTTCTTCCAAAATTCCACAATATGCTCATTCAAAAAGAAATCTACAAGAGGGCAAGCTTTCGAAAGAATCTTGTAACAATGACATTCAAAAAATGAAAGAGCTCAAAGTCTGTGAGACAAGACAGTGATACTGTGAATTCATTTTTGAATTGTGAATTTCAAATACTCAGTTAGATTAACAAGTTGTACTTGTTGTACTTGTTAAGTTAGATTAACAAGTTGTACTTGTTAATCATATTCACATTTAAACCAGTAATCAGAGCACTTATTTCTCATTCAAATAGCGATGTTGAATCACTCTCAAGAACACGATAAAGTATTGTTCTTGTTCTTGTTCTTGTTCTTGTTCTTGTTCTTGTTCTTGTTCTTGTTCTTGTTCTTGTTCTTGTTCTTGTTCTTGTTCTTGTTCTTGTTCTTGTTCTTGTTCTTGTTCTACTATTTCTAGTATCATTCAAAAGCTCAAAATCTTCTCTATTTAACGATATAAAAAGTTAAGAATGATCTGATTTCTGGGGAAGGTTATTCATCTTTCAAGTAAACTACTCAAATTCCTTGCCTCTATTCGAAAGAATAGTACTTTTTGAAGCTATAATCGAGCTGATTACAGTCAATTTTATCACTAAAACTTGCCAAGACGGTAAATGAAATGCGGAAAGATTTGGATTGATCGAGAGAATTGTGAAAATTGAGTAAAACAAGAAGAAAAACAAGGAAAACAAGGTTTTTTCTTTGAAAGCGTGGAAAAATCGGTAGAAAAGGCTTAAATGGTCAATGTTTTTAGATATGGTGAAAGAGATTTATCTTTGGAAGAAAAGAATGAAAGAAACAGAAGAAAGGAAAAGAGAGATTCGGTCATAAGATGTATACATCTCATTTTGTGGGCAGGAATCGATCACTCACTAATTTCGCTTTGTTTTCGGTAAGGAATCCCAAGTTTTAACCTTAATAAACCTTTAACAAGTGTACTTTATGCTCAAATTTTGGGTAAACACCGTCCTGGCGCACTAGTTTATTGCAAACTGTTGCGCTTTCAGTGCACTAGAAGGTTTGTGTTTCTATAGTCAAAGAAAATTAGTCTATTACAGCACTAATCTCTACTCAACATAGAATTTGGAGGGTGCACTTTGTACTCACAATATGTAAACATCTGTTTCCTGGCAAACAGAGAGCTTGGTTAAAGGGTTTAGTCTGCAATATCAATAATAAACTGCAGTATCAATCTGTAATATCAACAATAAACTCAAAAAGTATCTACGTCAAAATCCATCAGATTCATGAGTTTTTCTTTCAATTTCTTCTGAACTTTCAGTTATTTATTTCCTTTTTTTTTCATTTAGGTCAAAAACTCAAAAGATTGACGAAAAAGCCATTCATTACGATGAGAATTATTTAGCTGAAGAAAGATTTTCGCTTTAAATCAAAAGAAAGAATTCTTGATTCTCAGAAAAGTGAATAAAAAAAGTGAACCTTTGAAAGTCAACCTTATTTTGGAAATTTCTGGGTAATAAAAACGAGATTTTGTCTCGAAAAACAGCTTCAATAAATATTTTCAATTGAAATCCTCTAGAGAAAGATTGGTAAAGAAATATTATTCTAATTTAGACATAAAATAGAAAACTTTGAATTCGCTTCATGTACAATGATGTTCAATGATGTACAATGTACAATGATGTACAATGATGTTCCCCAGGGACCATGAACTTTGTGCGTTTACGTAACCGCTTGCTTTCTGGCGTATCACTTAATATGCTTAATCCGCATTTTTGGCGAATAATGCAGCGAATATAGCCCTAAATGATGGTAATCTAAGGATAAATTTGGTAATTAGTGCAAAGATAAATATCATTCTTATATTAGGTTGATGCATAAGTGTTTTTGTTCCTTTTCGTCTGCCGTTTGAAGCCAACAAATGCACCAATTAAACCACGGTTGATTTCATTAGAAAAAACCAATTATTTTTCTGCAAAATAACATTAAAACGGGTTTAAAAATATTTAATGCCTGGATTTTCTTGAGAGTATGAAGTCGGGTAGTCAAAAAGGGCTAACTCGATGATGCGGTTTAGACACCTTAGCTAAAGAAAACCTATCTTCGTGTCAATAGATAAAAGATAGAGAAAAAAAACGTTTGATATTTCGCCAAAATTTCAGAGAAATTCATTCAGCCAATTTTTCCGTAGAGTTTTTTATAGATTTTTACGAAAAAGGCGTTTTTCACTCTCGAATTTGCTTGAAAGTGAACCGAAATTCATTTAAAAAGATGCAAATTGAACAAAAAAACACTTTTTTTATAGAGCAAACTATAGATTAATTGGTGAATTTGTTACTTTTTAACAGAAGTACGAAAAAAAACGAAAAGACTTATGCATCAACCTATTATAATATTCAAATCTCAATCAACAATTGACAAAAAGATTAGCAGAAAATTAGCTTCTCATTAAAAGAAATAGTAATCTCAATCTGCTCTAATACAAACGGTAGATACATCTTGGTTACTGCCGAGTGGGTGGCATTGGGTGCTGAATGGGTGGTTTAAACATTTAGGGGCTATATGTATGCAGCTTCGATGGCTTTTATCCCTTTCATTTTATTGAGTTTTCTCACAATCGGCATTATCTCGATGTTAAAGCGAAAAGAATCGATTAATGCGACTATTGGTTAGTTGATTCACCATTCTTTCACCATTTATGGGGATGGGACAAATGCGATCTTTTTTTTGCACACCTGGACATTTGCGCACCTTTTTTTTTGCTGGAAAAGGCCTTAGGAAAGGTCGTAAAGCTTCAAAAATGTTTTCATAGAAGGGAATCGTATACGTAGATTCCGAATTTCGACAAATCAGACCTCGCTGACACGTCAAATTTGGGCTAAAAGGCAAAAACTACGCAACTTAACGCTTTTCCGCAGTTTTTGCCTTTTAGCCCAAATTTGACGTGTCAGCGAGGTCTGATTTGTCGAAATTCGGAATCTACGCATACGATTCCCTTATATGGAAATATTTTTGATCAGAAATATAAACTTGGCAATTAGTGCAAAAATTTCGTATCAACAATTGACAAAAAGATTAGCAGAAAATTAGCGATTCTGATTAGCAGAAAATTAGCTTCTCATTAAAAGAATAGTAATCTTAATCTGCTCTAATACAAACGGTATTAAATATACAAACGATAAATGAGGTTGAGTAGGACTGAATCTAACTGTAACCGATAAAAATCTATCCGTTTTCTTATCCAGAGCTTTCTTATTTCTTATCCGTTTTCTTATCTTATCCAGTTTTCTTATTTCTTATACAGCTTAAACTTAAAACCTTTCAAAATAATGATGAAAGTTTTGAGATTCGGATGCAAAGAACACTTCTGAAATCCTTTTTTTTCCAAAAAGAGAGTACTTCATATAAAAAGCATTAGCTTCAAAACAAAGCCTCAAAACTCAAAACGAAAACAAAACAAAACCCAAATCAGTCACATCAATTCTAATCCTTTTTTTCAAGACCTCACAAAATTCATTTGCATCTTTGGCTTGACATTTTGCTTTTTCTGATTTGAAAATGTGGCCGAATTATTTGAACGAAGATTTATTTGACTTAAGAAAAGTTTTATTTATCTTAAAGTGAATGGGGTAAACTTCGCACTCAAGAAGGCAAGAGATTTTTGAGAATCAAGATAAATATTTGAATCTTAATATTATTAGAAAATGGAAACTCGAAAAAAGCGGTTGACCTTTACATCAACTTTACAAATTTGCGCCTTTTCATCCGAGTTTTGGAGTGAATGGGGTAAACTCTGAAGAAGTCAAGAGATTTTTGAGAATCAAGAATCAAGAATATCAAGAATTTGAATCTTAATATTGTTAGAAAATGGAAACTCAGCAAATGGATTAATCTTTTACAGTAAAGTGATGCTAATTTATAGACAAAGTGGACAAGAACTTAAGAAAACAAAGTTCAAAACGAAAAACGGGATCCGAGAAATGGAATCATCGGAGAGAAGTGATCGATCGGATCACGGATTCAAAGCGATTTGCATATGAATGGACGGAGAATGTGACCGAATTATCTGAACGAAGATTTATTTGACTTAAGAAAAGTCTAATGTTCATTCATTTAAGTTTTATTTAAATGAATGAACCTTTAAAATGAATCCTTAAGTTTGGACCCTGAAATACAGAGTTTTTCAAAGATTTTGATAGTAAATAGTAGTAGATAGTAAATCTCAATTGATAAATCTAAAAAAAATTGCAGTTTATAAAGCGAAATTTTGGTGGGAAAGGAAAGAAAAATTGCAATTTAAATATTAATTTTTACTAAAAATCAAAATCTGTACAATTTGACAAAGTGAGAAAGTGAGAAAGAAGATTTCGAGGCTCAGGCTCAGGAAAGTGCCTATCCGATTACAAATACAATTGTAGCTAAGCAATATTGTAAATGTTTCAAAACCTAGGCAATCACAGCTCTGTATGAATATTTGATCTTCGAGAATGGTCTCGATTCCATTGTTTCTTTTGTTCGTCGTGTTCTCGTTGTCTCAAAAACTCGTTCATCCATTTCGAGAAGAGCCTCTCGAGCACCTGGCCAAGAGTTTGGACCCTGAAACACAGAGTTTTTCAAAGATTTTGATCCCAAGCGTCATAGATTTAGATTTAAACTTATCTTTCGATGCTTTCATGCATTACCTACCGTAAATACTTTAATAGTACGCCACCGCCCTCGTACAGTCGCGTAGTCGCAAAAGTTTTTTAGTATTTCATTTTTTTCAAAGCGCTCGTACTTTCAAAAAATGGGTCTTTGGTATCAAAAAATAGCTGAAATTCAGGGCTATTTTTTGATAACTAAGCGCGCATTGTAGCATAAACCAGTGTCGAGAAACACTCGTTCAAAGCTAGACTACACAACACTCCGCACCGTCATCATCTGTGGTATCAAAAAATAGCCCTGAATTTCAGCTATTTTTTGATACCTAAGCGCGCATTGTAGCATAAACCAGTGTCGAGAAAAACCCGTCCAAAGCTAGACTACACAACACTCCGCACCGTCATTATGGGGGTGGGGTACTATTACAGTATTTACGGTATCTTTCGATGCTTTCATGCATTACCTAGCTCACTGTCAGTTACTAAACTATGTCTAAATTAATTTAAAGGAAATAATACAGCTTTCGAAATACCCAAGCGCTGACTCTAATTCGAAAAACTTACATCTAATCGATACTGATACGGAGCTAATCCATGAAATGAAAGCACAAATGCTAGCGCCGGATCCTTCACCCAACGTGTCCACAATTTTGGCCTTACACCAATCATTCTCGCGAGTTCTTCCATAAAAGAAACATATTCAACCTAAACTCAATCTTTATTTGGCTAAGAGAATAGCTGAATACTTGAATGGTATGCCTTCTGCTGGCAACGAAAACCTTCTTCATCTTTTCCAATTTCTTCTTGATATCGCTTTTCATTTCCTTCTCACCAGGCAATGCCAGCTCTCCAGCCAAAGCTCCAGTGAATACCCTGATCAAATATCAAATGAATAATGACATTCAACTGTTTCCGAACCTTGCTTGCATCTCAGATATTGGCATGATCGAGCCAGCTGGTTGAATGAGACCGATAACAGCAAGGGTATTCTGGAATTGATAAGGTTTCTTCGGTGAAAACGAAGCTCACATGTTTCGCTAATCCAGGTGGATACATGAACTTATAAAGTTCAACTCGATTCTCCGTCACTGGGATCAACTTTCCCTCTTCAACCACTGGGAATCCAATGGAGTAACCAGTTGCAAAAATTATCTAAAGATAAGATAGATAAGATAATCATTGAACAACTGACAATATCAGCTTTGATGATAGTTCCATCTTCAAAGATCACTCCATCTTCTGTAAATGATCCAATGTTTGGTTTCACCTAAAAATCTATCTTGAAAGAAGAGATTTCTTCTAATCTACTTACCACAACCATTCCACAAGCAATTCGATTGGGTAATTCATCATTGACTGTCAAATGAGCCTCTAATGGACGATGCTTTGGCTTGAGACCGTAACGACCGTGATCACATCTGAAAGGAGATCATTTCCATGGATATTTTATTGAGAATATGTAATTGATCAGCTTAAAGCGGTTCTCGAGATTTCGAGGAATTTAGACGACGCTTAGGGTGCACTACTATTAGAGAAAATAGGGTATTTTTTAATTTTTTAATTTCCTTTTTCCTATTTCTATTTCCTACCTGACAGTCAGCTTGTTCGATAGAATCCAATTTTGTAACCAAAAGGGGAAACTTTTTCGGAAACCGTTGTTGACTCTAGAAATAGATTAAGATCTTTAAATATATGATATCTCAACAGAAATGAAGATACCTGTTCAAATATGCTAAATCATACGGTTCACCCATGTCCCAGATTCGATTCATCACCCAGGTGCCCGATCGAGTCGCGAGATAAACCTGTAAATGATAAAAGATGTACCGTATTTTCTCTAATAGTAGTGCATCCCGGCGAGCCGAGTTGGTCACTATTTTACGGTTTCCAAGCTTTTGCAGAAGCTCTTGCAGATTTTGTTTATCAGAAGTATTGCTTAAAACCCTCCTAAAGCCAAATTGATCATGAACTGCTTACCATTCATTTGGTTAGAAATGAACCAAAGCTTTTCATTGTTTGTGAAAAAAAGAGCGGATAATTTGCTTAATTATCCGTTGTATCCGACGCATCAAAATTTTTCTCCATTTCTTTGCTCTTTTGTTTCAAATGCCGTATTCTCTCTAATAGTAGCGCACCCCGCCGAGTTAATGCCTATTTTACGGTTTCCAAGCTTTCACAGAAGCTCAACACTCTAATCCCCCACAAGATCTCATCATCAGCTACATTTTCCGAACTACAATAAGCGGTTCTCGAGATTTCGAGGAGCTCTGGGTGCACTACTATTAGAGAAAATAGGGTATATAAAAAGCAGTTTTATTGGCAGGATACTTGTAACTAGGATTTTATAATATCTATTAGAATTATACCGTATTCTCTCTAATAGTAAAGATATGGAAATGTTATAGATATTATGAAAAAAGACTTATAGTTGCTGTAAGGTTGCCGTATTTTCTCTAATAGTAGCGCACCGCGGCAAGCCGAGTTGATGACTATTTTACGGTTTCCAAGCTTTTGCAGAAGCTCAACACTCAAATCCCCGACAAGATCTCATCGTCAGCTACATTTTCCGCCCCCACATCGATAGGTTCTAATAAGCGGCTCTCGAGATTTCGAGGAATTTAGGCGACCATTAGGGTGCACTACTATTAGATAAAATATTAGGTATTAGATCTCTATCCAGATCTCGTTTCTTTTCCCTTTAAAACTAACAAATTCACGAATATGAACTTTGTTTTACTAGAAATGACTTTCATCATGATTTACTGGTCATTACCGGTCTGAAAAAGAAACCTTCTCAGCGACTTTGCTCAACTCGACACACAAATCCCCTCCACTGTTCCCAATACCAACAACAATGACTCGTTTATCCTCAAAACCCTAAAAATTAATTCATTTTATTTAAATTAATAGAAAATTGGTTAATTTGAACAAATAGCCTCAAAAAAAAACGATAAAAATAAAAATCTTTTTCCCTTTTCCCTATTGTTACCTTAAAATCCTTGTACTGATGACTGTGAATGATCTTTCCTTTGAAGAACTCTTGTCCAGGAAACGGTTTAGGCCAATATTCTAAACAATAAATCACTTAGAATAAAGATGAATGTTCTTTTGGATGTGCTGTCATCCTTTCAAACCTTCTGTATGATGCCCTGTACACACCATGACTCCATCAAAGATATCCGTTGTTGTCTTTTCAGTTCTAAATTCGAATCTTTACCTTTTGCCCACTGCAACTATTGGGTTAAAAGCTTACGTTAAATCTGTATAAGTGACAATCCATCGTCCTGATTCATCAAAATCTGGCGCTCTCGCCACATTTGACACAGAATGTTCAAGCTTGATGTAACGCAAGAGATCGTTGCTGAAATCATGGACTTGTTCGAGTGCACCAGAAAGCGTGTGTTTCTCATCGAATGCCAAAGAACAAGCCTAACACTCACTGTTCAGCGTATGCCCGAAAATATCGCAATAATTCGGAGTTGTGCATGAAATTTGCAGCCTCTTTCGGTGGTGGGAAATCGCTGAAAGAGTATTGATTCATTGCAAATACCTTTTTAAAATCTACCTGTAAGCTGTCATTTCCTTTGATGTATTGATGACAGTCGATCTCATTACAGAACCCTCTCCTGAATATTTGATGTTATTAGAGTAATGGGATTCCTCTCTTGAATTTGATGTTATTACAGTAATCGGATTCCTCTCTCACCTGGGCATGGATCAGCTTTATACCTCCAGAGACCACCAATATCGTTCGATTTCTCGAAACATGTCACCTGTAAAGTTAATATTTTCGGGATTTTCGGGATTTTCCGCTTTGTTTTACTAATAATTTTGTGAAAATTGAAAGATAAACAAAACTATTGGGTTGGAATTGAAATTGAAAACTATTGGAATTGAAAGCTGCCGGCTATTGTCATATGTGACAGTTTGAGCACTTTCTTCAAAAGAAACCCATTTTGGTGTCAATGGAGAAGTTGTAGAGAATCAAAAATCAAGCTTATATCCAAATTTTCAGAACGATTCAAAAACTGGTTTTCAAGAAATGCCAAATTTACGAATTTTCACAAAACTTGCATTTTAAGCGAAACTACTAAGTGTATCTTTTTGGAAATTTGGCTATAAGCCTCATTTTTGATTCTCTACAACTTTTCCATTGACACCAAAATGGGTTTCTTTTGAAGAAAGTGCTCAAACTGGGACATCTCCAGTCCTCCATTTTTGAGTCTCACACTTGTCTCACACACAAACCAAAATCCTACGAAGAAAGAGGGATCCACAAATTGCCTGTAAAATGGGCAGAAGTCGTCAATAATAATATAATATTTGTCTATAATCTATCTATCTTTTCTTACATTTCTTACAATAAATAGCCTTGTTTGGGAACTTTTGGCGCATTCCCCATACAGTCCGGACCTCGCCCCTTTTGATTATTATTTATTCCGGATCATGAGTAATGAGCTTGCGGGAGAACACTTCGATTCGGAAGAAGCAGTCAAAAATTGGCTTTGAAAGTTTTTTGATTCAAAACCAAAATCCTACCACGAAAGAGGAATCCACAAATTGCCTGTAAAATGGGCAGAAGTCGTTAATAATAATGGAAATTATTTGGAATGAATTCAAATTTTGGAATGAATAGTTTTATGTTGAATAAATTTTAGTTCAAAGTCCGGCAGTTTTCAATTCACTAACCTAATAATTTATGAATGTCTATTAGATGGTATTAACTATTGTTTTGATATTAATTGTTAACAATGATTTGATTATCCATTGAAAACCTTGACCATTTCTTCCTTTTTCGATACTCGTTCATTGATTCAATAAATTTTAGTTCAAAGTCCCGCAGTTTTCAATTCACCAACCCAATATTTTAGTGATTCGATAGACCCAAATCTCCTCTTCAAAACTACTACAAAATTAGCGAAAACTTTCTGCGAAATGAATAACAAACTCCTTAAAAACTTGAGTTGACACCGGTATCTTTGTGAATGTATTTATAATGTAAATTTTGATTTCCAAGAATTTAGAGCATCGCAAATGTGCTGACTCTTGAAAATCCAATTAGTCGACCTTGAAATGTCTCTGAGAAAGCCTAGGCGACAAATTAGCTAGCGCGATTTAGCCACAAAATATTCTATAAACTCTTTAATTATTTTCCAACCTTAAATCCTTTTTCAATGGCTGACTTGATCGCGGGAAGTCCTGATGCACCGGCACCGATCACACAAATCTTCATCTTTGATTGAATTGAGAAAATGGATGTGGAAAGGGGAGATTGATTTGATGATGAAGGACAAATGGGAGAAGGAGAAGAGGGGGACAATGGAATGCCTTTTTTTCGTCTCTTTAAACTTTGTGTGCTTGTCGTTTGACTTTGTGGTTGTGAGACCTGAAAAGGAACAATAAGTTCGACAACTCAAAAAAGAGTCAAGACAACATTTGGTGAACATCTTCAATTTTCATTTCAATTAGGAAATGTTTCAGCTATAACAATAGCTTGAAAAGGACAAATTCCCGGATAGGGAGCCGGTTTAATTACGCGGTTTAATCTGTGTATCCCTTTGATATCGTTCATCGGAAAATCTGCATGGGGTCAATAAAATGAAAACTCACAAAGAAAATCCTATAGTTTCTTTGAATAACTACAATTATTAAGGCTAACTGAGAGCTAGAGTGAATACCATTCATCCAGAAACACTTACAATTGTTTGCATTGAGAACAAAATGTATACAAGTTTACAGAAATAAACTCTGTACTATTAACTTCTTCTGGAAAACTCACAATTTGTTTATATCCATTGTAGTGATTTAGATAATGATTTAAAATATTTGGCACCATGATTTCAGTAAATTTAGACGTAATAGGTCAAATGATTGGAAAGGAATTTTGGGGAAATCATGGAATAAAGAGAAAAGAGAATGGGAAGGGGAAAGGAAGAAGGAAAGAGAGAAGGAAGAGGAAGGGAAGAGAAAAGGAAGAGGAAGGAAAGAGAAAAGGAAGAGGAGGGAAAGAGAGAAGGAAGAGTAGGGAAAGAGAAAAGGAAGAGGAAGGAAAGAGAAAAGGAAGAGAAAGGAAAGAGAGAATGAAGAGGAAGGAAAGAGAGAAGGAAGAGGAAGGAAAGAGAAAGAGAAAACTAAAATATCATCTAATCAAAAAAAAATTGATAGCTTTTATTGAAAAAATCGAGAAAGAGAGAAATTGACCAAACCCGACAACTTTTGAAGTCATTTTTGAGAGAATCATTTGGTCAAAGATGATGAATGCGGGTGAAAAAGTGAAGAAATCGGCTGATACAATTGAAATTTGAAACATTTTTGATCGGAATCGCTTTTCGAACTAGGCAAGAGTGAATAGTCAGCTTTTTTTTGCATTACATATTGCTTCTGCATTAGTAGAAGTGCACCAGAAAAGCTAAGTTTCCATTTCTAACAATAGCAATTGTTTTTAACAAAAGAATTTCGTTTCTTTTAGAAAATTACCCAAAAGTTTTTAAGCGGTTGACCTTTGCATCAACTTTACAAATTTGCGCCTTTTCATTCTCGTTTTGGAGTGAATGGGGTAACTCCATACTCAAGAAGTCAAGAAGTCAAGAGATTTTTGAGAATCAAGATAAATATTTGAATCTTAATATTATTAGAAAATGGAAACTCGAAAAAAGCGGTTGACCTTTACATCAACTTTACAAATTTGCGCCTTTTCATCCGAGTTTTGGGGTGAATGGGGTAAACTCTGAAGAAGTCAAGAGATTTTTGAGAATCAAGAATCAAGAATATCAAGAATTTGAATCTTAATATTATTATAAAATGAAAACTCAGCAAATGGATTAATCTTTTACAGTAAAGTGATGTTAATTTATAGACAAAGTGACCAAGAACAAGACCAAGACAAAACCAAGACAAGAAAACAAAGTTCAAAACGAAAAACGGGATCCGAGAAATGGGATCATCGGAGAGAAGTGATTGATCTATGAGATCAAAGCGATTTACATATGAATGAACGATTTCCATTTTCTCAATTTGATCTGATAGGGGAAAGGAAAAGAAAAGAAAGGATTCAGATAAATCTCAAGAAATCAAAGTGGGAAGGGAATAATTCGGGAACGAACAAAAAAGAGGGAAACATCACGATCCGATTCGAAAGGTCAGAAAAAAAAGAGGATAAAAAGTGGTGGAGAAAAGTGTAGGAATTGCAATGCAAAGAAGAAATATTCCTTTAAACATATCGTTTTTGAAACGAAGTACTAGAAAGAATTCAAAATTTGAATTATCAATGAATATATTGAATAAACAGTTTGATTAATAACGTTTTTATTGAATTAAACTATTTACTTTGTTCTACTTTGTGTCTAAAACGTGAACATACTCTAGCTGACGCACTCAATCCTTTGTTTTCTTTGTGGCATTTCTGTGAGAGAAAGATGCCGAATTGAGTGCGCCAGGAATGATATGTTTCTGTTTCCATTTCGGGCACAAAGTACAGTAGTAGATAGATATGTAGTAGTAGTACAGTAGTAGATAATAGATGAATGCTTGTCAAAGAAAAGATAAAAACACTCAAATATCTAGACATCTTACTGTAACAAGAACCAATTTTATGAGACAAATGAAGAAAAACCCGCCATTTCCTCGTAAAAAGTGGTTCCTTATGTGCTTGAGTGCTAAAAGAACTCGAGAATTTTGTCAGCATCGACCTTGACAAGTTTTTTGTGTGCTTTTATATCCATTTATGACTACAAAAGGCGTTTTTGAGGAGCAAGAAGTCAAAAAAGTAATAGAAAATCGAGTAGACAAGTAAAAAGGATCTATTTCAAAGATTTCGGGAAGAACTTTTGTTGGGGAACGGTCGGATTTTCGGGAGAACTTGACAGAACTTGTGATTATTTTATGAGAAAAAGATTGGAGAGAAAAAATATTGGGAAAGAGATTGGAATGACATAAATCAGTGATGGGTGAGTGGTGATGGGAAGGGGAATCAGTTGGGGGAGCAGTTACAACTGATTGTTGCTGCTTGGTGGTACAGATCAGACGCTTGATCTACTTGTACACTACTTGTACTTGTAACTTGCTTGTCTACTTGTAAACTACTTGTATTGGGTTGGGGACTATGACTCGGCGCCGAAAATCAAAAAAATGTCTAAAACTTCTATTCGACTTCGTCAAATAATATGCGTTTGATATGAGTAGAATGGTTAACTAATTCTCTACAAAATGACATTTAAAAGAAAATTCAAACAGCGCCTCCGCTCAAGAAAAAGCCATTTTTTCACAAAAACTACAAACTGTCATCTAGAAAAAACCATTGGTGGGATCTTCCTGCAAATTTGGCAACTGATGTAATTGAATGTGCTCTATCTTTTTTATATAAACACCAAAGAAGGTTTATGTGAAAGAAACTGTTCAAATGATGAGTCGGGCTCTTTGCCATTTTGACTAGCTGCGTTTGGGAGTCCATAAACTCCACGAAAGAAAAGCTTTGTGGAATCTCTCAAAAGTCATTTTGTAGAGAAATAGTGGATCCTTTTGATGAAACCAAAGGTATATTTAAAGAAGGCTTTATGTGTGCAAAAAGTCCCTTTAAAGTTTGGCGCCGAGTCATAGTCCCCAACCCAATACTTGTAACTTGCTTGTCTACTTGTAAACTACTTGTACTTGCAACTTGCTTGATCTACTTGTACACTACTTGTACTTGTAACTTGCTTGTCTACTTGTAAGCTTGCTGATTGTTGAATGCAATCAGTCAAAGAAAAAGAAGGTTCAGATTAAAAAATGTGTCAGATTTTGTTAAATTGGGAAAAAGTTTATAGAAAGGCGACAAAGTTAAGGCAGAAATTGGTACATTTGGCACAGGTAAGTTTTGGCTTTGAAATGAAATGATTTTTTCGTAATCAAGCTTGAGTTTTAAATAAGTGAGAAAGTTCGGAGTTGAATAGAAGAGTCAAGAGATTAGATAAACATCTAAACAAGAAATTACCCAAGTTTTTTTCTTGTTCTAAAAAAGAAACTTCAATAAAAAGTAAGCGAATAGACATAAACGAGTGAATGCAGTCAGGTAAGTGAGAACTCAATCGAAAGATGAGAAAATAGGTGTGAAACTGGTTGTGAGAGAAGGAGAAATAGATCTCTTCTATTCAAATCTATTCAAATCCCCAATAACAAAGCCACAATAAGCTTTAGATGGATTTGGGAGAAGCTTATCTAAACTATATTCAACTTTCTTTCAAAAAACCAATTCAAAACCAAGAGAAAAAAGTTTAAAAAGTTATTTTGCTGAAGTAGCTTTAGTATAGATGTTAAAAAGTACAAAGTTGGTAAAGGGGAATTGTTTGAACGTTGAACTAGACTCAGCATTCAGCTTTGAACTTTGAACTTTGAACTAGAGAATATAGAGAACTCATAATCTATAGAATTATTTTCAGGATCTCTATTTATTACAGTAGACTTTTCACGGTTTTCTTTAGACCAAATCTACATTACAGTATACAATGAGATTTAAAAAGCATTCAGCCAAAGCATTCAACCAAAGCATTCAGCAAAGGCACCCAGCCAAAGCCAAAGCATTCAGCCAAGGCATTCAGCCAAGGCATCCAGCCAAAGCCAAAGCATTCAGCCAAGGCATCCAGCCAAAGCCAAAGCATTCAGCCAAAGCATTCATCCAAAGCCCAAGCATTCAGCCAAAGCATCCAGCATTCAAGAAATTCTTGATTTCTTTGATTCGTTTTAATGGAATCCCAAATGGAAACATTTGCCGCTGATGAGAAAAACAGATTTCGATTAGATTTTGATGGATTTTTCTTGAAGAGGAAAAGAAAACATTCCTTTTTTCAAAAATAGACATCAAGAAGAAATTCTAAGTGTTGATTGACCTCTTTTAATCAATCAAAATCACTTTCCTTTCAATTGATCGATCAATCTGAAAAAAGCCAGTTTTTATCTCCGAATTTGCTCCATTTTCTTCAAAGAAATTGGCATTTCTCCATCAAGTTTTTCCAAAGCTTTATAGTTAAAATAAACGTTTTTTCTAATAATCAAAGATAAATTTCTTTATTGCAACGATCAATATTCCACCCGTTTTCTTTGAAGAGGTCACTCAAAATAACAAAAGGCTAAGAGAAAATCTGGCAATTCGAAAAAGAAAAGAAGAGATCGATTTAAAAAAAAGTAATCAAAAACCGATTCTAAGCCCACATTGTCTTATAATTTTTGAAATATTCATCAGTTTCAGTTTTTGGTCGAATTGGAGTCACCGAGATCGTATTTCGACGCTCGCCTTTCCGGCGTTTAGCGAAATTTGAAAGGAATTGCAAGAGTCGGTGGACACTGAAATTCTTTCATCAAATTTTATCAGTCTTTAAATCTATTATTTTAAATAGATGTCGTAGCCGAAAAGGTTTTTCAGTCGATATGGTTTTCCCTTTTTCGATTAGCCGAGAAAATTCAAACCTTTTCGGCTATATTTGTATCTATAACTTACGAATCAGCTTCAGTTCGGACAATGCATAGAACGTAGAAAATTCGCTGGTAGAAATCGAGCTGAAGTGTAGATTTTGAGAAAAAGAAATGGTAGATTTAAGGATTGTTGAATTGTGTTTGCGGCCAAAAACACGGGAATCCAGCCGCCGGGACCGAACCCTCGACCTCACCACTAGAATACAAGACTCCTAGCCACTCGGCCACAGACCAATCGGGACTGCCGTCTCTGTTTACAAACTTATAGGCACTTTCGCGATGAATCTTTAAATCCTTGAGGGTCTAAGATTAAGATTGGTGATCTATAAAATAATTTGAACGCTTATTGCTAAGTCTACAAGTGTATACTGTAACTGTAAGATCCTTTAGCTTTTCTTTCATAATTACATGTTTTTCTGGCACTCACCCAATCCAACATTGTCCAACACAATCCCTGTGTGTCTGGTGGAAGTTCTCCAAAAGCAATTGCTGCCAGATTTCCCAAAAGAAATAAGACAGAAAGGAAATTGCTTGCAGTCAATGGGAGAAATAATTTCGCTGAAGCTATCGACTCGGCGATTTGATATCTCTGCAATTTCCATAGTAAATGCATTGCTAGTAGAATATCTACTTTTTTAGACTTTGGATAAGACTATAAAGGGTACTGTAGTTGTAAAAGATTGAACTTTTCTCTAATCAATCAAATTCTGTTTCTCTTTACCCAATTTTTTAGGTTCATTTAGAGTTCGAGCACAAATTTTCCCACTAACTTTTACATGACGTGGGAAATTTTACAAGAACGGTTTGACTACAAAATTTTACCTTTTCTATGATAATGCACGTTCTGGGAAAAAAGATAATTGAACATTTTAGCTTAAAGAAATCTGTAGTTTAAAATTCAATCAACAAGGCATCAAAGATGACGATTTGAGAATGATCAGTACAATGTGTGGAAACATCCAATGTTTGGTGGATTTAATTTGTCAGAGATAAGCAAAATTAGTAGACTGAAGGATACCAGAAAGGCTGTGCTTCTGCTATTGGTTGGAGAGTTGATTTAAAGCTAAATCAACCTGTGACAGTGATGCTCCTTGATGTCTCGTCGACCAGTCTTGTTTTGTTCGATGCAACACATAGCCGGTCATCTAAATTTCGAGAAGTCGATTGAGTTTTAGATCTATTTCTTATCCAAGCACTTATTAAATAACGATCCTGTAAAAAGTAGGAAACTAGAAAAAGATAAAACTATAAAACTTCCAACTAAACAAACTTTAAAACCAGGATTGTTCCAAACAAAGCCAGATCCAGAGTGATGATCTTGCTTGGCTTAGCCTGGCTTTATTGCAAGCTTGGCTAGCAAATAGCTGGAATAGCTGAATCCAGCTTTCGTCTAGCCTGGCTTACAAATATCCCTACTCAAAATAGCTCTTCTATTTCAGTTTGGAAAATGTTTTCCGTCATTTATTCTTTCAATTTCAATAAAACACAATCCCACACAAGCTTTCAAAAGTATGTCAGATGTCAGATGAAAAATGACATACTTATCCATACAGATAAGTATGTCATTTTTACTGACAATGACAAGTAACAATGACATTTTTTATCTGACATCTGACATACTTATCCATACAGATAATTATGTCATTTTTCAAAGATCAAAACGAGAACATTGTAAACTTCATACAATTTGATACAGACATTGTAAATTTCTTTTATATTTTATTTTCAAATTTGATCATTTACATCAAAAATCTTTTATTTCGAATGTTTTCCGTGAATTCTTTATCTCAAAAATCTCTAGAGAATCGAAAAAAAGGCAATAAAAGAAATAAAAGAAACAAAAGAAACAAAAGAAACAAAAGAAACATTTAGAAATGAAATGTTTTCTTTTTATTTGTGATTTAGGAAATTAAGGGCTAATTGGATTATTTTACGAGTCCAGGAATGAAATATGAAATTTGGAACTTAAAAGAATATCTATAAAGTACAAATTTCTAATAAAGAAAGATGAAAAGCTTTTTATTTAAATTTAAATTTATAAATTTACCGGTAAAGTCGATGTTTGCATTGTGAACATCCAAATAAAAGCAAAAGTGTTGAAGAAATCTTCTGAAAATTTCACAAATCTATATAGATTTTTCAATTTTTAAACGAAAATTCAACGAAATTTGTGTTAGAAACGGAAAATGATTCAACAAAAAGATCGATTTTCAAGGAGAAGTCACAAACCGTGTGCTGGATAGGCTGCAATTTTTGAGTGTTTTTGTTGTTTTGAATTTAGGAAAGTTTGCAACAAAACTTACTTGTTGCAATCAGCAGAAGAGTCATCACGATGAGAACGATCAGAAACTGTAAATCTTTTGTTTTAATCTTTTGAAACGATTCCAATTCGAAATTCTAAAACAATTCCAGCTACCCATAGTGTGTACCTTTTATGTCAATCATAAGAAAAAGTGGCATCTGGCACACTGTCCTAGGTAAAGGTCCCGAAAAAGACCTCCTCCCGGTTTAATTACCCAAGTTTTTTTTTCCATACCCGTTTTGTCGAAAAAAGGTTTATCGGAATAGTTTTGAAACAATTCAATTCGTTTATATAAGCGGTGTGTACCTTTTATGTCATTCGTAAGAAAAAGTGGCATCTGGCACACTGTCCTAGGTAAAGGTCCCGAAAAAGACCTTTTTTTGGGTTTAATTACCCAAGTTTTTTTTGCATACACGTTTTGTCGAAAAAAGGTTTATCGGAATAGGTTAAATTTGGGTAATAATAATAATTGGTAAACTGGACAACCGTTCTAATGAAGAATAAGCTTCATCTCCTTTCAATCAAACAAAATCTCTCACCGTTAAAGCCGCAAATCCAAGTTTGACTCGAATCGAATTCAAATGTTCATATCGATTTGTCATTTGTGCACAAATAAAACGCTCGATAATAAAAGAGAAAAATGATCCTCGATACCAATTATATCCAACTTGCATTCCATAAAAGCAAAAATTTGAGATCTAAAAGAATAAACCCTCTGGATTTCTTTCATTTTTACTTGTGCCAGTAAAGCTTTATCTTCCCAATTTAATGTGATAAGGGTAATGATTCGAATGAGAAGCATCCAAAGAACTGAGAGGGTCATCAGAGTGACGTTGAATCTGAAAGAATTCTCAAATTAGTGAAATCAGCTTAGTAACAGCATTTTCTATACGGTGATTGATTTGATTTTGATTATGAAAGCTTTTTAAGGCATTGCATTAATGCGTAATGCATTACCTCATATTCCCATGCAATTTCGTCTTCATCGCTAGCCGAAACGATGTGTAAATGAGAATTGGAATGAGGAAAAGGTAAACGGAATATTCGAGAAAATCCGTTCCTCCCATTCTCTTCAATTAAAAGTCTTCAGATCATAAATATCGCATATTCTAAACTTTTTTGTATTGAGTTGATGGAAAAGAAATTAGAAAAGAGATATCGAAATTCGGAAGATTCGGAAAATGCGTGTCTAGGGGTTATTTTTGACGCCGATCACGAAACACATGTTTTTAGCCTAGGTTTCTGCACGGAAAACTAACGAAACGTGAAAACAGCCATTTTTTGGCTCTGCCGCCCTTTACTAAAATAGCTGTAAAAACTTTTAGAAAAGAGATATCTCAAAACGGTTTTTACCAATCGATCCGTCTTGAATTCAGCTTTAGGATGAGCTATAAAGAGTGAATTGAGAACAAAGAGAATGTGAATTCTCTGTAAACTTGGGTAATTAAACCGAGTCGAAGGCTTTTTCGGGACCTTCACTCAGAGCAGTGTGCTATATGCCGCTTTTTCCTACGAGTGACATTAAAAGAACGCATAAAGGATCTTTAATTCACGAAACATTTCCAAGAACTGGTTAAGAGCTTTCACTACAACAATAAATCTTTCCAAAATTCGCGCATAAAGCTTGTTTCTAATAAATCAAATTTATTAAAAACAAGCAAAAATTAAATAAAATTGATTTTAAAAGTATGAAAACAAGGCTAGAAATTGAAAATTCATAAAATAAAATAAATAGATTCAAATTTGGGGCAAATTTTCGCAAATTTTGACACATTTTTTTGTATCAGAGATCACTTAATTCAATCATTCAATTTTTGAGTATTGTAAATGTAATGTTAAGTATAAAAATAAAGTAAGTAAATGTAAAGTGTAAATATTGAAAAGTTTTCAAATTCAATTCAATTTTGAATTGAATTGAATTGAATTGAATTGAATTGAATTGAATTGAATTTGAAAATGATTACGGTTGTGCAGAAAAGTGGTTCTTTTCTGTGAAATCTTATTTAATGTTTTGATTTGAATGTCTGGTTTTCTTGTCCCGCCAAAGATTGCTTTTAAGATAAAGGGCGGAAAAGGTGGAGCCCACTTTACATTGGCACTTTTCATATTCTCTCCGTATTCCTTTCGTATTCCTTTTGTATTGCCATGAAACACTGAACCAACGATTAATCCTATTTTATTGTATTTCTTGCTAGATTCAGAATAAATATCTAATGATCAACGCCCCTATCGGTATTCTCGCACGACATTGCACAACGGTGGTCAAGTAAAGAAGGAAAGCAAAAACAAGTACGTTGATAAAAATATGTTTTCATCAAATTTGTTATTTCCTTTCGAGTTTAAAGATAATTAGAGAGAGAAATGAAATTCGACGTTTGACAAATCGAGTACAAAGGTTGCTTTCATCGCAATTGATAAGCAAACAACAAAAGTGTTCCTGTTTGAGTATCAAAAGAGTTATTTGGCTAGGTATAAATAGTAATATAAATAGTAAAGTTCGACGTTTGACAAATCGAGTACAAAGGTTGCTTTCATCTTAACTGATAAGCAAACAACAAAAGTCTTCAAGTTTGAGTATCAAAAGAGTTATTTGGTTAGGGATATCCAGTAATTTCCGTTTAAATCCCGCAACAATTCTTTTAAATCATAATAATGCTATTGAAAAATAATGAATAATATCTGAAAAGCAGCTATCATTTAGTTAAAGAAGTTTCCCAAGTAATCGAAAAGTGTTCTCCTGTCATTGGTAGAGGGCAGTCTTCTCGTTCCCTATTCCTTATTCCCATCACTCCTTATTCCCATCACTTATCATATTACTCCAAAGATCATAAACATCAAAGCTTCCTTTTGAGCTAAGTCTAGATTAAAAAATTGAGGTAGAACGGATAAAAACAGGAGCTTTTGTGTGAAAAATTTATGATCACTTACGGAAATTTATGAGAGTCAAGTTTTTTAATTTGAATGTGCAGGGAATGGCGATGTATAGTCACCAAGAAATTCATTTTACTATAAAATTCTTTAAAGGGTACTGTGACTTTTTTTGCAACTGAAATTGAGTGCCGAACAAAATTTATTGTAACAAAACAAGTTGGCTTTGCAAGTATTAGGTTAATGATTTTCGTTTCTTTTCGTAAAAATAATAAATTAAAACCCGTTTTAATATTATTTTCCAAAAAATAATTAGCTTTTCTAATGAAACAAAAACAAAATTCAAATTGGTGCATTTGTTGATCTTAAACGGAAAGACGGAAAGAGGAAGAGTAAGAGGAAGAGGTAGAGGAAAAGGAAAGAGGAAGAGGAAAGAGGAAGGGAGGGGAGGGGGAAAGGGGGAAGGGAGGGGGGGGGGGGGGAAGAGGAAAGAGGAAAGAGGAAGAGGAAAAGGAAAGAGGAAGAGGAAAGAGGAAGAGGAAAAGGAGAAGGAAGGATGAAAAGGAACGAGAAGACTGCCCTCTACCAAGGACAACACTAAATTGCCAAGAAATCAAACATTACTCCATAAACAAAGCAGACTAAAGCTTAATCCAATGAACATTAGCAACAGTATCTCCAAATTCTATTGTAAATGTTCAACCCAAACAAATGAATCGAATCTCGCAAATTTTCCAAGAACCCAGCCAATTCCCCTCAAATTCTTCAACACCAACAATCAACATTTCCCAATTATTTTCGTTTAAATTTCTGTTCAATCAAAAGCCGTCAAAATGCGATTTTCTTGGCTAAAGTGAAAACAATTTTCTTTGATTTCGAATTATTTTAGAGTTTTAGAGACTTTTTGAGGGAATTAAGCTCATTTTCGGAAACCTTTTGGGAAGTTTAAAGGTTTTTCTGTTTATTTTCATTTATTTCAATTCATTAACCCCGCAAATTATTGCGATTTTTCGGGGAAAATCAAAAAAAGCGAAGACGTTCGCGAAATTTGAATTAGAAATTTTCTATTAAAAATGTTGTTGAGCCCTGAAAAAAATGTGAAATGTCAACAGGTGATTCGATTTTTTAAAAAGTGAAATGTTATATTTTTTACGTCAGAAAGAGAATTTATTAAAGAAATTTGGGGAAAATTTGAAAATGCTGTGATTTCAGCATTTGATCTTTTGGTAAAGGAAAAATTTTGGAGTTTTAGGCTCACAAAAAAGACGTTTCAATTAAAATTTTCCCAGCTAATCTCCCACGAAAATTTGGGTTACTTTTTGAGGGAATTAAGCCCATTTTCGGAAACCTTTTGGGAAGGTCACATTTTTGGAGATTTGAATAAAAATGAAACCGGTTTTTTCGAACAAAAATAGCTACCGGAAATACTGTAATTGGACCCCACCCCTATAATGACGGTCCGGAGCGTTGCGTAGTCTAGCTTTGAACGAGTTTTTCTCGACACTGGTTTATGCTACAATGTACGCCTAGGTATCAAAAAAATAGCTGAAATTCAGGGCTATTTTTTGATACTAAAGACGCATTTTTTGATACCAAAGATAATGACGGTGCGGAGCGTTGCGTAGTCTAGCTTTGACAGCGTTTTTCTCGACACTGGTTTAAGCTACAATGCGCGCTTAGGTATCAAAAAATAGCCCTGAATTTCAGCTATTTTTTGATACCAAAGACACATTTTTTGAAAGTACGGGCGCTTTGAAAAAAATGAAATACTAAAAAACTTTTGCGACTACGCGACTGTACGAGGGGGGTGGGGTACTATTACAGTATTTACGGTATGTATTTTAAAAAACTTTTAGTAAGAATTCGAGAATTTTATAAAAATAAGGTTTAGAAGTATTTTGTGTTTAGGAATTATGCAAAAAAAAAGAAGAAATTCATAAGTCTCTGGGGAAATTTTAGAAGAAAATAAGTGTTGCTGTTCCCTGTTTGGAACATTTCACAGTCTAATTTCAAAAAGGTATTTAAATACAATGTAGCAGTTCCTCTTTCGTAAATTGCCATAATTTGGGGTTAGATTGAAGTAAAAACAATGCTTAAAAGGGTAACAATTTAGCACATTTATCCGTTTTGAGTTGAGATGGAATGTAAAAAGCCGTGTCTGCTCACAAAAAAGTTATACTTTACTCAAAATCACCAATTTCTATTTAAAGAACAAGTTTTAATAATGTAAAAATGTAATGCGAGTAAAAATAAAAAGCTTGAATGGGTTTAAATCTAAAAATTGGCAAGTTAGACCGAGCTTGGCTTTACAGGTGCAAGATAGACAACTCAAAGTAGACGTTTACAGATAGACAAGAGAGAGATATCTTAAGATAGACATTTACAGGTAGACAAGAGAGACATCTCAAAGTAGACGTTTACAGGTAGACAAGTTAGACAACTCAAGATAGACATTTACAGGTAGACAAGAGAGACATTTGCAGGTAGACAAGATAGACATCTCAAAGTAAACGTTAGACGCTTACAGGTAGACAAGATAGACATCTCAAGATAGACATTTACAGGTAGACAAGATAGATCTTAAAGATAGACATGTCTAATGTCTATCTTTAAGATAAACAAGAAAAACTCAAATCCGAACCAAATTCCACTTTCGTTTTCTTTTTCCGCTTCCTCTAAAATTTTATCTACAGATAGAAACCCACATTTTCAGAACAATCGACCAAGAAACCGCTGAGAAAATGACGGTGAAATAGGTTCGGATTGGAATATTTCCATGTTTAGTGTCAGTTCAGCTGCCAGTTCAGACAAATTCAGTTCAGTTGAACATCTCTGGACCGGTTACTGTTAAATTGGCTGTAGAACAAGAGAAAACTTTTTTAAACTGGTAACCAATCTCATTCTTTTGTAAAATTAGGTTTTAAAAGATTGGAAAGATTGAAGAATGAGGTTCAAGTTCTAAAATTCTAGAGTTTTAAAATTCTAAAAAAGTTTTAAACTCTGCAATTCTAGAATTACAGAGTTTAAAACTTAAACTCCTTTTGTAAAGAGAATGGTCGATGAAATCAAAGATTTAGAAGAAAATCTGTTAATTTAATCAGAAAGAAGGAAGAATTCTCTCATAAATCAGATCAATTAGCATCAAACATTTCGTACTAATTGACATTTCTTTTGTTTTTCATTTCCCGAGTAAAATCTTCGTTTTTCAGTAATTGAGCAACGTATTCAAGAATCGAAAAATTAAAAACTGAAAAGTTAAAAAGTTAAAAACTTTTTAGCAAGTTCAGAAGCATTTGAGGGAAATTTTGAGTTCATTTTCTTGATGTAACTAGTTCAAAAAATTAAAATAAACACCTGGAAGAGTCGGAGTTGATCAAGCAATTCTATTTTCGAAATATTCGTGCTGGCGAAGGGAACTTTAAGAAGAAAAGACAGACAGTAGACAGATTACAAAAGAAGAATTAACTGAGAAATGATTGTGTCGGGGATGATGTGATGGATGAACTCACTAGAGAAAGGCGCTTGAAATGCCTTTAGCCTTCCATTCACATTCCATCCTTCCATTCACAGACAATTCTTTGTCAATCTCTGGACCATTTCGATAGCCACAAAGCCTATTTGAATCTATTCGATTAGTCTAAAACGAAACATGCATCATTATTATATATTTTTAGTGTTTTGTCCTTTTCTTGTATTTAAATTCATTTGTATTAATCTTTGCATATTTTATTTTTATGTCCTGAATCAAGTATCTATATATTTATATGGTAAACATTCTGAAAAACATTCTCCTCCCATTTTCTATTATTCTCGAAGTCTTCCACTCGGAGATAATCACCCCGGAATCCCCCAGAAATCTCTCCTCAAACCAGGCAATTTTCGAGCATTTCCAAAATTGGACCCTATTTTTAAAAATCTCATATTGATTTTTATGACTAAATTTCAAAAAGATGTGACATGAAGGACAATGAATTTTTGGCAAGTCTGTTCATTTTTGAATGTTTTCAAGAACAAAGTAAGGACAACAGTCAAAAATCACATTTAATCTATATTCTTACATAAAACAAAGCGTTTATTCTTAAAGTTTGATAAATTTTTGGCTAAACTAGTAACCTAAGCTTGACTACTTCTGAAATATCTACTAATCTGTAGGAGTTATTCAAAAGTCTAAAGGCTTGATCGACTAGGCTCAGGTTTAGGCTTAGGCTCAAGCTCAGGCTCAGGCTCAGGCTTGATCGACTAGGCTCAGGTTTAGGCTTAGGCCTATGCTCAGGCTCAGGCTCAGGCTTGATAGACTAGGCTTGGACTTAGTGCGAAGGCTAGCGGCTAGCGCCTCGCACTAAGTCTATTTGGGCTTGGGCTTAAGCCCCATTTTCTGGATCTCTGCCAGTTCTCGTTAGGCTTAGGCTCAGGCTTGATCGACTAGGCTTAGGCTTAGGCATAGGCATAGGCTTAGGCTTGATCGACTAGGCTCAGGCCTAGACTCAGGCTCAGGCCTAGACTCAGGCTCAGGCTCAGGCTTGATCGACTAAGCTGTACTAGATCGACTGTTCTATAGAAAATCTTCAGGTAATGTTTTCAGTTTACAAGAGTAATCGATACCGTCGTTTTTTCACCTAATACTCTTAATTTATTATTCAAAACCGACAGCTGTGATCAAAACCAAATCGAAAAGATCATTGCAATTCTTTTCACTGCCAATTACCAAGAAATCATTAAATTCCATTGGACTCTTTATAGGGTTTCGAATGCAAAAAGTCTTTTCCTTTATATAAAACTATTGTTCCCCTAGCAACTGGACGTCGAGAGGCCTGAAAATTTTTTGATTTTAGCCCAAAAAGCTCAAGAAATTCTCTCAGTCAACCCTATTTTTAAATAATCATTATTTTCATCAAAAACTAATCACTATTTACTCAAATTTGAATCGAAATTCTCTATAATTACTACTGAATGAAAAAGGCTTGAATAGTCTACAGTTTGAATATTCTATTCTTGAATATTCTATTCTACAGTTTTCATGAATGGAAACATGAAAAGAGGAGGGTTGACTCGTGGGTTTTATGGGTATAAATTGATGGATTGAGATCTATTTTTAGAGGATTTTTATGAGAAAACTTTCATTTAATTATAGTCAGATGGTTAAATGGGTCAGATGGTCAGATAAAAAGGTTAAAAATCTTTTCAGAGTTTCAACACGTTAACGCTCCTCATCATTCGCCGCAACAATTGGATAAAGAATATCAAGATGATGCTGTGTGGCTTATATCATCTAGTTTTCTCATTTTCACCATGCATTCGGGTTAGATTGAATATTTGTATTTGTTTTTTTTCCTTTAGACTAAAACCTTTTCGGGGGTTGGCTAATTTCCGCCATTTTATTTGCGCAACTCGCCATAACTTTCTTCTAAGTAAGCCAATATTTATGATTTTAGTTTCATTTTGTAGATCTCAATAAGTGCAATAAAATAACACCAAAATCACAAAGATTAGCTCACTTAGAAGAAAGTTATAACGAGTTGTGCAAAAAAATTTGGCGCAAAGTAGCCACCCCCGAGGAATAAACGCAAGTTTTGCAAGGATGCAAGCATAAATTTTGATCCGTTGCACTTATTGAGATCTACAAAATGAAACCAAAATCATAAAGATTGATCCACTTAGAAAAAATCATAAAGATTGATCCACTTTTTGGTAAGATTTGATCAAAGCTCGTATAAAAAGTTCCTTGTGATATTTTGCCCAATTTGCTTTCAGATTCTGAAACTAGACCATTAATTCTACATCCATAAAAAATTTCATCTCAATTGGTCCCACGTAAGGCTTGTAAATCGATCAGACAAGCCGACGTCTTCTGAAGAAAATCGAGACCGAGCCCTTATAAGCCCTTTTTTCCGCCCGCCGGCCGCGGGGCTTCGTGGCGGGCGCTTGTTAGTCAGCTTCTTGACCGCGGGTGTGGAGGAGAGGAGATTGATCGGGATCGGCCCCCAGCCCACGACCGGACGTCCAAACCAAGTGGCACTTCGCTAGAGGCTGTTTCCCGGAAGGGCGGCAGTCTCGGGCGGACAAGGGGGGACACAGGGACAGAGGCCCGAAAGGGAGCAGGCAATAGTCCCCGCGCGTCACAGTGGTTGGATCGCGTCTGGAGGTTGGGGAATGGTTCCGCCCTCGAATCCACATTTTTTAAAAATTTAAAAATTTGAAAAGTCGGGTTTGCGAAAAGCAAAGGTAAATAAATTATTTTTCCTTGAAAATATCGACCTCTTTTGCTTCTTCTGATGCAGTTTTGTTTACGGTCCTCCTGGCGGATTCAGTCCGACAAAAAAAACCGACTTCGAAAATCGTTTGTCGCTCAAGTTTATCGTTTAATTCCGGTAATTCTCATTTAAAAAGCACTCACCTTTGGGAGTGGGACAAATGTGACCTTTTTTGCGCACCCGGACATTTGGTTTCATTTTGTTGCACTTATTGGGATCTACAAAATGAAACTAAAATCATAAAGATTGGCTTACTTAGAAGAAAGTTATGGCGAGTTGCGCAAATGATCCAGTTGCGGAAATAATCCCGTTGCGCAAATGATCCCGTTGCGCAAAAAATTTCGCGCAAAGTGGCCTATCCCCCTTTTCGAAAACTTTAGTTGTACAGTTGATCAAGGCCATTTCAGGGTTTGGTTTATTGGAATCGGGTAATGTGTCAGCAAAAGATGAGGTGAATATTATGGTGAAGAATGTGGTTGACGTCGTTTGTGGAGGACTCGCGTATTGGGCTGTTGGTTTCGGGTTGAGGTGGGGAAAGTGTGCTCAACTCTTTCCATTTCCATTTCAGCTATGGCTCAGACGGATGGATGGACAATCAGATCGTTGGCTTTGGGCAATTCTTTTATGATCCTGTTAGGTAAAGGTAACTTCTTAATTCTATAAAATAATGGTTATAGATTGGAAGCAAATGTGAATGATGAAGCGTGGGCATACGCTGTTTTTCTGTTTCAAATGAGTCTCGCAACAACAGCTTCAACAATTGTATCAGGTAGATTTCAATTTTCAACTGAAACTAACACAATAAAAGGGTGAATTTCTCGGTGCAAAGATCACTTTTCCATTTTTCCATTTTCCATTTTTCAATTCAGGTGCGGTAGCTGAGAGAGCGAAACTCAAATCATATATTCTATTGGGTATTCTTGTAACACTTGCACAAGCTCTTCCTGCTCATTGGGTTTGGGATAAACGAGGATTTCTTTATCAAATGGGTGTCGTTGATTATGCTGGGTGTGCTTGTGTAAGTAGAAAGAGTTAATTAAGATGAAATTGAATGTTCAGAATCATCTCGTTGGTGGGATTATCGGACTTGTGGCAACTGTTTACTTGAAACCGAGACGAAATCGTTTCATTGAGGACTCTGTTCATCAAATGAGTAGTCCGGGGAATGCTTTGTTAGGTAAAGGACTGGTTCTATGGCTAGTTAAAGTGCCTATTCCTACAAGGAAATCAATTCCGTCCAAGTTAAACTAAGCATACTATAGCTGAAGGCTTAAGTTTACCTTTCAGGTACTTTTCTCTTGTGGTGGGGTTGGTTCGGCATTAATACAGGCTGTGTTTGGGGTGTCTCAGCAGGAAGATGGAGATTAGGTGGAAGGTGAGATCAGGTGAAAACATTCTAATAATAAAAAGAAGTTTTCAGGGCAGCAGTCGCTTCAATAATGACCTCAATTGGTGGTGGTGCTGTGGCAACGATTGTCTCGTACATTCATTGGGACAAATTGCGGGTCGAATTTCCAAATCAATTCTATAATCATAATTTCCAGGTTCAATATCTGATCAATGGTGTCTTGTCATCACTTGTCGCAATCACTGGTAAGTTTAATTTAAAGAAACGCTTTCAGAGGCTTTCAGCATTTGCTCCAATTGCTCAACCCTGGCATGCAGTGATTGTTGGTGGAGTGGCTGCTTTGTTATCGGTATTTTCCAATAGTCTAATCGATAAGATCGTTTGATCAGATCTCCGTTCTTCCCGTTCTTGAGCATTTCCATGTTGATGACCCAGTTGGAGTTGTGCCTATTCATTTAGTCAGCTCTATTTGGGGAATGATTTCTGTGGGAATCTTTGCAAAAAGAGATAGATATGTGGTAAGTGAGAAAGCGTTTGTTTTTTGATAATTGAATGATTAACTTATTTCAGAGTTTTCTAACAAGCATCATTGGATGAATGGGTATTTACAGAGTTGAGAACTTTAGTTTATAAGAAAAAGCATTTGCACTCACAAGATTTCGTACTTTTTGCTTTGGCAAACGCAAACTCGTTGGTGCCCTGGAATTCTTGGATCTTGGCTTGTTTTGAGAGTGCACCAGAACGTGCGTTTGCTAAGGCACAAAGTACAGACTTGCTTTTGTCTTGTTTCTATCTTGTCAGTGCAATTTAAAGCACACCAAGCAGCACAATCTACAAGGCTCTCATTGCTTAAAAGCTGCAGTTTAAACTCACTTTTAAACTACTTTAGTTATTTGCCTGCTAACAAGGGAAAGGCACCAAGATGGCCTTTTGACCCGTCCATCTTATAGAGTCGGCCATGGAGATCTCGAATCCGTTTTTGGTTTTTGCAAACGCCAGATATTTAACAAAGAAAATCACCTTGAATTTCGAACTCCTTGTGAGGCTGTCACACGCTTGCCTGCTTCGGTGGTCCAGTGGATAGTCTGCTAGACTGTTGAACCTGTTACATTTTTGTCCCCAAGTTCTAGTCCCACTCTACCCAAACTTTTTTGCTCTTTTAAAAAAACTATTGTAATTGTAAACTATTGTAATAACCATTGTAAATACGCAGGGAAACAGTTTTTTTAAAAAGCAAAAACGATTGGCAAGAGTGGGGCTCGAATCTAAAAGCAAAGTAGGGAAATGGGTTCGGCAGTCTATCCACTAGACTTTAAAAGTCTATCCACTAGACCACCGAAACAATTATTACACGCCGAAAAAGGCGTTTGACGGTTTCTTAAGGGGATATCTCTCGTTTGGGTTCTGCAAAAACTGAAAACAGATTCGAGTTCTCCATGGCCGGTTTATAAGATGGACTTGGTCTCGATCAAAAGATCAAAAGGCCATCTTGCCTCGAGGCCTTTCCCGTGTAAGTAAAAGAACTTAAAATTCACCTCTCACTTTAGGCGGAAGGCTTAAAATATGATGGTTTGATCTATGATGGTGGATTCACGTTGTTGCGCATACAGATAACTTGCATTTTGGTGATCATCGTCTATTGTACTGTGGCTGGGTATTTGATATTAGCGGTTGGTTGTTGAAAAGTCTCTTCATACAGCTACAGTACCCTAATCTAATCTTTCAAAACATCTGTATTCAATTTTCAAAAGGATTTTAGTGTATCGAGCATAGTCCTCTTGGTCTTCGGGTGAGTGATTATGAAGAAGAATTGGGGGCTGATGCAACTGAACATGGACTGACTGGAGCGAATGTTAGTCGATACGTTGTGGAGAAGCCAATGAATGTTAGGTAATAGAAAAGAAGATAAGATCTTTGTGATGTACAAAGTTTAGAACACTGAGCACGGTGACAAAAGCAGTTGCAAGATGGAAGACCCAGACGCGTCTTCAGAGTCGAGCTACTCGAATGGTCAATTTGCGAAAGTAAGAAAGCTTAAAGGCTTGTACTGTTTCAAAGCTATTTGTACTGTTTGTACTATTTGTACTATTTGTACAAAGCTATTTGTACTATTTCAATAATCAATTCAAGATCGTTAAATAACTTTGAGATTGCACGAGAAAAGATTGGCGAGAGCTTCTCCATCGAATCATCAACACACAAATCAAACAACTGAACAATTGGAATTGCAACTCCGAACTCAAAGCAATGGACATGCAAGAACTGAATAAAATAGAAGACATTTTCTCTTTTCTTTGTGCTTCCTTTTCTATTGTGCTTTCTTTTATCCTTTTATTCGTTAATCCTTTTAATAAAAGATTCAATTACAACAGAGAAAAGATAAGATTATCAATAAATTAGACAGAAAAAGGATATTTTTTCAAAACTTCTCCGTGCTTAGTGATCAATTCTTAAAGTTGATGGGATTATCGGACTTGTGGCAACTGTTTACTTGAAACCGAGACGAAATCGTTTCATTGAGGACTCTGTGCATCAAATGAGTAGTCCAGGGAATGCTTTGTTAGGTAAATGACTGATTCTATAGTTAGTTAAAGTGCCAATTCCTACAAGGAAATCAAGTTAAGTACAAGTTAAACTAAGCACACTGTAGCTGAAAACCAAAAACCGAGACGAAATCGTTTCATTGAGGACTCTGTTCATCAAATGAGTAGTCCGGGGAATGTTTTTTTAGGTAAATGACTGATTCTATGGCTAGTTAAAGTGCCTATTCCTACAAGAAAATCAATCTAAGTACAAGTTAAACTAAGCCTACTGTAGACGATGCCTTTAGTTTCGTATTTTTTTAAATCTTACAAATCTATTGAAATTTTACCTTGCAAAGTGTTCACTTTAAACTTTTCAGTGAGTCATTTTCCACAAAGAGGACTTGTCAGGAAAAAGTTGGGTAAGGAAAAGAAAATGATGGATTGGGAATGTGTCAGCAATGATAAAAGTACCAAAAAACTTTTAAAAAAGGCTCTAAGAGATATCCTAATGGATAACTGAATTCTAAATCAATCATTAAATCATCAAATTCGAGTATTTTCAGAGAGATCATCTGGATGATGCAAGGAGGATGAGAATAAATCAGAGATGCACTGGAGTTGCCTCAAGGACAGCACACAGTGAGTTTATAAACCTAAACACCTGACACCTAACCTAACGACCGACAAAAAGCTTTGTCTTTGACAAAGCTTTGACAAAATGAAACTTTAGAGAGAAAACAAACTAAAATTTGCAAAAAGCTCAAATTACCATATTGCTTTAGTCCAAATTAGCGATTTGCATTGGAAACGAAATTTTCTCTCTTCTCATTTCTGGTATTCAATTCATTAAAGTTGTATTTCTTTGACAAGTACTTTAAAGGTAAATTTTCTTAGAATTTGTAATGTTTTCTTTTAGGGTTCAATAATGTTCAATAATGTTCAATAATGTTTTCTTTTAGGGTTCAATAATGAATTCATTCAACACAACAGCTAAGGGTTTTTTTCTTTGAACTTTTCATTGTAAAACTTTCAAAAGTTTTGAGGCAAAGTTTTTGAAATTTTTATGTTTATCTTTGTTCTGATCGGTACTGTAATTACTTGGGGTACTGTAATACCACAGTATTCTGTCTCTCATTCTTAACTGAAAAGCATTTAACTCTACTTTTTCCCTTAATTGTCGACATTCAAACACTTTGTTCGCTAAAATATTTTTTTGGCTTTTAGAAATTCTAGAAATGTTTTCATTTCAGAAATACCCGCACAAAACGCCGTTTGCGAAGAGAAAAGGTGAGGGGAAATTGATTTGAGCTTTTTAGAATCATTTTAGTATTTTTAAACTTACATCTAGCTTTATGGAGTTTCGTTTTAGAGATGGCTCCCCTCCTCCACAAATGCCGCTCTCCGAGGAGGTGAGTGATCGGTACTGTAATTACTTGGGATACTTTAACAACCACAGTATTCTGTCTCTTATTCTTAACTGAAAAGCATTTAACTCTACTTTTGCCTTAATTGTCGACATTCAGTCTTTTATTTGGTGAACTGTGGAAATGCAAGTATTAGGGTACTTGAGACTCTTGAGTCTTGAGTCTTGAGGCTTGAGTCTTGAGTCTTGAGGCTTGAGTCTTGAGGCTTGAGGCTTGAGTCTTGAGTCTTGAGGCTTGAGTCTTGAGTCTTCAGTCTTGAGTCTTCAGTCTTGAGTCTTGAGTCTTAAGACAAGACTTGAGAGCGGTGGCTGATAACAAAGACAATGAGCGGTTCAATCAAAGCCAGATATTTAGCTTTCAAGTTCTTTTAAGCTCAGCTATATGGTTTTTCTTTAGGTTCAAGACGACGACACGATGCGAGGTGTGAAATCATTTGATGAAGAGAAAAGCGGCAAAGAAATCGGCCCACTAACCCCCGAGAAGGCAAAGATAAAGGTATGATAAGATTTTGAAAATATAAACCTGCTTTTTAAAGCATATAAAAGTTTTTTTTGTTTAGAAAGAGATGGCTCTAAAGTCGTCAACTCCTCCAAGCAGCACTCCGACAAATTCGCAAGAGGAATGAGACGACAAGATTGAGAAGAAAATGAATGAGAAATTGAAATAACGACTTTTTTTTGGTGAATAAAGCTTTAACGAGTTAAAATCTGTGTTTTCGAAGGAGTTACTGTAAATCTAGGATGGATTAATTGGTACAAGTATGGACTGTACTGTACCGTGTACAAGTTGTTCTATAGCTTAGTTTAGAGCTATAGTCAAGGTATTTCAATCCAGTCATTTAAATTCTTGTGTCAGTAACTCTAAAATAAACAAACAAGCTTTCTATAACTCAAGAATACTTTGTTTATTATTTATTTATAGGTTTTTCTGTTTTCTGTTCTCTCATGTTGATGATGGAAGTTAAAATCTGAGTTTTCGAAGGAGTTACTATAAATCTAGGATGGATTAATTGGTACAAGTATGGACTGTACTGTACTGTGTACAAGTTGTTCTATAGCTTAGTGTAGAGCTATAGTCAAGGTATTTCAATCCAGTCATTTAAATTCCTATATCAGTAACTCTAAAATAAGCGAACAAGTCATTTTTCGAATTCTATGACTCAAGAATACTTTGTTTATTATCTATTTATAGGTTTTTCTGGTTTCTGTTCTCTCATGTTGATGATGGAAATGTTTTCTTCTCTTTCTCTTTCTCTTTCTTCTCTTTCTTCTCTTTATGTTGTCTGTCTGTCTATTTTGTTGTTCAAAAAGAATATCACGAGACGTTTTGGAATATTTTCTCATAGTTTCGTTCCCTTTTCCTTAACTCTTTTCGTTTTCAAATATCTGGCTCTCTTGGAATGTTCCTCACTATTTCGTAGACTTTTCTGGGTCTCTTGTTGTCTATTCACTTCTTTGGGTCTTTTCCTTTCTTTCATTGCTCTTTAAATTGATGAATCTCTATGTTTTTCACAATCTTTTCGTTTCTCATTTTTTCAAACGATCATTTATATGATCAATGCTACTTTATTTAGCTTTTAATATCAAAATACAAGAAGATTAAGGTTTTTTTGATCTACTAAAACATTTTAAAGTACTTATCTTAGAAAACAAGGACAGATTTTTGAGCAGAGCAGAGGATAACGATGCACAAGAATTATCGCAGCTCTATTACCGGGATTACGGCATTATCTTCTAGTTGATAAGCTCTTAGATTTGAACCCAAAGAATTTTTACGATTTCATTTCTTATTGTAAAGCTTGCTCATAACTTTGGGCCAGCTTCCCTGTGTGCCTTCCTCCGCTTGTCGATCTCTTTCTCTTTCCATATCTCGCACTCTTTCTCTAATTTATTCTCTCCATCAGCTTTTCCCTTCTATTTTCTGCCCAGTATTTCTCATTCTTTTCGATTTCCTTTTCTTTTCATATCCTTTCAACACCCTTTTCCCCAGCCACATCCATCGCTTCGCTTTCTTTTTGACTCGCGCAAAAAATCCTTTGCCGGTTTCCCCTTTGGCCTTAAACCACAAATTATCGACAAATCTTCAGGAAATATTGATGGATTCCCTGCCCTATTTTCTCGTCATTTTACAATTTTTTGGAGATTTCTTTACTGAAGCGGCTTCAGTGTGAGTCTTTAGTCTTTAAGAACAATAAAAACTTTAAGAACAATCATTCAATTTAAGCTTAAATTGTAATAGTTGTAGATTAGATTAATAGTTTTGAAAGGATCAAAGTTTCAGGAAACGATCCGACTCGATTGGGCCGAGATCATCGACAACGAGCACCACAACAGAAACTCGTGAGTTTTAACAGAAATACAAAATAAAATGTTCTCAGAATATAAAGTAATTGGTTGCGCTTATGTCTTTAAAAGATTTGTTTTTGTTTTATCGAATTATTAGGATTTCGTCAAGGCTTCACCCAGCTGAAGTTAGCAAGCAGCCGCCTCTTGCTGCTAGTGGCCCCTTTCTGGCTGAGAAAATTGCCAACCAAAACGTCTAGCGGCTTCACCATGCCATTTCGTACACAGTTGTCTGAAAAGCACACATAGCCAGTGGGGTGTACGGGGCATCGTGCAAGCATCGAAGTTGAAACCTCAGATCAGTCGTGATTACCCGCTGAACTTAAGCATATTACTAAGCGGAGGAAAAGAAATTAACAAAGATTCCCCTAGTAACGGCGAGTGAACGGGGAAAAGCTCGGCTTTTAGTCACGGGGAAATGTAGCGTATAGGTGCGGCTATCCGGCGCCATCACTTACTCAAAGTCCCTTTGACTTGGGCCATAGATCAGAGAAGGTGCAAGTCCTGTACGAGTGGTGACGGAGTCGGTCGGTCGTTCCTTGGAGTCGGGTTGCCTGAGAACGCAGCCTTAAGCGGGTGGTAAACTTCATCTAAGGCTAACGATACTTTGAAATTAATAAATCGAAGTTGAAACCTCAGATCAGTCGTGATTACCTAGTAGAAAGAAATTAGAAAGAGTCATTTTTTTAAGAAAACAAAATAATTAAGTTCAGAGATTTATTAGTTATCCAATTTTTAATAGTAAATAATATTTGAAAATCTACAGAAATATTTTCAGCTCTCGATTTGAGTGATCACTTGACGAAGTTGAGCATTGGATTGATCTGCACCATTTGTCTCGTTGTTGGCATTGTCATCGGATATTGCTTCTATGATCAATATAGGGTGAGAAATTTGAGAGGAAATTTGAGAATTCAGCTTATGAATGAGATCAAGATCAAGAATAATCAAGAAAATCTTGAACTTTTGAGATAGAAGACTTCATTTCTTATTGTAAAGCTTGCGTATAACTTTCGCCAGCTTCCCCGTGTGCCTTCCTCAGTTCAAAAAGTCAAAGACAGCCTAATCGCTGCAATTACTGCAAAGATTTGGTTCTAGTTGAATGAAAAACCTATGAAATTCCAGAGAATTTAATATATTTAATATCTAAATGCGTTTTCTAGGATTATCTCTAGAAAAAGCAATTTTCAGTATCACTCGGATCCAACGAAATTCCCGCATTCAGCTTCGGAAGCTCGGTTGAGGAATGAGGACAGGAAAAGAATGCTTTCTGAATCGTTTGATTAGAAAAAAATGATGAAAACATCTGATCTTCATAGATTTAAACTCGAAAACATTCATTTAAAAGTTCATTTCTTTTTTGTACATTTAAAAACTCTCCATTTAAACTCTCCGTCAAACTCAGTCAATCATTATCTTCAAGAATAACTCTTTGTCAAATTTAAACTCAAATTTAAACTCTCCGTCATTCTCTTCAAGAATAATTCTTTCTTTCAGATTTTGAGCTTCGATTTTCTTTTCTTTTTTCACTTTCACTTTCTTTTTATTCTTGCCAATTGTTATTCAAATTTCCATCGATTTCTCCTTTGTTCTTTTTCCGTTGTTACTTCTGGTGCCTCTAAAATTTCAAAATGAATATTCCTATCGGGTGAATGTTGTAGATTGAAGATGAATAAAGATTTGGATTCTTATGGATTATACCCTTGCAATCATTATTTATAACCAAAATACGAGAAATCACTCAAGATCAACAGAAATCAGAGTTTTTTGCTTGAAGATGCAAGAAAGGAACCCCGCCAATTGCTTCCCCGATCGCTAAAACCCCTGGGTACAAACTTTTGGCTTCATATCTCATCTCAGCCATTTTATAGAACCAAAGAAATTCCTTTGTAAAGAGAGCGCGTGGCCTTTGTGCGACCGCCGCCCGCTCGCCACATCGCTCGCCGTCTGGCGCGGGGCAAAGTCTTATTTGAAAGGTTTTAGTTGAAAAAAACGAGATTGAAACTTTTTTACTTTAACACGTTGACGACATTGTCACCTGATGCTGTCTGACACATATTCGTTCGCCTGGGACATTGTCACCTGATGTCAGGTGACATTTTTTGTCGAAAAAAACAACGTTGTCCCATGCAATTGTTTGTGCAAAAACGCCATTGTCGTCAACGTGTTAACAATTCCATTGAAAATTGTTGTTGTTGTTTGAGTTCTAGACAAGCAATGCAAACCTCAAATAATATTAAAAAGACCTACTTCTAAGTTCTCTTTCCTGAAGAGGAATTATTTGGGTTTGAATAATTTGAATTCATCGACACGAAAGCAATTTCTCAAACCAAACAAACGAAAATCAAAAAGAGAGTTGAATTTTTGGCTTTTACTTTAATCTTTTACTTGTTCCGCTTTGCGTGAGTTTTACTGACAATATTTCAAAGAGCTCTTGAAGCTGAGCACTCGAAAATATAACCTTATATTATAGTTAGAGGTTTTGTACAAAGTCCAGAACTATAAAATGTTGAAATCTGGGTGTCCAACTTCTTTGAGTCGTAGTTGCCCGAGTTCTTCGAAAAGGGCATCCATTCTCTGCGTGGAGGATGGCAAAGAGTCATTGATAATGATGGTGAATATCTTTTTGAGGTTCTGTATTAGGATTTTTATGGATTGAGGTTCTGTATTAGGATTGAGGATTGAGGATACTGGATTAGGATTGAGAATACTGGATTGAGGTTCTGTATTAGGCTTTTTATCATAAATTTTGTTTATGGTTCCAACGGAAGTTGCATCTGCACCAACCTAATATAAGCTTATATTATAGTTAGAGGTCTTGTACAAAGCCCAGAACTATAAAATGTTGAAATCTGGGTGTCCAACTTCTTTGAGTCGTAGTTGCCCGAGTTCTTCGAAAAGGGTATCCATTCTCTGCGTGGAAGATGGCAAAGAGTCATTGATAATGATGGCGAATATCTTTTTGAGGTTCTTTATTAGGATTTTTATGGATTGAGGTTCTGTATTAGGCTTTTTATAATAAATTTTGTTTATGGTTCCAACGGAAATTTCATCTGGACCAACCTAATAAAAGCTTATAGTTTATATTATAGTTAGAAGTCTTGTACAAAGTCCAGCCGCGCATCCAGAACTATGTCCAAATTTTCGGGATCAATTTTTGTCTTAAATTTGGCTGTATTTTTGCTAGAAAATGCACATGCTGTTAGGCGAAAAGCCAGCTATTATCGTAGTCACCCAAGGCAACTTTTACTCATCAGTTCAATTTTTGTGGTTCAAACAAAAAAAAAACTAGTTCACTCTCTTATAAGCTAAAATTTTCGGAGCTCAGGTACTCACAAAAATCTCAAAACCGGTTCGCTTTCGGCAATTCGTTTTCATAACAAATTTTAGTAGGCAAACTTGTCATAAAGGTTATTTCTGTTCTCGAATTTTAGAAATTTTTCGATATACTCAAACAAGAAAGGTATTAAAGAAGCTGGTTTTGTGTACTTTGTGCCTTAAACGAATCCTCTTTGGTGTACACACTGTTTCTATAAAATTTTACTAATCCAAGACCAAGAAAGCCATCAAATGGAACACTTTCTCATCGTTTTCTCTCAAAGAAAGCGAGCAGGTGCCATGAATGAAAAAATAGAAAAGAAAAAGTCATTTTCACCACAAAAGTTTTTGGGTCGTCTTTAGAAAATCTTTTTGTGAGTAATCTGAATGGAAGAGTAAGGAAATGAAAAGAAATTGAGAAGAAAGGAAATGTTCGATGAATGTAGTGAGGGAAAGGGGGGATTGGGAAGGATATCCAATTGGTGAGAGGCGATGCATTACCAGTCAGAGAGGGGTGAGGCTGTTGAATGGGGAAAGTCCCCTAGGCACAGGCTCCAGTCATTCTATGTACTCTCTGTTTCTATATCCAACTTCATTGCTCTTTTTCATCTGCCAACTGACCAGCTTTTCCCTTTTTTTTGGTTAATTTTACTCGTTTTCACTTCGACTTTCGAAAGCTCGCGACTCAACGAATCCATTAGAAAAATAATACTAGTTTCCCCTAGTGTTTCCTTCTTTTTTAACGTTTCCTTTCGATATTTTAAATTGTATTACAATAACAGAGTATTTACAAGCAAATAAGAATTCCTTTTGGTCTTTATAGTCTTTCAGAGAATCCATTAGGATTCACAATGTTCACAATGTTCACAATGATGCCCAAGTGAACTATCTCCGGATCCGATCTCCGGATCCGATCTCCGGATTCGATCTCCGGATCCGATCTCCGGATCCGATCTCCGGATCCGATCTCCGGATCCGATCTCCGGATCCGATCTCCGGATCGATCCCGGATCCGATTCCGGACCGATCTCTCCGATCCGGACAAGCGAAACGTCTCATCACCCGCCAAAATAACTGACGGTTACTATATCACCCAAGTGATATAGTAACCACTTGCCGTAAATACTGTAATTGGACCCCACCCCCATAATGACGGTGCGGAGTGTTGTGTAGTCTAACTTTGAACGAGTTTTTCTCGACACTGGTTTATGCTATAATGCGCGCTTAGGTATCAAAAAATAGCCCTGAATTTCAGCTATAGCGGGAGACCAGAACTAGTTTACGAAAAAAAGGCTCATCGGTTGGGTGGATCTGGAAGAAGAGGTTATTTATATTTGTACTCTTAACTGATTATGTAATCCTTTAAGAATAATCTAGCAAAGGATTGATTGTTATTAAGTTACTCGTACCTATCAATCAATAGTAACATTTAATAAATCAATTACAAGTGTCACACTTTCACGCTAACTATCATATTTGTAAGATTAAAATTTACTCATTTTATTCACAAGTTATGGCTCAGGTTGTTGTGGTAGAATGTTGGATGGAACGGATTGAGCAGTGGCTGGTCGACTGATTGGCGCCTGAACCGATTGGCTTTATAGGGTGCGTCAAAAGTTCTGTCACCTCAATTACTACCATAAATACTGTAATAGTACCCACCGCCATAATGACGGTGCGGAGTGTTGTGTAGTCTAGCTTTGAACGAGTTTTTCTCGACACTGGTTTAAGCTACAATGCGCGCTTAGGTATCAAAAAATAGCTGAAATTCAGGGCTATTTTTTGATACCAAAGACGTATTTTTTGAAAGTACGGGCGCTTTGAAAACAATGAAATACTAAAAAACTTTTGCGACTACGCGACTGTACGAGGGCGGTGGGGTATCACTTGGGTGATATAGTAACTAAACCGGACCTTAGTGTGCTAGAGTCCACTTTATTCAATCCAAAATCCATACAATATTTCGAACAGATGTAGATCCTCTTACAATGGATGAAGTAGATCTTTATCAGCTTAATCTACCTCTTCATTTAAACCAAAACCCTAAAAACAACTTCTACACAAGAAGAATTTGAACCCCCATTCATTTTTTTTTCTTATTTTCAGTCTTCATATCCTCTTGAATTCATTTCTCATTCTTGCCTTCATTTTCTCATTTCTCAAGTGTCATCTCATCTTGTCGTTGAGAAGAACGAGAAAGGGAAAAGAGAAGAAATTTTTGTATGAGACTACTTTCTCTTACCATAAAATTCTAATAGAAATAAAGGAAAGAAATTTCTCAGCTTTTTTGTTCAATACTTTAATGAATCGAGAATCAAGAGGTATTTTTGTCTTTTTCTCAAATCTCGAGTGGCCTTGTGTTTTTACGATGACTTTTCGCTGAAGATAGAGATTGAAATCTTTATAGTATTTTGTCTTTTGTCAAGAAACTCGTTAACTAAAATATTTCATTGTCACTATCAAATGTTGCTACTTTTCGGTGAATCTTTGCTCATAATTTTGATCTACAATAGTTGAGTGCCGGATTCAGAACTCCTTTCGACCATTATTTTGACTTTGGCTTGATTTGCAGCTTTTGAGTAAGGATTTGATTTTAGTCAGAGCTGTTTTAAGCTTGTAAATCATACCAGAGTCTGGCCCAGCTCTGATCCAGAGACTTTGTAAAGATCTGACTGATTAGATCTGACTAAGCATCTGACTTAGATCTGACTAAACATCGCTTTTTAAACCAGATCTTCAGCAAAGCTATACAGAACTCTGAACCTAGCCTTACATATCCTGAATTGGTCCAGGAGAATTTGATCTGATCCTAGCCTTGCCCTTCTTTACATATATTTAGTTTTTAGCGATCCAGCGATCCATAGGCTACTAAAAACCTCGATCAAGCAAGTCTATTCTTTAACCAATTCAAAACTTTCTCCTAAACCATATGCAAATTGTTGAGAGAAAACTAGTTTGTTGAGCTTACTCTTGAAAGAAATCGGGTTGGCGAATGAACGTCGAAAAGTGCGGATGGGGTCGAGATCGGGATTTGGAAGAGAGGGATGAGTGAGAGGATCGAAAGAGTTATGGAGCCGGTCAACCGCCCCTAAATCTACCCATCCATTGGCCTTTTCACAGTCAGTCCTTCCCTTCTTTCCCTCAACTTCCGTTGAAACCATTCCCTCTTCTTTTTTTCTATCCATCTATGCACTAATCGTCGCCCTCGATGACAATACATCGGCTGAATTTGAGCCTAGTTTTGAGGTGAGAGAGAAAGGGAGAGTTTCAGGCCAATAACCAGACGAATCACTCTGTCTCTCTTTCATAAACATGCTTCATTTCTATTGCTATTAAAATATTAAACTTTGAATGTCAAAACTGTCATTTCTTTGTTCTTGGTGAGCTTGACAACCAAGACTGACATCTTGATAACTTTATCGCTTGATTCTGCTCTTTTAATGTTCCAATCCAGCTAATCTTTAGAAATTCACAAATCTATATTCTTTTATGGGAATGCGCCTCAAGCTGTTAATATTATTTTGTCATCGATGATGTGGAAGATTTCAAATTTCTTGTTATTATTCCTTTTTCTGCCATCAGTCTACAGTCAATTCGCTCTTCAGCCGAAAGTTCGAGGTTAGTTAATAAAGATTTTCCTAACAACAAAACCATTATCAAACCTAGCACCAGTCAGGTAATTTGTTTTGATGCAGTGAACTAGATGAAGACATAACATTGCCCTATGCGAGGTCAGAGTCTGTGAGTGGTGCAAATTACGCATGGACGTGTGTGTCAGTGTATCTTTTGCACCTCAAAAAAGAAAAGGAAAAGAGGAAAGAGTGTTGAGTCGATCGGTCAGTCTCCCCATTCACACAAAGGCCGCTCAAAGGACCGTAGATAATTAGAGGGAGAGTGGGAAAGAGTGTATCCAGGGAATGCCAGGAGTGAGTCTAACATAGTGAATCGGGATACATTGGATCGATAGGGAATCCAGAAATCCATAGTTTTTTAGAAGATCCATGTGGGATCCAGTCAATGCAGGCAGACTGTTTTGAAAGTTCAAAAAAGCACAAGGGAAAGCAAGCAATTCTTGGAATACTCAAAATTTAGTGGAGCCAAAATGCGGGACTCAACTGATCACTGTTGAGGTCTCCTTCAATAAAGATTTGTTGCCTGGCGGGAAATTTACCGATTGGATTGTTGTTGGGATTTCTGGTTTGTTTGTTTGTTTGTTTGATTGTTTGATTGTTTGTTTGATTGTTTGATTGTTTGTTTGTTTGTTTGTTTGTTTGCTTGTTTGTTTGTTTGTTTGTTTGTTTGCTTGATTGATTGTTTGTTTGTTTGTTTGTCTGTTTGTTTGTTTGCTTGATTGTTTGATTGTTTGTTTGTTTGTTTGATTGTTTGTTTGATTGTTTGTTTGTTTGTTTGTTTCATTGTTTGTTTGTTTGTTTTATTTGTTTGATTTGTTTGTTTGTTTGATTGTTTGTTTGTTTGTTTTATTTGTTTGATTTGTTTGTTTGTTTGATTGTTTGTTTGTTTGATTCTTTGTTTGTTTGTTTGTTTGTTTGTTTCATTGTTTGTTTGTTTGATTTGTTTGTTTGATTGATTGATTGATTAATTGATTGATTATTTAGGTAGACCAGAATGTCGTTTGAAAGGGAATGGAGAAATACGTTACGTTATTGAAATTGCGATTTTTAACGACCCTTGCAACACGCTCATGGTATTTACTTTTTTTTATGATCTTTCTCGGATAAATCATATCTTTTATAATGCTTTAAATCGTAGTTTAGATAGCATTAAATCATTCTTATATGTGAAAATAATAACTTTTAGCCTCAAGTTGGCATTTTCGAGAATCGAGTTCGAATCGGTGAAAATCCATCAGTTATTTTGGCGGGTGATGAGACGTTTCGAATCAGATGTGTCTATGGTCGACCGGAGATCGGAACACTCCCATTACCGATAATAAATCCTAACTTTGCAATTGATAAGTGAGAAAAAAAAAGATTCTGCAAGAAACGATTGAACTTTAGTGGAGCTAGCGGAACAAATCTCTTTGGTCAACAATCGATAAATGAGGGTCTTCTCTCGACAGTCCGTCAACCGATCCAGCCATCGATTGGAGCAAACGGGTTCGATTTGAATAAATAACACTTACTTACTAGTTATTAATTACAATAAAACTAAAAAGAAGTTATTAGATTAATAGTTATGGTCTGTATCCTATTTTCAAACATTTAGGGAGCTCACCGCCGAGCAACTCGCCGCTATAAACCGTCAACTTCTCGAAAATGCTCGCGGCAGTGGATCGCCATCGATTTTAGCTAATGGAAATTCGAATCTAGGTAGATTTACAGACATTCGTATTTTATCCATTTTAGGTTTCCCATCTGGCTTTGGCGGTTTGTTAAACAACACCGGAAAATCAGGAGGAGAAAGGCCGAATCCTTTAAATAATCGAGGAAATTTGGATGGAGATTTTCGAGAGGATCCATTGCTGAATATTAATCCACAAGGTTGAGTCAAAAAGCATATTTGAATTGATTTGATTAAAGGTGGAATCAAAAGCGGCCTCGACATTCGCCCAATCAATCCGAACACCGGCCTGAGCACCGATCTTTCTTCAATCAACGCGAATCTGAACGCGGTAACGGGTGGGCAGCCGGGAATGGTTGGTTTTTGTTAGCTTAAAAGATATTTTATTCGTATTATTATCTAATAAAGTTGAATAGACTTCTGAAGGCTTCAAACAATAGACTTCTGAAGCTTTTCAATGAACCCTCAAATCAAATCAAATCCATAATTTTCAGCAAGCAAACACAGCCAGCTCTCGTCTGCCACAAATTCTTCTTTTCGCTCTTTTATCTTTTCTTTTATTAGCTCTAGTTCTTTTATGTTGTTTATATTTTTGTATGAGAAGACGACATCAAGAAGATCAGCAAAATAACAATATGCGTGTATCAATGCCAGGTTTCTTTGAATTAAAATTAAAAAAAACTGTTACACACAAATTTAGCGAGCAAGGGTTTTGGTGGAATGTGGTGGACGGGAAGAGCCAATCCAGCGAATGGAGAGTATGCCGGGTTGGAGAGGTGAGTGGAATTGTGAAGTTGTAGATAATCGTAACTGTTAAAAGCTGTCAGTCAAGTTTGATCAGTATTTATTTTAGCACAAGACACGGCTCTGCAGGATCTCCAGCGAATTCTGGCACCTCGTCAACCCATGCAGCTTCCTCTCAGCAAGCTGTCCTTCCCAGAAAACATTTCGAGAAAAACAAGCGAAGTTTTGGATATGATGGAGCGATTACGGCATTCGATCGACGAGGATCTTGTAAGTGATGCAAGAATTATATATATTCTATTCAATTATATATTAGCTGACAGTCAATCTCGAGCCGATTATTTGCCAACAAATTCATTGGGTATTGCGAGTATATCGAATCGAGAGACTAACAATGGATATGCATCAACGAGAAAAGTCAATCGAGCGTTTGTTAGCGATTTGGGAGATGGTAGAGTTAGGACTCATTAGACACCAAAGCTGGACCAATTTCAGAAAACCACTATGCTTCCGGTTCGTATCTATCAACGAGAAGCCCTCCGCCACGAGAAAGCCCACCACCAGCACCGATGGAAAAAGATTATCAAGTGACTCGATCTGGGACGAACTATGTTGAGCATTATGTGTCTGAGACAGAACACAATAATCCGGATTTCAAGTGGGATCTTATTCATTGATCGTTATTGATTCTCTTTAGTGAAAGAGCTGTTGATGTGGCAGAGGTGAGCAAGAATATCAGTAGGGATCGCTATGACAAGATTGATCAATCGATTGTCGAATTGCAGAAGGTGTGTTTTGATTCATTCTTGAGAACAAGAATGAATCAAAAAAAATTAAATATAATAGTTGTTCCCTTTCACCTAAAAAATTGGAAGGTCAAAGTCAAAAGTCAAAGGCAGTGGGGGTCGAATCCGACTCTTGTGGGCTGTAGGCGAGCGGGTTCCCGACCGCGACACGGATGACAGTTGGCCTAGTCCCAAAACATTCACCTTAATGGCAGGTTCTTCGGTTAATAGGAAAATCTTAAGGTTCAACCGAAGAGTTACTCGGAATGGAGGCGGACACTGATGGATGGACGAGAGGAACATCCTGAGAGGCCTGCATCTTCTACAGGCGTTCAGGCAACTTTTAATCATATTTAATTTGAATAATTTGATTATTCTTGCTGCTAAAACAGTTCCTTTGCAGGTTTCCTCAAGGGAAGTCCCAGCAGGCCTTTTCCCGGAAGAGGGGATCTCTTCATTCCGATCAATCACGGAAATCTATCAATCAGTTGAGACAAGGAGAGACGATTTTGCGAGAGAGCAAGGTTTATCCAATTCATTAGCTGAATATCCTTTGTTTTAGAATCAATACAAGACTCTCAATCAACTATTGATCAGCTTTGTGATGCCGTTCTCCCGATGAGAGGCTTTGGGCCAAGAAAGTTGAATGAGCAAGAGCTGGGTGAGTGCGAAAAACTTTTATAAAGGTTTATATGTTAATTTTATCAGGTCGATGGCGTGGTTTGATACGAAGAGATCCTCGCTTACGAGAACTTCTTCTCGCTTGCAAGAATATTGGTAAAATTTTAGCAAGTAGCTTGAGTACTTGTAATTCTTGGAATCAGTTTGAGAATCAAGTTCAATTCTTTATTCAATGCCAAATTCCTAGGTGATGTTCTTTCGGTGAGTGAACGAGCCGAGTATCGAACGTTGTTCACTCGAGAAAAATGGGGAGAGATCGCGAGATGTTTAGCCGATTCAGCGATTATTGTAAGGAGAACTGGCACTGGGAAAAAAATACAGGGAAATCCATTTGAATAGTTGATTAGTTCAGTTGTTAATCCAGTTGATTAGTTGAATAGCTTTCCTCAACCATTTTAAAATCAAGTAAAAACTTGTACAGCAACTTTTAGATGACCCTGTAATCAAGCAAATTTTAGAAAACCAATCTCGGAACCCAGCGATCGAATTCGAATCTGAACATTTACGTGGGAAATGTCGGCACAGATTGGTGATGCACACAGAAAACTTTCTTTCAACTATGGTCTCATTTTGTGCGAAAATAAATTTATCATCAAGGGTTTTAAATCGGAAAGTTGATAGACAGTGCACTTCAGTGATCATTCTTGATTGAGGACCCTGCAGAGAGTTATTGATTTGAGTTATTTGATAAAAGATGCGATGCAGATAAGCTGCCGTACTCTGGTTGTGCTTTTTAAGTTATCTAGTCTGGTCTGTCTAATCTAACAAATTTCAGTTTTTGATCGTACAGCCGTAAAAGCTCGTACAGACGGACAAACAATTCTCTTTTATATAATAGATAGCGATCAGCTTTATGCTAGCAATAAGTGGCTTTTGCTTGCCTTGTTTACAATCAGATCTCTATTTTCCTATCTTCCCGACTTGCGAAACATTGCTTACATCTCGATGAGCTGAAATTGAGCCCGATCTCACGTAGGTACTTGACAGGATTTGAGGAGGATTTCCGAAGAAGCAAAGGAAAAGAAAAGGGGTTCAATGCCAGAAAGTTTCTCTTTTATTCATCCGAATGTATTACTAATTTATGGCTGGCAAAAGAAATGAAAAGATCCGATTGAATGGGCAAATGAACAGACGAGAAGGAGAGGTTTTTACAAGAAAATGTGACTGAGAAGCGAAAAGGAATAGTCTAAAATATCCTTTTACTTTTTTGTGTTTCCCGATCCTCACCACTTTCCTCCATTCCTTATACTACGCAATTTGCAAGAGCTTTTCTCGAGGTGTTCAAGGCTTTTGCAACATTTGCAGACTTTTAACTTTCATTTAATGATTCGTGTTAGAAAGAAACTAAGCAAATGAACCATTTTAAACCTTTTCCACTTTGATAGAACAACCGTTTTTTGTGTAGCCTTTTAAATTTGCATTTGAAAGAAGCGAATGCTAGAAAGGATTTCAAATGGCAAATCGAGGAATTGTCTGATTTCTTTCAGCTAAAGAAAACTGTTAAGATTAATATTAAATTGTTTTCTATAAAGCTGCACTATTTGCTTTAAAGTTTGACTATTTTATTCTTTTGTAAAGCTAGTTCTTTGAACTCTTAGCTATCTAAGGTTAAATCTCGACTTTTTTGCTTTCTCTTTCACTCGAAAATAAACCTATTCAAAAAGAAGAGAAACAAGCTTAGCAGTGTGAATCCTCTTGTTTGTTTTCAAAAAAAAAACTTTCTATAAACTGTTTCTTATGTGTACAAAGATTTTGACCCTTTAAAATCGGTTATTTAAAGGCTTTCTTTCAAGCAAAGTTCTTGACAAATTGTGTTAAGCTTCTTTAATTGAGCTCTGAGCTTCAATTGAGCTCTGAGCTTCTTTAATTGAGCTCTGAGCTTCTTCAATTGAGCTCTGAACTTCTTGAATTGAGCTCTGAGCTTCTTTAATTGACCTCTGAGCTTCAATTGAGCTCTGAACTTCTTTAATTGAGCTCTGAACTTCTTCAATTGTAAAGTTCTCTATTTTTCGGCGAACAAGAGTTTCATTTTATATGAATCCACTTCTCCTTCTTTTCCTAGCCACTTTACACCGAATCTCTTCTGAATCAGTGATCAACGAAAGAGCGGTTCATCAAATGGAAAAAAAAAGAAAAAAAACCGAAATCCGCTCAAGCCAAACCTGCCAAAGGGAGAATCGAGAAAACCGCGAAAATCTTTTTCTCTTTTTGTGCAAAAGAGATTGAGAGTTCCGGTCTTTCTTTCTCCTGAATCTTTCCGCGAAAAAGATTTCAGTTCTTCCCATTCACCAATCCCCAAATTTGTGCCTGAAAGTGAGCTATCACGGATTTCTTTTCTTTATTCACTATTCACTCAATAAATTTGCATTCCAGCTTATTTTCAGTATTTTGAATTAATCATTGTTTTGAATTGTCCTTGTTGTGTTAATCATTATCTTTCAAAGACTTGAAGATTTCGAGTTATATTCTTAAGTATGCTAATGTCATTACGTTTTACGAAACACCAAAGAAGCCTCAATCCTTAAAGCCTTAAAGCTTTCCCTTCCATTTCCAGCTTCTTCTATCCGCTGTTCCTTTTCATTTACTTCTATATGTCATCTTTTCTTAAGTACCTCTTATCTTTTGAGTCAAGGACGATCAAATGCCAAGAAATCTTCTCGGTTATGCTTTTTAAATCTTTCTTCTACACTGAATTCAGTAAATCAAATCGAATAATTTTGATTATGGCTGGCTACTATTGGAGATTTGCTACTGTGTAAAATTTACACAAAATCCATTATGTAAAGGTTAACCCAGTGGATTTCCTTTCAACCATTCATTATTCTTTTGTCACTACATTCTTTCCTATTTCAAGACCAAGATCCATCATATTTCCCTCATTCTCATCGTTGAATGATCCGTTTTTAGAGAATGATCCGGTTGTCGATCGGCTTGTCTTTCTCTTTTTTGTCTTATGACAATCTTTTTCGACGCATTGAGACATGCCTTTTTCTCGAAAGGAGAATGAGATATGGCTCAATTTTTTGGCTTTTTGGCTTTTGGCTATTTAGCTAATTCAGAACTAAGATTGTTTCCAACAACAAGCTCAGCTTTTGACGTCAAAAACATTGATCGAAGATTTTCCTTTTTCTTCAGACACCTGTAAACGTTCATGTCGGCTGAAATAAATGAAATCTATTTTCGATTTTCGTATTCCAAGTCGAGTTTGAGTTATTGTGTATCTCTGCCGTTTTCTGAGTGTTCTCTGTGACCGTGAAAGAGTCACAAATCCCATCTCATGTACAGTTCATTCCTTTTCTTCACAAAGATCTTATTCTCTTTCTTTGTTTCTTGTTTTTTCTTTCATATCGAAGATGTCAATCGGATTCTTGTCGATTTGGCTTTTCCGCCATAAGCTTGCTTTTCTTATAGCTTCTATATTACAAGATTGAAGGTCATTCTTGGGTTTAGCATTTCTAAACTGAGACTATTCAATTCAAGACTGTAATCCAGCTTTGTTTAGACAAGTCATTGTTTAGACAAGCTTCTTAACAAACAAATTCAGTTTGTTTTCAAATTTTTTGTGTATTCTTGATTTCTTTAGATATTACTAGAGTTGTTACTGTTAATTGTTAACTTTAAATATTACTAGAGTTGCTACTTGTTAATTTTAGAGATGAAATTACTCCTTTTACTTGTCTACATTCCATTTTCTTATTCTCAACAACCATATGGCATTTCCCAGCTTGACAATTACAGTCGATTGATTAATAGCGGGAATCTAGCAGGACTTGGACCACTACAGGTATTTGAATTCGATTTCTCCATTTACCATTTACCATTCTCCATAAAGTATCATAAAGCCGGTTTTTTATAGGCAGCTGTGCAAAATGGACAAATCCGTTCATGGGCGGATTTGGATGGAAGCAGCAAATTGAGTGGATTACCCCCACTTCCACCAACACAAGATCAAGGTTTGAATCAGCTTTTTCAAGTGAAAGCAGTTAAGAAAGTTTAAGAAGATTAAGAAAATAAGAAGATAACAAATAGAAGAAGTTTAAGAAGAAGATAAGAAGTGTTTTGTGTTTAAGAAGATAACAAATAGCTCTTCCATCAACGGGACTCACTCAGAGACCCATTTCAAAGCTATCAAAGTTTTGAAAATTCTAATCATAAACTTTGATCAGCACTTTTCATGAATCTTCTTTTCAGTAAATCGTCACTTCTTACCCGAGCCACTGCCAGCTCTTCCATCAACGGGACTCACTCAGAGACCCATCTCAAGAATCACTTATCCAACACCACTTCCATCACTATTTATGGGACCTTATGGTGTAAATTCCAATGCTGAATTGCCACCTGTGCCTGAAGATAAGTAAGTGAACAGAAATCTACAAAAGTCTAATAATTATACTTGCTAACTCGGAAAAACCATAGATCATTACAAAAAAAAATCGTTAAAGTGTAGGTTGAACGATTCAAAAACAGAAATCCAATTCGGAATCAAATGTCCAAATAGAGTCAATAACGGAATCGTTCTGAATCGGACGAAATTCAATAACAGATATAACTTTAGCCTGAAAGGTTACTATGATGATGATGGAAACTTTGTGCCATGGGGAAGAAAGAAGGGGCACAAGGTAAAGATGAATCTTCAATTCTGGAACTTTGATCGTTTTCAGATTCAAGGCACTCGAATCCATCGACCGGCACACAAAACAAAGGCGAGAATTGAGAGAAGGAGAAGGAATGAAGATGAAGATTATTTGGTGAGTGATTGCTTGTATGCAATTAAAACTTAGCCTGTAAAAGTAAAAGGATATTTTTATATACCGATAGCTGTTCAGAATGAGGTCGAGATTGAAGATGCGGATTTGAAAATGAGACCAAGAAGACCCGAACTTGGGCCAAAACTTAAAACAACCATTACTCGAGTTGATCAAAGAAAACGTGAGTATTGCTGGATGTATGATAGTAATGCTTTACTACAGTAGGATTGTAGAAGTAGTAAGATTTATGAATGTAGCAATGTTTAATCATTTTCAGTGCCTTCCCCTTCTCCAATTGAGCCAGTATTCTCGCCGAAACACCGAACGAAAATCAGGGTTTGTTATGATACTTTTACAAGCTCTAATCCTTTTTATTCTAATTCTAACTTTTACATGCATTTTCTATAATTTCTCTACTAAAGATTATTCTAATCTTTTTTTTATTATAACTGAATGCCTAATCAACATTTCCAGTCTTCCAAAAAGAGAGCGCAAAAAACGAAAAAAATTCTACACAAAAAGTCAACGGAATCAATCGAAAAAGAAAAAAAAGCTGAAGATCGATTAGAGAAAATCAATGAACGATTATCGAAAAAGGAAGGAATGGTCAAGGTTTTCAATGGATAATCAAATCATTTTTAACAATTAATATCAAAACATTAGTTAATACCATCTAATAGACATTCATAAACTATAAACTAATACAAGGAAACTCCTAAAATTCATGCCATCCTTTTCCGATCAATTCAATTTCAACTTCTCTCTTTTGTTTATTTCCAATGTTTTCTCGTGCCCCAAAAAGCCGTTTCAAAAAGCCGTTTCTCCATTTCCCCCAGTGAAGTAACTGATTTTCGTTTTCTCTTCCATCTTTACAAAAATGTTTCTTTTTCTTTACTTGTGCTCACTCATCTCATTCATTGGGATCCCAGGCGGTGACTGAATGGGGGAATTGCCTACCAAAGGAATTGCCTTTTGCCTACCAAAGACAATCATTCGTTTACTATGTTACTATATTGGGTTGGCGCCTAGGAAACGTCGGATTTTTCAAAGGGTTCAATTTCTTTGAATTTCCTTTTTCTTTTGCCATTTGCCCCTGCGGACCGAAATCCTTGGGATGAATCCAAAAATTCACAGCGGCCCCCTTCAGCACCCTTTTACAGGCACTTGGGATCCCATTTCGACCGGCGGAGAACCCACCATTGTGGCCAAAATGAGCCGGAACTGGGTTTGCCAATTCTACAGCCGAAGTTAGTTTTGGGAAGCGGTGACCATATGGGGCAGACAGCGGATTGGTTACCGGATGACCCAAAATGGACGCTTCCGATTGGACGAGTGAAAAAAAGACGATATGTGCTAGGGCAGTATGCCAGATAGAGTGCGATTGTGCACGCGCACAGGGGAACGCACCGGGATCCTCGTTTTTGCATTGTAAAGTTCAAAAACATCAAATTTTTGAAATTTAGTTATAATGTATTTCTTATAACACTGTCAATCGATTCCCCAACCCCGAAAACCTCGAGCAATTTCTTTGTTCAAAAATTTGAATGGGAATCAAATAGGAACTATAAAGAAACAAATGGGAAATAAATACGAATAAAAAGATGCTTACTGTTTGGTTCCTATTTGTTTCCTTATAGCTCCTATTTGATTCCTTTTTGGTCACTGTTTGGTTCCTTATAGTTCCTATTTGGTTCCTATTTGGTTTCTATTTGGTTCCTATTTGGTTCCTATTTGATTCCTTACAGTTCCTATTTGATTCCTACTTGGTTCCTATTTGGTTCCCATTGGTTTCTATTTGGTTCCTATTTGATACCTTACAGTTCCTATTTGGTTCCTATTTGGTTCCTATTTGATTCCTACTTGATTCCTTACAGTTCCTATTTGGTTCCTATTTGGTTCCAATTGGCTTCTATTTGGTTCCTATTTGGTTCCTATTTGGTTCCTACTTGATTCCTTACAGTTCCTACTTGATTCCTTACAGTTCCTATTTGATTCCTACTTGGTTCCTATTTGGTTCCTATTTGATTCCTATTTGGTTCCTACTTGATTCCTTACAGTTCCTATTTGGTTCCTACTTGATTCCTTTTTGGTTATAGAATATTCAACAAAAGTTTAAACCTTTAGCACATAATGTAAATTATCATAAAAGAGTTTTATGTGATTGTCTTTTTGATCAGCTTAAGACTTTTTCAGCTTTTTCATTTTTTTCGTCTGCCGTTTCAAGCCAACAAATGCACGAATTAAACTACGGTTGATTTCATTAGAAAAACCAATTATTTTTCTGCAAAATAACATTAAAACGGGTTTAAAAATATTTTATGCCTGGATTTTCTTGAGAGTATGAAGTCGGGTAGTCAAAAAGGGCTAACTCGATGATGCGGTTTAGACACCTTAGCTAAAGAAAACCTATCTTCGTGTCAATAGATAAAAGATAGAGAAAAAAAACGTTTGATATTTCGCCAAAATTTCAGAGAAATTCATTCAGCCAATTTTTCCGTAGAGTTTTTTATAGATTTTTACGAAAAAGGCGTTTTTCACTCTCGAATTTGCTTGAAAGTGAACCGAAATTCATTTAAAAAGATGCAAATTGAACAAAAAAACACTTTTTTTATAGAGCAAACTATAGATTAATTGGTGAATTTGTTACTTTTTAACAGAAGTACGAAAAAAATGAAAAAGACTTTTGCATCAACCTAATAGTTCCTACTTGGTTCCTATTTGGTTCCTATTTGATTCCTATTTGATTCCTTTTTGGTTATAGAATATTCAACAAAAGTTTAAACCTTTAGCACATAATGTAAATTATCATAAAAGAGTTTTATGTGATTGTCTTTTTGATCAGCTTAAGACTTTCCACATTAAAAATATCATTTCTAACTAAATTTTAGGACAATCTCACGTATTTACCTCTTAGTAATTGATTAGAATAATTGAGCATGGGTTTTAATGCGGCAGAAGTTTTCTAAAGTGTGCCACATATTGATTAGATAGTAATTGATTAGAATAAGTGAGCATGGATTTTAATGCGGCAGAAGTTTTCTAAAGTATGCCACATAAATTTTCTCGGCATGAAGCATGAATTTTAAGAGTTTCTCTAATACAAATCTTATTCTACAAAACAAAACTACTGATAGGAACAATGTTTACTAACCGGACAAAGACTTTCGTTTAATTGTGAAATTCTTGCAGATAATTGGATTAATCTCTGAATTTAAAAGCAACCATATATTCCATTCATCAATCCTTTTCAGCAATTGATCCCCATTGAGAGATCCGAGCCAGTGTCAGTGACTCCCTCCCCTCCTTCACCCACTCTCCTTCCATCCACCACTCTTCCACCAATCACTGTCACTTTCCCATCATTCGTCTATCGACCAAAAGCGAAAGAAATCGGAAGAGATCCATACTTTGATAATATTTTGCAAGAAGTTGAGGAGTACGACGATTTCTTGGTGAGTAAAAGAGAAGAAAGCTTTAACCGAAAGCTTTATCATCAGAAAGCTTTAACCGAAAGCTTTAAGCGAAAGCTTTAACCGAAAGCTTCAACCGAAAGCTTTATCAATTCCAGGATCAAGAAGCTCAGTACCGTGAGAGTTATCCATACGCCAGATTACCGTTGAATCCCTATCTCCAGCTTCATCCTGGACAACTCTTGCCACCACTTTTCCAGGTGTTGAAATAGAAAATTTAGAAATACGAATAATTCTAGAGAGGAGTCACCATTGATAACAGTGGATATATAAAACCATTGGAGAACCACGAAGTGATTGGAACGTTTGATGTAAGTTGTCAATTTCAATATTGTTAATATGTTCTCAAAGTGTTAGCTAACCTTTTGACTAACTAACTGATTTCAGGGCAAAGCTCGGTCCGAACTCCCAGCTCAACAAGTCCAACAACCTCAACAACCTCAACAACCTGCCCAACAATATCAACAACAAACGAATCAGAATCCTCTCTATCCACAGCAACAATATGGAGGTGAGATTGAAATCGATTTCTATTGACAATTTACAAACATTTAGGTGTGAATGTCTTCCAACAGCCCACTCCCACAAATACAGCCACTAATACAGCCACTGAAAACCCTCTACTCAACATTTTCAAGCTTTTCGAATTTGTAAGTTCTATCAGATCTTGAAATAAATCAAGAAATTTCTATTTTAGCCCAAGTTCCAAGTCTAGATAGATTTGGTGAGTTCAATGTACTAATAACTGTCAAAAAAACTGTCCATAAACTTGCTAACACATTTCTTTCTTATGTACTAACATCAAAACTTTAAGCAAAAAGCTCAAGAGCAATTCCGAAAGCTGAAAACCAACTAAATATTAACCGGTTTGGGTCATTGAATCAAGCTGCTTTGTGTGCTTGATTGCATTTGGTTAGAGAACCTGAGCGCTAGAAGCGCTCAACTTCTCTAACCAAGTGCATTGATATCTCTTCAAAACTTCTCAATTTCAGTCTCCAATCGATCACAAATACTACGATAGAATCTTCGGAAAGAGATAAAAAGAAATAAAGAAATAAAAACTAATTGAATTTGTATTTATAATAATTTAAATAATCAACAATTTCAAGCTTTTTAACAATTATAGATTGTTAGGATTTTTTTGGTGTAAAATGAACTGTACATGACCTAAATCATATCATAATTTCTTCTCTATTTTCTATTTTTCCAATCAATATCCTGCTCAAGATACGAGGTGTTGTGTTGTGTTGAGATTTCGATAATTTTACCTACCAAAATTGTAATTTATTTATTGTGTGATAAAATTTTGACGCTATGATATCACAATGTGTACAAACAAATGAAAAAAACGAAAAAGAAAAAGAAAAACTGAAATTTTGGCTCTATGAGAACTGAGCTATTAAAAAAAGAAAAGTTAAACAAAGCAAATAAAAAAATAAAAAAATTTGACCCATAAATGAACGGTTATGGTAATTTCTTTCTTTTGAAAGCTTTTTTTTCGAGTTTTCTAAGTAGGGAAACGAAAAACGAATGGGTAATTTGAAGGGAAGGTACATAAACTACAGTTTAAATCGTTGATTTTCTTTCGCATTTCGGTGGAATGAAGCGAATCGGCGGAACAAGTCATCAAGAAGACATCAAAAGGGCGAGCGAAGTCGTTAAAAAGCATTTGAGGAATGAAGCGATTGATTTCATGAACGGTTTATTTTTTCAGCGAAACCTTGACTCGAGCAAGGATTGTGTCTACATGCTTCAATCAGATTCACAAATGAAGTTTCCCGCCTTCCACGTTCAACCGCAAATGGAAATGATTCCATATTGAGGGTTTTTCTCGAGTTTTGTACAATTTTGGTCCTTTGATTGTGTCATTTTTCGAATTTTTATTTGCTTGTGAAATAAAGTTGTACAATTTCCCTCTTCAACGATGATTTGTTGTGTTGAAGACACATGGCGGTATCTTTTTATTTTTACTATTGTGAAAACTTTGATGTTTGGAAAACACTTTGCATCTGGTTTGGTTCAAATGGCGTTTTGGATTATCGTTATTTTAGGCTTTACCATTATTTTTGTTTAGGAGAAGATCATCGAACGAGATTCCGAATCTTTTGCAATTCCGCCAGATGTAAGATTTAGTACTTTATTATGATATTTTCTCGTTTAGGCAGATTTCACCGGTCAAAATGCGGAAAACCACGATAGAAAGTCGGGAAAGCTTAAGCTGGTGGGTGACTAATTTATTTGTTTATAATACAAGTATTGGTTAAAATCTATTATAATGTTTAGACCCCACCCATGATCGCCGTCTCGCCAGCTGATGAGGACGATCCATTTGCAGGACCTCCCGAGGACATTACCAAATTTGAGAAGTTCGGCTTTGATCCTCTTGTAAGTTTTGTCGTTTTTAATCAACGAAATCGGCACATTTATTTTCCCAGTGTTTTCCTTTTTGTATTTCAGGCAAGCACATCAAACGGCACTTCAAGGAAAAGTGCGCATTCGTCGAAAAGAGGAGGTACCAACTTTTAAAAGAAGCATATCAGCTTATTTGCTAATTTTAGGATCCGATAGGCTCAAGGGGCGGATAGCGTATGATAAGCGATACGCGAATGAACGTAATATGAGCAATCTTATAGGTTAGTATTTATCTCGTGATTTTAGCCCCGCAAGTACACCGAGGACAGACAGCTCGCGGAATGCGTGGTAGTGGACCTCGTGGAATGACGATGAGAGGAAGAAGCGGGCCACGCGGAATGTCACGAGGAGGAGCACAAGGAGTGGGAAGAGGTGAAGGCGTTAGTTTTCTGTACGAAAGTACAGTAACTCATTTTAAATCACCGTATTGAGCTAAAAAGCTTTTTAAGCTTCAGATGAATTGAGCAAAAAATGCGACTAGGGAAATTCCCTGTCTTGACAGCCCATAACTGTCCGCACCTAAAGCCCGCTCGCTGTGATACTTTTTGAACAGTAACTAATCTACAATGTTTATCAAGAAAAGCAACAACATAGAGGTTAAGTGTGAGCGTGAAGTTGGCACAAGATAAATTCCTAAGCGGATAATCAAATAACAAAGCGTGAAGACATGATAATCCAAATTAGCAATTATATTGTTAAGCGAAAATACAAGACACAAATTCAACTACTGGAATAAGCACATTTAAACAAGAGTTGCCTAACATGGCTAAAATATTGCCTCGCTCGGGTTTCTGGTAAGATTGATTCTAGCGTTGTAAATCGAGCAGACTGGAGCTGGTTGAGCCACGGGGCGTCCATACAGCTAAAGAGCTATTAATGTGTACAAAGGTGTAACAAAACAAAACAAACCCCGCATGCAGCTTGCCGAGACTTCAGCCCTTCTTTTATAGCGGTCATAAGCTCGCTTCCTAACTAAATAAGATCAATTGAGGAGATACGTAGTCAGTCTTTAGCCAATTACAATGCTTTACAAGGCAAGAGCGTTCAACAAATACAGCGTAAAACCTTACTTGCTTTAGCAGTTTTGAAATTTCAATCTGAAGATATTTGTTTTTCTTCTTTTGACATCCCATGAAGGCTCGAATCATTGCTGTTTGAGTGGACGGGGACGAAGGTTGTAGTGGTGTAGTGGTGTAGTGACAAAGGAGTGATTGGACTGGTGGCGGGATGGGCAAACGCCGGTAGAATGTAATGGGGGTCGAGCTCCGTCGATGAGAAAAGAGAGTTGGAAATAAAAAAATCTCCTAAGAATCAAAGAATCAAAACCCACATGTCTGTGTCGGGGGACTCGAGGATCCAGGACTCGTCCGACTTGGCGTTAGGTTTGGAGTAATTGCTGCTTAAAAAATTGAGTTAGCAAATCCGATGAAATTGCAAATCCTACCGACGCGCTTCTTGCCGGTCTTTCTGGCGCTTTTCTTCGAGGTGGAAGAGCGGTTTCGGCTGCTTGAGCTTGAAGAGCGGCTGCCGCTCTTCAAGCTCCTCACCTCACAATTGCACGGAAAAGCGGCAGCAACTCTTCAGGCTCAAGCAGCCGAAACCGCTCTTCCACCTCGAAGAAAAGCGCCAGAAAGGCCGGCAAGAAGCGCGTCGGTAGGATTTGCAATTTTATCGGATTTGCTAACTCAATTTTTTAAGCAGCAATTACTCCAAACCTAACGCCAAGTCGGACGAGTCCTGGATCCTCGAGTCCCCCGACACAGACATGTGAGTTTAGATTCTTTAATTCTTAAGATTTTTATTTCCGTTTCCCCTCGCGGCCCCCGTGGCCGCCCCCGTCGTTCCCGCGTCGTCGCTCCGCCCGCGCCAAAACGTCCTCACCTCACAATTGCACGGAAAAGCGGCAGCAACTCTTCAGGCTCAAGCAGCCGAAACCGCCCCTCCACCTCGAAGAAAAGCGCCAGAAAGACCGGCAAGAAGCGCGTCGGTAGGATTTGCAATTTTATCGGATTTGCTAACTCAATTTTTTAAGCAAAGATTCCCAGCCTATCGCGAAGTCGGAGTCCTGGATCCTCGAGTGCACAGACATGTGAGTTTAGATTCTTTAATTCTTAAGATTTTTATTTCCGTTTCCCCTCGCGGCCCCCGTGGCCGCCCCCGTCGTTCCCGCGTCGTCGCTCCGCCGGTCGTCGCTCCCGCGTTACTCTGCACCTCATTTGCAATGTCTCCTCCAGCTCCAGTGAGTTTAATTTTTTTTATCATTCTATAATCAATTAATTTAATTTTTTATTTTTAGACTGCCCACCGTTCCCGCAGCCGTTCCACTTCATCTCGGCTCAACTCGGCGCCAAACCGTTCTATCCCATTTATTGGATGGAAAAGCGGCAGCAACTCTTCAGGCTCAAGCAGCCGAAACAGCCCCTCCACCTCGAAGAAAAGCGCCAGAAAGACCGGCAAGAAGCGCGTCGGTAGGATTTGCAATTTCATCGGATTTGCTAACTCAATTTTTTAAGCAGCAATTACTCCAAACCTAACGCCAAGTCGGACGAGTCCTGGATCCTCGAGTCCCCCGACACAGCAATGTGGGTTTTGATTCTTTGATCCTTAAGATTTTTTATTTCCAGTTTTCTTTTCTCATCGACGGAGCTCGACCCCCATTGGATGCTACCGACCTTTGCCCAACCCCTCCATCAGTCAAATCACTCCTTTGCCGGCCGGTCAGCACTACAACTTTCGTCCTCGTCCACCCAAACAGCAACAAAGCAACAACGTCCATATGATGCACAAAAAGAAGTGAATGGTATTTTTTACTCGTTTACTTGTTTTTTTACTCGTTTACTGGTTGAAATAAATATAATAAAAATTACCGGGTTTAAAGATACCATATTATTCTCATAAATATTGAATACATTGTACACGTACCCACCATCCGCCTCGTTTCCAGGACTATTAGACCAGAGATTCGGCCAATACTTTGCTATCACTCACGGATTTTTTTGTTTCTCTAAAACGTTGTCGCAAGAAAAATAAGGATTTTGTGCACCAAAAGCCGAAATTTGGAACAGTGTACAGACGAAAATCCAGATCCAGATCTAAGACCTATCACATCGCATTTCGCTCTCCGTCGATTTGATCACTTTGCGTCTTTTGTTGAAGATGCTTTCTTTCTGAAGTGTTTCGCCCAGAAATCAACGTCGAGATTTGCTCAACGTTAACAACTTTAAGTTACTTCTTTTTGAAAAATTATAGCCTTTTGCGCTATTGAAACACGGTGAAAAGCGCCTGCTATGGCCTTTTGGTGAAATTTGGTTGGATAAATTGAGTTTATCACAAACTCTCGTTAAGCTTCCTTGGAAAAACCAAAACTAAAACGTCATTCTAACCTTTCAGCAAAAAGCCAGGTAAAAGTAAAAAAAAGGAAACACTTTTAAACTAACCCCGTGCTGCTTTTTTGCCTCGAATCTCATCGTTTTGATTGAAAAGTTGTAGAATATTCATGTCTTTTTTGCCAGTTAGCCCTCCATTTTACTTTTTTATACAACATCACCTTTTATCCATGAAGTTTCAAGGCAGATAAATTGAAAACTTATTGAAAAGTGATTCGTCAGCAGTTCTATCATTAGTCAAGAGTTATTTTAGGAAGATCGAAACCCGAAGAGGCTTGTGAAAGGATTTTTGATTTCTGATTCTGATTTTTTGACTTTATCTTTTATCTATCTCAAGAAGAAATCACATAATAATACCACTATAACATTACAAAAACAAAAACAAATCCAAAGTCGATCCGCATCCTTAGAATTCGATGTTTGGCCGCGAGGCGTACGGCACTCTGAAAATCAAATTTTGAGTCCCGTAAGTAAAAGTTTCTTTGACGTTAAGGAAGCGAAAAATTGGATAGCTTTTCAAATTTAGTCAACACCTTACGTAAGTGCCCTCCGATAGCCAACTAGGTTGATAAAAAGTAGAAAAAGCCTCACCATGGTCGCATCGAATTGATCGATCTCAGCGCTCATCGCACAACTCGATGTGAGCGGCTGGAGTCGTTGCGGTCACTGTCGGATGTTCGGAGCAGTGACGGCTTGCGATAGAGAAGATTTCTTAAAATACATCAGTTGTAATTGACCCCTCTTTTTAATGTCTCACCCCATATCTTTTAAAACTACAATTTCCGCCATTTTTCATTAAGCTTTGGAATGGAAAAGCCTCTTTAAGAGTATTCGCAGCTCAATTTTGACCCGTCCGACGCACAATCTCGACCCACACTTTGAAAGGTTTGAAACCTCGATAAAACCTAATTGAGCAAGATCGGAAGCGCGTGAGTGTACTAAAAAAAGAAATGATCATTCATCACCTCTATTAACCCTATTAATAGAGGTGATGAATGATCATTTCATTCGTGCGAGATGTAGATAGCACCAAGTAACATTTGGGTAGCCGAAACATCAAAGTTTTCACAATAAAATAAACAAAAATGTACCACCATGTGCCTTCAACACAACAAATCATCGCTGAAAAAGAGAAATTGTACAACTTTATTTCACAAGCAAATAAAAATTCGAAAAATGACACAATCAAAGGACCAAAATTATACAAAACTCGAGGAAAACCCTTAAAATCACATCATTTCCATTTGCGGTTGAACGTAGTAGGCTAGGAAATTTGTGGGTCTCTCTATCTCTTGTGGATCTGATTGAAGCATGTAGACACAATCCCTGCTCGAGTCAATGTTTCGTTGAAAAAATAAACCGTCAATGAAATCAATCGTGCCCAAATACTTTTTAACGACTTCGCTTGCCATTTTGCTGTATTCTTGATGACTTTCTCCGTTGATTCGCTTCATCCCAGGGAAATGCGAAAGAAACCAAACAATTCGTGCATTCACGTCCTTAGAATAGACGGCGGGAAGATAAACAGCCGCCTTCAAATTCTTGCTTGGGATCGGCTTTTTAACTATTGACTGCACCATCTCTTTAAACTCGTCCGGATAGACATATATCCGGATAGACATGAACAATTTGATCGAAGTCTTGGCAAAAGCATCGTAGTAGCGCTGAAATAAAATAAGACCCCAACGATCACATTCAAATTGTTCGCAGTCATTTGCTTGATTTACGATGAAATTATCGAAAAGCTTTCTGGCCACTTGATTTTCAAACGCTCTGGCCTTCGGAAGTCGGACATATTCCTCAACCTTTCCGTGGAAATTCTCGAAAATATTTCCAAAACACCGTCGAATTTTTCGATGGAATTTCAAAATTTTAACAGATTTCAATTGATTCAGAATCGTTACAAATTCGTCGGCGACTTTTTCTTGGCGCGAGCCTATCCACAATTCGTCACAAGAGCGGATTCGTTTGACTAGTGGAAGATGAGTGGCAGCAAATTTGACCAAATATGAGCCAGGGAGCTTCTGGAGAAAAATTTCTTCGACTTGGTCCAAGTAGATCGCGTACACGTGATGGTCGAAAACGAGCCACGGCTTGTGTGAAAGCATCGAGTAAAATCCCACATTCACTTTAACCAACTCGACCGTATCTTCTGCGTCCATTTCCTCCAGCACTTCCAACCTTAGATCGTAACAGAGCTTCTCCATCCGAAACGACGTCAGATTCTTCATTTCAAATGGCATCTTGAGCGACATTCTTGCACCTGTAAAGAAAACGATTCGTTTTTGTCGGGAAATGAAAGAGAAAACGGAAAAAGCAATCAATTTTTGTGGCAAAATGGTTTTCTGATTTTCTTGGGGTCAAATTTAGAGCTTAATGACTTTTTCATGCCAACAACTTGTCTAATTTCATAGAAATGTGAGCAAATAGCGATTTGCCTAAGTGAAAAGATAAATATTAAGCAAAACTTCCTGGAGAGAGCTAAAAATTTCACAAAGCCTGTCATAAATCAAAAATAATACGGCTCTTTAACCGAATCACCGCTCGAAAACACCTTCAGTAGTCGGTTTATTATAGTCAAAAGTTGATTTACGATTCTCAAGAGACCGGGATTCTCCATCGTTAAACCGGGAAAATCGTTAAATCGAACGGCTTTATGAGGTAAAGAGCTTTCAAGGGATCAAAAATTGAGATCGTTAAATCGAGGCTTGACTGTATTATAAAAGAAAAAAGTACCAAGACTAACAAAAACCTTGTCAAATATCGTGAAACACCCGTAAGCACATTACGGGTCAAGAAAAAAAACCGAACAACCTAGCAATAAGTTCGTACAAATTCTGTAAACCAAAAATTTTCTCACAAAAAGAATCACGGAAAACGTGCAATTTATCAAATCTAGATCGGAAATGGGGATTTTAGCTTCAAGATGCAATTGAAATCTGCAACGAAAGGTTAAGGTTAAAGAAGTTAAAACTACAAAAGCGAGAAAAATCAAGCGCTCGCCGGCTTCAGCGAGTAGCGATAAATGAAAAACTTTCACAAATTCTTTCCTTCAACTGAATATCTTGAATTGAAGGGAATTTTTAAATGCATTTTACTGTTTTAGTTAAAGTTAAAGGCAATTTTACTCTTTTAAATGGAAAGTAGCCGAAATTTTTTCAAAGCCGAATATTTTACTCTACTAAATTTCAGAAATTATCATAATAGAACAAACAAAGAGATCGAACAAAACACTTTTCCGAAATGAGCATTTCTGAAATTTAGCAGAGCCGAGTATTTCCTCGACGAGTGCAGTTAAAGAAGGAGAAAGTTGGCTCGAGAAGAGACATTCCCAAAACAAATTTTAAGATTAGCAAAGCTAAATTTCAGAATAAGTAAAGAGAAAAGGTTTCGAAAGTGAAAAGTGAAGAGAAATGAATTCTCCTTTGATTTTTTTTCCTTTTATATCGCTACCGATTGATAGGGCTCGGGCATTACTCTGTTTGATAGGCCAATTCATTTTTATCATTTTTAGCCATAAATCTAACAAATAAACACGAAATAAATGAATTTTCTCGGAAAAAATTTTTAATGAGGAAATAGGCCACGATTGTTACCCCGCCTTTAATTATTTTGAATGATATTTTAGGGCGGTTATTTTCGAGGCGTCAACGAGGCGGATAGTGGGTACGTGTACAATGTGTTCAATATTTATGAGCACCAGTAGATTGCTAGGTTTAAATCCCATTCTCTACAGGTTTAATGTTAAAAAAGGTTCGCCCGACCTCACCAATAAAAAAATTTCTTCACCTGATTCCCATGTCATACATACCCAAGAAAGAGTGCATGAAACAACTCGTAAAGTACTCGCTTTTAGATGATCATCGTCACTACGAGCTCGCTTCCGTTCCTAATTTTTGTCAATCTCTTTACAACGGTGCGACTCGTCACGTTTTTTGCTATGGGAAAAGGAAAACGGGCTTATTCATGAGCAAGTGGCACATAGTCACAATTTCAACACACAAAATGCATTAAACTATTTTCTGAGTCAGGAAAAGTAGCATGCAGGACAATAACACGACAATTTCAGATCTTGACATTTCTCTTTGCAATTGGGATCATTGTCATATTGCAATTCACGGTCCAACAACCATTTCATTTGCATGAATTGCCGACCGTTCAGACGACCAAGACAACAAAAATAGCATCAATGCAGCTTCAATTCATCAATAAAAATGGAGAATACCTTGCCGATTGATTTTTGCTTGTTGGAGTTTTTTTTCAATAAATAGTTTTGATGGAAAAACGCGCATTATTTTCTTTACATCCTGATAAAGTTAAAAGGGTGTGGCTCCGTATTCAAAGATCACCTAATGACTCAAGGCAGTTAGTAAGCGCGCAGAACTTTAATTCATTCATTCTAGTTGTTTCAAAAAGTGGGGAGATCGATTTCGAACGAAGCAGGTGATGATGCCTCATCCGATCAAAGCTCCCTAAATGAACTCGAAAATGAACGCGAAGAGCCGGAAGAAAAAGAAGATGAAGTAGAAAAACTTTCTCATCGTCCACATTTTTTTCGATTCAAAAATTCATTTAATTTTTGTTTTTTCTAATAAATTTGTTGACCCAAGGGTTTCTGTACAAAAGCACAGCAATTAATTTTAAATCACCGTATTGAGCTAAAAAGCTCTTCAAGCTTCAGATGAATTCGGCAAAAAATGCAACTACTAGGTTGGTGCAAATGAAATTTCGTTTTTTTACAAACATTAAAGTCATCCAAAATTTTTTTTGATAACAATTTATTTAAAACAATAAGCACCATTATTATCTATGACATCCCTCCAACGTTGCTACAGATTGCGGATCCCCTTCTCAAAGAACGCTTGATTCTGTGATGCAAAGTAGTTGGTCACCCAATTTTCGACTTCTTTTGCATTCTTAAACTGGCAATTCTCAAGGGAATGTTGCATCGATCTGAAAAGGTGAAAAGGTGAAAATCGGAGGGTGCTAAGTCTGGACTATACGGCGCATGTGGTAAGACCTTCCATCCTAGCTTCTCTAGTTCCTTACAAGAGGTTTTTGCCGTGTGAGCTGGAGCATTATCACGGAGAAAGCTGATAGTTGAGGGATTTAGGCCTTTTTCACGCAAAATTTCGTCAACCTTCTTGAGTTGTTGAATAAAATAAGATGAATCGACTGTTTTTCCGGGCTCTAATAATTCAAAATGAACAAGTCCATTGATATTCCACCAGCAAGACAACATCACTTTGCGCCCATGATAATCCGGCTTTGAAGTTGGAATTGGCGCTTGACCTTTGCTCAGCCATTGTCTTTTTCGAGAAGTATTATCAAAGTGAATCCACTTCTCATCCATCGTCAAGATATTCTCAAAAAAAATGGCTTCTTTTCGACTTCTGGAGCAAGATATGGCTGATCGGAACACGTGCTCCCAGATTCTCAACACTCAATTGATGTGGAACCCATTGTCCATTACGATTTGTCTTTCCAATTATTTCCAAATGGCGTACAATTGTTGAATTGGAGATGTTTGGCAAGTTCTCGTGTTGTTTGCATTGGATCAGCTTCAATTAATTGTTCCAATTCATTGTTGTCGATGGCTGTGGCACGATGTCCATGCGATTCGTCTTCAAGGGATTCATTACCATCTCGGAATTGGGCAAACCAGAGCTGGCATGATCTTTCGGTGATAACCTGTTCTCCAAAGGCGGAACAGAGATCACGATGTGAATCAGCAGCGTTTTTGCCCATTTTGAAGTCATAGAGAAGACACGTGCGCAGAACATACTTTTGATCCACCATGATCTAAAGCAAAAATCAATTAAAAAGTGAAAGCTCTGACTTTGAAAAAATGCGAAAATAAAGTAAATATCCAAGAGTACAAATGCACGAAAGAACATCAAATAAGCTCTTCAGATTAAAAAAATAAGAACATTTTATATCGACCGAAATTTCTTTTGCACCAACCTAATAGGTAAATTCCCTGTCTTGACAGCCCATAACTGTCCGCACCTAAGGCCCGCTCGCTGTGATACTTTTTGAACAGCAACTAATATATAATGTTTATCAAAAAAAGCAACAACATAGAGGTTAAGTGTGAGCGTGAAGATGGCACAAGATAAATTCCTAAGCGGATAACCAAAGAACAAAGCGTGAAGACAAGATAATCCAAGCTAGCAATTAGATTGTTAAGCAAAAATACAAGACACAAATTCAACTACATAATAAACCAATAAATTTCAGAAATGCTCATTTCGGGAAGGTGTTTTGTTCGATCTCTTTGTTTGCTCTATTATGATAATTTCTGAAATTTAGTAGAAGGGGCGAGGTCCGGACTGTATGGGGAATGCGCCAAAAGTTCCCAAACAAGGCTATTTATTGTAAGAAATGTAAGAAAAGATAGATAGATTATAGACAAATATTATATTACTCTTGACGACTTCTGCCCCTTTTACAGGCAATTTGTGGATCCCTCTTTCTTCGTAGGATTTTGGTTTGTGTGTGAGACAAGTGTGAGACTCAAAAATGGAGGACTGGAAATGTCCCAGTTTGAGCACTTTCTTCAAAAGAAACCCATTTTGGTGTGAATAGAAAAGTTGTAGAGAATCAAAAATTAGGCTTATAGCCAAATTTCCAAAAAGATACACTTAGTAGTTTCGCTTAAAATGCAAGTTTTGTGAAAATTCGTAAATTTCGCATTTCTTGAAAACCAGTTTTTGAATCGTTCTGAAAATTTGGATATAAGCTTGATTTTTGATTCTCTACAACTTTTCCATTGACACCAAAATGGGTTTCTTTTGAAGAAAGTGCTCAAACTGTCACATATGACAATAGCCGGCAGTTTTCAATTCACCAACCCAATAATATCAAAAAAATAGTTAAAGCCATCTAATAGACATTCATAAACTAATACAAGGAAACTCCTAAAATTCATGCCATCCTTTTCCGATCAATTCAATTTCAACTTCTCTCTTTTGTTTATTTCTAATGTTTTCTCGTGCCCCAAAAAGCAGTTTCAAAAAGCCGTTTCCCCATTTCCCCCAGTAAAGTAATAGATAATTAAGTAATAATAATTTGAATAGAGTCAAGTAACTCATTTTCGTTTTCTCTTCCATCTTTACAAAAGGTTTCTTTTTCTTTACTTGTGCTCACTCATCTCACTCATTGGGATTCCAGGCGGTGACTGAATGGGGGAATAAATGGACAGACTTTTGCCTACCAAAGACAATCATTCTTTTACTATGTTACTATATTGGGTTAGCGCCTAGTAAACTTTGGATTTTTCAAAGAGTTCAAGTTCTTGGAAATTTGATGTTTTTGCTGCCCCTGCGGACCGAAATCCTTGGGATGAATCCAAAAATTCACAGCGGCCCCCTTCAGCACCCTTTTACAGGCACTTGGGATCCCATTTCGACCGGCGGAGAACCCACCATTGTGGCCAAAATGAGCCGGAACTGGGTTTACCAATTCTACAGCCGAGGTTAGTTTTGGGAAGCGGTGACCATATGGGGCAGACAACGGATTGGTTACCGGATGACCCAAAATGGACGCTTCCGATGGACGAGTGAAAAAAAAACGATATCTGCTAATGCAGGATGCCACATCGAGTGCGATTGTGCACGCGCACAGTGAACGCACCGGGCTCCTCGTTTTTGCATTTTAAAATTTGATGTTTTTAACATCAAATTTTTGAAATTTAGTTATAATGTACTTCTTATAACACTGTCAATCGATTCCCCAACCCCGAAAACCCCGGGTGCAATTTCTTTGTTCAAAAATTTGAATAGGAATTAAATAGAAAACTATAAAGAAACAAATGGGAAATAAATACGAATAAAAAGATGCTTACTGTTTGGTTCCTATTTGTTTTCTTATAGCTTCTATTTGATTCCTTTTTGGTCACTGTTTGGTTCCTTATAGTTCCTATTTGGTTCCTATTTGGATCCCATTGGTTTCTATTTGGTTCCTATTTGGTTCCTATTTGGTTCCTATTTGATTCCTACTTGATTCCTTACAATTCCTATTTGGTTCCTATTTGGATCCCATTGGTTTCTATTTGGTTCCTATTTGATTCCTATTTGATTCCTATTTGATTCCTATTTGGTTTCTACTTGGTTCCCATTGGCTTCTATTTGATTCCTACTTGGTTCCTATTTGATTCCTACTTGATTCCTTACAGCTCCTATTTGGTTCCTATTTGATTCCTACTTGATTCCTTACAGCTCCTATTTGGTTCCTATTTGATTCCTATTTGATTCCTTGGTTCCTTTTTGGTTATAGAATATTCAACAAAAGTTTAAACCTTTAGCACATAATGTAAAACAGTTTTATGTGATTGTCTTTTTGATCAGCTTAAGACTTTCCACATTAAAAATATCATTTCTAACTAAAATTTTAGGACAATTTCACGTATTTACCTCTTAGTAATTGATTAGAATAAGTGAGCATGGATTTTTATGCGGCAGAAGTTTTCTAAAGTATGTCACATAAATTTTCTCGGCATGAAGCATGAATTTTAAGAGTTTCTCTAATACAAATTTTGATTCTACAAAACAAAACTACAATGTTTACTAATAACCGGACAAAGACTTTCGTTTAATTGTGAAATTCTTACAGATAATTAATCTCTGAATTTAAAACCAACCATATATTCCATTCATCAATCCTTTTCAGCAATTGATCCCCATTGAGAGATCCGAGCCAGTGTCAGTGACTCCCTCTCTTCCTCCACCAACTCTCCTTCCATCCACCACTCTTCCACCAATCACCGTCACTTTCCCATCATTCGTCTATCGACCAAAAGCGAAAGAAATTGGACGAGATCCATACTTTGATAATATTTTGCAAGAAGTTGAGGAGTACGACGATTTCTTGGTGAGTAAAAGAGAAGAAAGCTTTAACCGAAAGCTTTATCATCAGAAAGCTTTATCAATTCCAGGATCAAGAAGCTCAGTACCGTGAGAGTTATCCATACGCCAGATTACCGTTGAATCCCTATCTCCAGCTTCATCCTGGACAACTCTTGCCACCACTTTTCCAGGTGTTGAAATAGAAAATTCAGAAATACGAATAATTCTAGAGAGGAGTCACCATTGATAACAGTGGATATATAAAACCATTGGAGAACCACGAAGTGATTGGAACGTTTGATGTGAGTTGTCAATTTCGATATTGTTAATGTGTTCTCAAAGTGTTGGCTAACCTTTTGACTAACTAACTGATTTCAGGGCAAAGCTCGGTCCGAACTCCCAGCTCAACAAGTCCAACAAGTCCAACAAGCTCAACAACCTCAACAACCTGCCCAACAATATCAACAACAAACGAATCAGAATCCTCTCTATCCACAGCAGCAATATGGAGGTGAGAAATCGATTTCTATTGACAATTTACAAATTTTTAGGTGTCAATGTCTTCCAACAACCCACTCCGACTAATACAGCCACTAATACAGCTACTGAAAACCCTCTACTCAACATTTTCAAGCTTTTCGAATTTGTAAGTTCTATCAGATCTTGAAATAAATCAAGAAATATCGAAATAAATCAAAAAATTTCAATTTTAGCCCAAGTTCCAAGTCTAGATAGATTTGGTGAGTTCAATGTATTAATAACTGTCAAAAAAAACTGTCCCTAAACTTGCTAACACATTTCTTTCTTATGTACTAACTTCAAAACTTTAAGCAAAAAGCTCAAGAGCAATTCCGAAAGCTGAAAATCAACAAAATATTAACCGGTTTGGGTGATTGAATCAAGCTGCTTTGTGTGCTAGAAGCGCTCAGCTTCTCTAACCAAATGCATTCATATCTCAATCACTCAAAACTTCTCAATTCCAGTCTCCAATCGATCACAAATCCTTCGATAGAATCTTCGGAAAGAGATAAAAAGAAAATTAAACTAATTGAATTTGTATTTATAATAATTTAAATAATCAATACTTTTAAGCTTTTTAACGATTATAGATTGTTAGGACTTTTGATGTAAAATGAACTGTACATGACCTAAATCTATCATAATGTATCATAATCTATCATAATCTATCACAATCTATCATAATTCTATCATAATTCTATCATAATTCTATCATAATCTATCATAATTTCTTCTCTATTTTCTATTTTCCCAATCAATATCCTGCTCAAGATACGAGGTGTTGTGTTGTGTTGAAATTTCGATAATTTTACCTACCAAAATTGTAATTTATTTATTGTGTGATAAAATTTTGACGCTATAATATCACAATGTGTACAAACAAATGAAAAAAACGAAAACGAAAAAGAAAACTGAAATTTTGGCTCTATAAGAACTGAGCTACTAAAAAAAAGAAAAGTAAAAACAAAGAAAATAAAAAAATTTGACCCATAAATGAACGGTTATGGTAATTTCTTTCTTTTGAAAGCTTTTGTTTCGAGTTTTCTAAGTAGGGGAAACGAAAAACGAATGGGTAATTTGAAGGGAAGGTACATAAACTACAGTTTACAGTAAGAAAGATTACAATAAGAGTAATCTTGAAGATGAAGAATAGGAACACACGAATGGACTCTGAAAGGTAGCTAGGTAGCTAAACTTGTCCAGACTTACAAAAAACTAAATTCGATTTTTTGTTAACTGGATATCATATCAAATATATGATAAATTCACACGGTTAATAAACGTTTCCCTAGCGGATTCTCAATCCATGGATAGGCTAGAGGACAAGAGCCACAGATACGGAATGAATGAGGGACACCGCCTTGGATCGAAGATGAAGAATAGGAACACACGGATGGACTCTGAAAAGAAGTCATTGTTTTATAAACCGTTTACCACATCTTCCCTAATAATATTTTCCCGCCAAGCCGAGTTGATCACCATTTTACAGTTTCTAAGCTTTCACAGAAGCTCAACACTCAAATCCCCCACAAGATCTCATCGTCAGCTACATTTTCCGACCCCAAATCGATAGGCTCTGATAAGCGGTTCTCGAGATTTCGAGATAGGCAAAGCTTACGGTCCACTACTATTGGAGAAAATAGGGTATGCAGTTTTTAACACATTCGTCACAATACAGACCACTTCTCTCCAATTTCTCAAAAACTAATAACGGATTCAGATTTTTTCTTATTTTCCTTATCTTATTCCTTATTTTCCTTATTCCTTATCCCGGAATGCCTCCGGTTACAAATTTTCACGTCTACAGTTAAGATAGATAGTCCGAAACAGCAGCCAAGCAAAAAATGACTTTGCGGTGAATGTGTTAAGTGGCTTTCATGCATCTATCAGCTTTGCCCATTTACTGTCTAATTTTTAACTGAATATCAAATCTTTTTAGATAAAAGGCTTTCATTATTATAAAAAAAAAATCGTTTTCTCTGACCTCACACGGTTGGACATGGTCATTCAAATGGAATTGGCATTGCCATGGTTGGAATCGTTGAATCTCCGATACTTTTGTTGGCCTTCTCATCCATTCAATTGCTTGTGTTGCGGTTACCACATAGACATCCGTTCGATTCAATACCTAGATGAACTTGAAAATAAGTGACAATCATCAAATCCTACATCATTCAAGAAATCCGACAATGCGTTCACAGCTCCATTATCGGGAAGAATAGTCAAGAAGTCTGTGTCCGCCGTGATCACGAATGGAGCACGATTGCCTGCAAAGATATATTCATTATAGAAAAGGCAAGCTTATTTTGTGTAGAGCCAAAATTTTAATGCTTAACAGCTTGCCTTTGTAATGGCGAAGGAAATTTCTCTTCAACATGTTCGCCACAGCATCTCGGCTGTCGAATGGCTGCAATTTATATTCAAAGACTTCAAAGAATTTTCTTAAAAGCGTACCCGAATCGCTGATCGAGCCATTGCCGAGTATTTCCCAGTGGTAGAGATGAGTTGATTGATTGGAAGCTCCCAGAGACCCCTGAAAAACAAGAATTACTGAAAAATGAATTGATATGATAACCTCCCGCTAAAGAACAAAGTGTAAAGTCTTACTTGAACGGCTTTGTTGGACAATTCTGTTCCTCGCACTCCCACGCCATTTTATGATCGAGTGTTTGGGGCCAATATGGTCCGCCTCTCAATGGCATCGAATTGTCATAAGTGAAGCCGGCTTGTTGCATCATTGCGAATTGATTGTCTCCTGAATTCGTTGTCTCCTTTTTCTAGAAGTTAATCCACCTCCAAGAAGCAATTGTGGTGCCCTGATTCCTCTCATGCTTTCCTGCTCAACGTAACTAAACTCTTTGAGCGATTCTCTCAATCCCGACATTTCATTTCTCCATCGTTGTTCGGTAGCTGTAGTCAAGGTTTCATGACTAAAATTTGAATGATAACATTTGGTAGCGTTGGTAACATTGGTAAATTGAATGGTAACATTGGTAACATTGTTAAATTGAATGATAACATTTCAGATTGGTGGAAAGGAATTAAAAGACTTTTTGGAGAACTTAATAATATAAACTTATTGCTTAATGATCTCAAAATTCTTACGTAATCGAATTCAACGCAATTTCATTCCCCCTCGAGTACAACCATTGCGCTTGATCATAGTTGTTCCACTGATGTGAGATGAAAAATGTGCCTAAAACTTGTGTACTTTTCCCAGCTCAATTTTTACCTTTAATCGGGCAACTGTTCGGATTTCTAATTCTTCCATCAAAGAGTGATTTGTAGATGTTAATCGTTCGATCAGTAATCGGATCATCAAATGTCAAAATGATCATTTGTGGAGTGTCCTTGGCGTTCAATCCACCGGGGATCACTGTGCCCGTTCTAAAAGGAAATTCGATGAACCAAGCTCAAAGTCTAAACGATTGAACTCACTTTGAACAAAAGCATCCAGGCAATTTACACGATCCATCAATTGGACAATCAGTCAACTCAGTCGCATTCTTCGTCGGTGGTGGCCTCAGTCTCAGATCTAGATTCTCCATTGAAAATCTCTGCTTAATCTTTCCAAATACCATCAACCGTATTCTCAGAAATCTCTCTTTTTGCTTTCTTTTGTGATCCACTACAAGGCTCTCCGTGATTAGTAACACCAAACGGGCATTTACAAATGTTATTCACGCATTCCGATCCAAAAGTGCACTCGTTAGAGGACATGCAAAGAGCTCCAGGTAAAACTGGAATCATATTAAAAATGGAATTGGAGATTTTAGAAACCATTGTTAGTGGGTGAGCTACAGGCTTGATCTTGGAGAAGGAGTGGCGGTTGACAAGCACAGATTCCAGCTAAACATTCAGACCCATTTACACAACGAGCTGACGGGAAATCGCAGCTGGCACCGGGAGTCACTGGAAATGCTACTTTGACTCAGTTTTACCTTTTTAAAGTCAAGGCAAAAGCTATTGAACCAACCGTCATTGAAGAGTAAACACACTCCCCGAGAATCCTCTTTCATAAAGAACGGACACTCGCATTTCTTCGTTTCTGCGCAAATTCGTGGACTCTTGCAATCCTTGTAGGAAGAGCAGCTTGCTGAAACTTCATTTCAATATTGTTAGCAAACAATTCTTGCTTGCTTACAGATGTAAATTTACTTGATTAGCCAATGATCAGAGCTTTAGCTTCTTTTCGGTTTGTTTTAATTTTTTGGCCCGCTCAGAAGGGCAGACGGATATCCTGTTCTCCTTTCGGAGTCCGGGACGCGGTCATCAGCGGTGATGAATCCTTTGTGGGGACTCATACACCGTTCTTCACGCTCTCCGCCTGCCCATTCCCAATCATCGCGGGTGCAGGGTGTTGCAAGATTGTGGGTAAAGCGAAATACACACTACAGAAATGATCCTGTGAAGTATGATTTCGATTTTAGAGGGGAAAAGGAAAGGCTATCTATTGGGGAGATGCGCCAGAAAGGGAGCGATTACGCGGGTGGATAGAGAGCGCTCAAATGGGGGAAAGGGGCGAGCAAAGGACCGCCAAAAGGGAAGAAAAGTCTCTTTTTTGCTGAAATTTTCTACTTCAGATATTCATAACATCTTTTATTTTTAAACTTAAATATTAAAGTTATAAATATAAAAACTGAATTTTAAATTCCTATTACCAAAAGTTAAAAGGAAATTTTTTTGATCGGTTTTTCGAAAGTAATTTTCGTTTTTTTAAAATTTATTAGGTAGTTTACCAGTAAATAACTCATAATTCTTTAATTAAAATATCAATTTAATATAATATTTCTAAAATTCTGCATTATAAATACTCAAAACATCTAAGCTAAAAATTTTCGATGATGAAATCAATTGAATGAAAGGGAGCGGGTGCCCTTTGTGTGGCCGCGTAATCGCGCGCTTTTTGGCACACGGCCGGGCTAGATACCGGCAAAGAGAGAGTGGTGAGCAAGTTAGCAGTTTGGAAAAACTTTACTTTGTTCCGAAAATGATCGAGCTCGGGCGATGATTCTAAGTGAATTAGAGCGCACGGACGATCGGAGACCGCAACTCTCCGGCCGATCCCCGACTGATTCGGTTCAAAAAGTTATCAAACAATTGTAAAACATAAAATCCTAACAAAATAGAACTATCAGAGCTGCGAGTTTTGGTTTTTATCTCAATAAGAATGTTCTGGGGACAGGTTAAAATGTACTTTTACGTTGATTTAAGATGAATTGTTAGCCTTTTTACTACTTGAAATAACTTCTTTATCCGACAAACCTTTTCCAACTAGAGCCTCAGCATTTGGAGCAAATCGTAGCAATAGATCCTCTCCCGTTGTCCTTGAACAATACGGTTCTTCATCGGTTTCCGTGCCAAGTGGACACACACAATATCCTTGATCACAGACTGATACACCCTGACAAGGCAGGCCACCGATTGAACATCGAGAACCGGGCAACACTAGAAAGAATGATTGCTTGATTGATCTTGAAGCTCATTTAGATTCTAGAGACTTAATTAGAAAACAATTTTGCCCACTCACCATCTCTTGTCTCTACTTCAAACGGTCCAACACAATGTCCAGTTGTATTCGTCACCCGATCACCCACGCAAACACATCGATTCAGGAAACATTGCGAATTTTTCTGACACTGAGAAGTGCTCGAGCAAAAGCTGCCTGAGATTTGAGGAATTGGATTCAAAACTTGAAAATTACTCACCTGGATACACCGGAGCTTTCTTTTGATATCCCGAGAAACTTTCCGTGCAAACCCCGTCAACGAGTGAACTGCCACTTGGACAAATGCAAGACTAGAAAAGAATTTCATTTATCAGATATGATTTGGGAATCCAAAATGGCTGCGCCGGGGTTCGAACCCGAGACTACTCGCTTAGTAGGCGGACTAGCTACCAATGAGCTACACCGACTTCTGTCCGTCGCCGCCAATAGGGTCTTATGTCTTACTGTTACCTTAGCACTGCAAATCATCCCTCCAGCGCATTCCGTATCACTAAAGCATTCTCTTTTCTTCGCCATTCTTTGCAATGTCAATGCTCCAAAGTTGTTTGATTGTTGACACGACGTTCCATCAGCGCTAAACGTTTTTTTTTATTAACTATTTTACTCTTCAAAATATTGAAGTAACTGTTTTGATTCTCGAAGAATTTGGCTTGGTATCACCGACCTTGGTCCATAACCAGCTGGACAAGAGCATACTCCGAGCACACAAACCGATCCTCCACTACATGGACTCGTATTATTGCATCGATCACCGGGCATTGCTGAAAGTTAAAATTCAAGTAAAATCTGATCGTTAGACTCACAGGAAAACCTACGATTTCCACAGCCTGGACATCCTCCATTATTGTTATTGTTGTTATTTGTTGAACAAGTGGTTCCAATCTAAAACTCGTCATTAAAGAGTCACAATCTTTTCCCTTTACCTGTGCATATCCAATTGGACATGTGCAAACATTTGTATTCGAGCAGATTCCCCCATTTCCACACCTCGAATTGCAATAGTTTGTGTTACAGCGTGGATCGCATGAGCTCCCGAGAGGGACTGAATTAAGTGGGTTTTTTCTTGCTAGATAGAGAATATTTACTTAAGATAACGGTGTTGGGAGATTGGGTGAATGATCCGGGATCTTGATTGGCTGGGATGCATTGCTGGCCAGAAGGGAAAAATCCGAATGGACACCTGCAGACAGTGCCATCACAACGAGATCCACCCTGACAGATTTGACCTGAACTTTGATATGAAAGCAAGTAAAAAGGATTTCCATGTTCTTTCTTCCAAACACCCACCATTTTGACAAGTCTGTCCAGGATAAGCATAGCTGCCTTGTTGAGTACATCCAGCACCATTGTTGTAGAATCCACTGTTACATTGGCAAGTCCCTGATGAACAGGCCGAATTTTGAATGCAACTCTAAAAGTAGAGGATTGGATGGATTTTACCATTAGGTACCATTGAGTTCTGACATGGTTGATTGGGTAGAATGAGTGCTTGACAAGATCCACCATTGTCATAGAAGCCTTGATTGCATTGGCACGTTCCAGACGAGGTACAGATCGAGTTTTGGCCACAACTCTTAAAAAATGAGATTTAATGATTTTATCGTCCAAGAAAGTTCTTTTACTTTGCAATGGTTTTAAGAGTTTTTAACTATTTAACTTCGAAACTCTGTTTCTGTCAAAACCGTCATTTTGGAAGTCACTTGCTTTGTTCAAGATGAACTCACCCCTGATTGACATGGTTGATTGCTTGGAATCAATGGCTGACAATACCCTCCATTGCTATAGTAACCATTGTTGCATTGACAAGATCCCGATTGACAGTACGCATTTTGAGAACAATCCTGAAACAGCTAGTTGGATCTAAAGTTTGACAATTTTCTAAGTACTTACGCTTGTTGTCTGACATTGTTGATTTGTAGCTGGTAGACAATATCCACCATTGTTGGAATAACCATTGTTGCACTGGCAAAAGCCTTGGATACAAGCGGAGTTCTGGGTACAGCCCTGAAGCTAGTAAGAGTAATAGTAAGAGGTTGAAGATTAGAACTAACATTTGACGACTGACATGGTTGATTGGCCGATAACAATGGCTGACAGTAGCCTGAATTACTGTAATATCCATTATTGCATTGACAGATTCCCTGGGAACAGGCAGAGTTGAGAGTGCAAGCCTAAAGGTGGAAGAAGATGAGGAATTCTGGGGATTACTTACATTTGGTGATTGACAGGCTTGATTCGCAAGGGCAACCGGTTGACAATTCACACTGTTAGTACTCGAAAAGCCACTGTTGTAGTAACCATTGTTGCAAAGACATTGTCCTGAACATTGTCGTTTCATGAAATTGGAAAGTCAAAAGAAAAGGATACTGTCAAATTTGCTACCTTGATTACAATAGGAGTTATCACCACACGGTCCATTTATTCCACAAGCTTGCTGTGGAGCAGAGACAAGAGCCACCACTCGGATACATTGATTTGTCGTTGAGTCATAGCTGTAACCCTGTTGGCAACTGAGAATTTGGATGGGTGGAGAGCATTGTTGGCCTGAAAGTTGAATAGTTGAGAACTAAAGGCTGGTGTGGGCTACAGGCAGGGTCGAACCCGCGTGTCGTCCTCAGATCCTCAGATCCTCAGAACAAGTCCTCAGATCGAGAGATCGATGCTCTGGGAATTCACCATGAGGACATTGATTGAGCCGTTTTTCCGTGCTCTTTCTTCTGTGGTTTTCTGTGCTACTGTATGGTTTTTATTGAGGATTTGACTGAATCTTGAGTAGATTTTAATGCTAAATAAGTAGCAAATCTGTTTCAAATTGATCCGAAAACAATTTCGGCTCTTCTGTGAAGTTTTCAGGTGTACTTTAAGCACAAAAAAAGTCTCATAACCCACCATTTAAACATTGTTGTGTACAACCGGATCCATCATTCGTGGGATTATATCCAGACATGCATTGACAATTGCCTGAAAATAGATTGACTCAAAAAGAAGAAATGAGTTTACCATTAAAACAGAAAGAATTTGTCGGGCATCCATTGGGGCATTGATTCGAGATCGGATTCTGATAGGTAACACATTGACCAGAAGTGGCTGAATAGCCTGTGTTGCACATGCAGAAGCCTAGAATTGTTTCGAATTTCAATTTCATTTCAAATGCTAATCCTTCTTACCATTCTGGCACTGCGAATTCGCCGTACAGACACTTTGCTGAGAGCATGGTTGCCCGACTTGGGTGATTTGCGCGCAAAAGGAGCCGGTTGATGAAGGAGCAAAGCCTTGATTGCAAGCACATTGGCCTAGATTTTGTTATGAAATGTTAGATCAACCATTTACCTAATAAACATTGACTATTCGTTCCACAAGGGACATTATTGTTGCAATAATCTCCGGGATTTGCCGCCTGAATGCAAGTCGAAGTGGCCAAACCTTGAGTGACTGCATAACCAGGGTTACACGTGCAAACACCTAAATGAAAACAGTTTTAAGATCTTTAATTTCATCACTGACCACTTTGACAAGCTGAATTAGCTTGACAATAAGATGTTGAATCACAAGATTGTCCTGGATAAACATATCGAAGGCACATATTAGACGTGGATGACATTTGATAGCCAGTATTGCATTGGCATTGATCTAAAAAGTTATTGTTGTTGATCATTGTTGAATTGAATGACTCACTTTGTACACATTGTGAGTTGATTGGGCAATTTCCACAGTTTGAAACGACATTTGCTTGAAGAACATTGCTGCATTGACCATTCAAGTTCACCTAATCAAATAAATCAAATAAATTAAGATTTGTTAAATGAAAATCACCTGATTCGTTGGACATCTACAAACATTATTGAGACAAATCGAGTTTCCTGAACATGTGGTGATTCCCTGTTGGCACATATCTCCGGGTGAGGCATCGGAATCGATCGGCATACAACTGAAGATTAAAATAAAAATATTCAGTTAATTTAATAATTAGAAATAGGCTGTTGTTTGTTTCTTGCGTTGTTTCCGGGTATTTTGAAAGGAGCATCATAGAAGGTCTATAAATCTGTCCAGAGACCAAATAGAAGGCCTATAACTTTGTCCAGAGACAATATTTTTGCTAGCTTTTTATATTATTATACAGAGGACATTTCAGGCTTTCAAATGATACCAAATAGAGCTTGATTAGATTTTTCATTTCCATGCAAACCAAGCTACACGACACGAGTCGGATAGGCCATTTGCTCAGGGTTGGCTGATTTTCTTGGATTATTTAATCAGCTTCTATTAGGTATCATTTGAAAGCCTGAAATGTTTTCTGTACAATGATATAAAAAATTAGCAGAAATATTATCTCTGGACAAAGTTATAGACCTTCAAAGTATGATGCTCCGTTCAGTTCAAAATAACTGGATTTTTCGAAAATACCCGGATTCTTTCAAAATACCTGGAAATTCTAGAAATCCTAGAAATCCTAGAAAACTATATCCTAAAAGACCCTAGAAATCTAGCACTCACAGTCCGTTCCGGATTTGTTCTCCACCAGGGCAAATGCAGAAGTTATTGATGCAGATCGAGTTGCCAAGACACCGCGTTGATCCATCAATACAGGCGGCGCCAGGAGAGGCTGAAAATTGAGACGTTTACAATGCTTGACTATGTAATAGATCTTTACCATATTGAATGGATTGTCCTGTGCCTCCACCAGTTGTACAAACGCCGTTGACAAATGATTGCCCGTATGGACAGACACAGATCCCATTCGAGCAATACGAGCCGCCGGTGCAAATCGATGGATTGATCGCGCAATTCGTGACAACATTTTCTGTAAACAGCAAAACTAATAACGAAGATTTTCCTTTTCACTCACGTCTTGCCACTTTCTTCTTCACACAACCAGTGTTAACTTCATGATATCCGGATGGGCAAATGCATAAACCGTCAAGACAAATCGAGCCGTTTATGCACATCTCCCCACCATCACATCGCTCATTAACTTTTGCTAAAACTTTACATTAATATACAACTTAAATGACTTAAATGACTGACTTAAAGCTTATAAATTGAATGAATTAAAACTAACATGAAACTTGGAAGCAAAAGGGTCCTTCTGGAAGCATTCCGGATGGGCATTTGCAGATCTAAAATAATGAATACTTCAAATTTCGATCGTAATAAAGCTTTTACTTCTTGCACACAAACAGCTCCTCCATCACAGACATCATTTGCGGTGCACTGTTCACCGGGGAGTGCGATTGAGCTGGTCACTGAAAAATTGAGTATACAAGAGTGCATTATTTAAACCAAAACCTCTTTACTCTTTAAAATCTACCTGCATTCTTATCAATGCACGCATTGCCACTTTGAAAATGCGTGGGTGGACATCGACAAATCGCGTCTAGACACGATGTCGGTGTGAGGCAATCCCCATCACTCAAACATCCATCCCCAACGGCTCTCTTCTCCAATTCCTCCTCTCTTTTCATTCGTTTTCTTCTCTGCTTTTTGTTAATAATTCCATGCAAGTTATTTGGTTGATCATCATGCATTTGGTTATTTGCAAGCAATTCTAAGAGAGTCTCTTTACCAATTAATCTCTTTCAAACAAACCACTAATTGGTGGAAGGCATTTGTTGTCTTGTGATAGAATCAATCCTTCTTGACATGTACACATTCCATCTGAGCATTTTGATCCATATCGGCATTGTTCTCCCTCAGCACAGCTCATTCCAGGGTCAACTAGATTTGAGATAATTGATGGAGTCAAAAAAATGATCTCTAAAAAGGTGACTATTGTTTGGATTTATTAGATTAAAGGTTCATGCTAAAGAAGACTGAAAAATCTTCAAAAATGTACCATAAACAATAGGAATACAGAATCCGAATCGACTTAAAGCCATTCCTTGTGGACAGACACAACGACCACGAACACACTCCGCACCAGATGGACACTGATTCGAGGCAATACAGCGACGAGCTGAACATAGAAAGATCATGGACATATGAAATGATACAATCCTAGCTTTCATAAGCTTTCATTCCTAGATTAGTCAGCCAATAGCTTTTTTTTGATAAGCTAATGTAAAGAATGACCTTCTAACGGTGAAATGCATCTATCTTCCGATAGAATTAAATCATGGCGACACTGACAAACACTATTCACACAAGTGCTCCCATTTGAACAAAAAACCCGCACATCATCACACCATTTCCCGGGATATGTAACTAAAGAAATGAAAAGTGAGAGAACAAAAAGCAATTCCAACTCTTCACTTGTTGCTCAACAAAATTAGTGGTGGGTAGTTGAGTTGAAGTTGTTGTTGTTGTTGTCCAAATCGATGCAATTGTTTGTGACTCTGGTTCCTCTGTTGATTCAACTTCTTTAGGCATCAAATTGTTATCAATTTCTCCGTATGGTCGTTGTTTTGTTTCCTTTATAAATATTCTTGGCTCTTCAGTAGTTGAGAGAAGATTTGGTGGAAGAGGAGAGAACGTCACAGTTACAAGCGTTGATCCGTGTTTTTCTTTTTCAAGCTCGCGAAGTTTCATCACTAAATCGTTTTGCCATAAGATAAGAAACCAGTTTCTAGTTTTCAAATATTAAACTTTTAAATGTCTAACTTCATGAGTTTTCTAAAGTCTTATAGCTCTAACTATTAGAGCTAACTATTAGAGCTAAAGTCTTATAGCTCTAACAATAGTTTAACAGCTTAACAGTCTCGAATTTGCTGATACAATCGGTACTGGTTTCTGTACTCGTGTACTTGTATCATTAAATCAAGGCTAAGCCTTTGTTAGGCTTTGTTAGGCTAAGCCAAATCAGTCTAACATTATCTATTCAAAAACTAACCATCTTCAAACGAGACACAGTAATCTTTATAAAGCATGAATCCTTGTTGACAAAAGCAGAATCCCAATGTACAATTGCTTCCTCTTGTGCATATTTCTCCATGTGCACATGAAGATAAAGGAGGCACTAAATAAGCAAAAGATTCTAAGGAAGTTGTTTTTTTTTTGCGACAAACCTAATTTCTGGTGTTTACACATTCCTTCAAGTTCCACGAAACCGGGCGGGCATTTGCAAAAGCCATTCACGCAATATGATCCGCGGAGACAGTTTGTGTTCGGATTACAAGGCCAGCCTCAATTATTAAAATACTTCACGAATAATTTGGTAAAAACAATACAAGCACAACTCCTAAGTCCTAAATGAAAACCTAAATGTAGAAACCCATATCTATGGAAAAAGAACTATTAATCTAACAGGGTTTGAACCCTTGACCTCTCGTCTAAGATACAAGATCTAATACTAACAATACTAAGACCTTAGCCATTTGGCCATTTGGCCTTAGCCAAGACCTTAGCCATTTGGCCATAGGGGCCACAGCGAAATGTCGATAAAAAGTCAGGATTGAGATTTGAGATATCTATCCATCTATCCATTTACAACTTTTCTTACCTGGTAAAGCTCTTGGCGGAACGGTTTGTAGGGTGAGATTTGCTGCGATTTGTGTTGTAGTCATTTCTAAAGGTTTGAAAATTCGAAATAATCGATTTTTCAATATATTTGATTCACCTTTATTCCCGCGATTTCTCGGTGGAATCGTTTTGAAGGAAATCGGGGTCGTTGTAGCGATTGGAGTTGTCCCGAGCTCTGTACCGCTTGTTGTCGTTCTGAACAATTATGAAAGCCTCGAAAACTATATAAATGTAATTATTACCTTGGAATGCATTGAGTACTTCCAAAGATTCGATATCCGGGTAAACATTTGCACTGTCCTCGATCACAAAACGAGTTCTCAACCGAGCACTGGGAAGAGCTTGAGCATTCCCTCAAGAGAAGAGCTGCTGGAAATGAATTGAATATAAAAATGATATGATATAAAAATACAATATCATTTTATCTCTTAGATATAGAAGAGTTTCCAAATGTTACTCACGTTTCTCAACAGCAGACGCTGGCTCACATTTCCTCCTCTTATTCATGACCATTCCTTGCGGGCAAACGCACATTCCGTATGTACAAACAGCTCCACCCTTGCAATCTGAAATCAAATTTATCTCTAATAAATGCAATTCTTTTACCTGAGCTTTTGTAGCAACGATATCGATGAAAAGTTGTCGGTTTGAGTGTAGTCGATTCCTCGATTTCTCTCGAATCAATCGTCGTTCCCGTTGTTGTTATTTGAGTGCTTTTTCTCAGTGGATTGACTACAAAATAACCAAGGAAAACGAAACGAAAAAGTGAGTGAACAGAAAAATAACATAAAAATTGAATGAAGCTGCACATGCCAGGGTTTTTTAGAGTTTTAGAAAGAATCAGAAGTGATTGCTGTTCAATTCTGAAACTAGGACTACGAATTGATCGGCTCTGACTTGGCCAAAGACTTTCTGATCTTAGTTTTTCAGAAATTCTTCAGAAAAACTTTTGCAAAGTAAAGTGCAGTGCTTACTTTCGACAACGATCGGCACACATTTCCCTTGACGGGCGAATTGTCGTTGAGGACATCGGCAAACTCGATGTTTTCTATCACACGTCGATCCACCTGTGCACACTTCTCCGTTTCCGCAAGACGCCTCAGGAGCAACTGAAATGAAAATTCTCCAATGCCAAGAAGAAATCATTTTCAACGCAACAACTTTTAAAAATAACGTTGTTATTTTAAACCAGCAACCAGTCTAACGGCGGGATTTTGACCGCTTTTGCGGACGCTAACTATCTGCCGCTGTAGGCCAGTCGGAAATGCGCTTTTCTACAGCTCACACGATCCGTTCCACCCCCCGTAGTGCCACCCAGTCTTCAGTTTTTTTTAATTTCTTGTTTTAAATAGCACAACTATATTTTTGGCTCTTAGTAGAAAGCAATGCAAAGCTTTCCTACCTCTTACAACATCTTGACATCGATTCCCGTAGATTCTCTGATCTGTTCCGCAAACGCACATCCCCTCGAGACATTTTGAGCCACCCGTGCACACGATATTCTTTCCACATTCTTGACCAGGTAGTGCTGAATTTTTTTGAGATTCTTGATAGCTAATGAGTCTAGAAATTGATAAAGGATCCCGAAAAGAGCATGCAAGAAATGATAACTAATCCTTGTTAATGTTGTTAGTCCTGAAAATTAGCTTAAACTTTGATAAATCGGCATTAGCTTGAAACCAACCATTGACCGCTTCTTCACATCTTTTCTCGACAATGATTTGCCCTATCGGACAAGAGCAGAGCCCGTTTTGACAAGTTGAGAACCCAATGCAAACATCATCTCTCGAGCAAAGGAAACCCGGTGAGACTGAATGAGATTTGTAATCGAATAGTTCAAAAAAGCTCACTTAATCTTTTCATTTCACAGCGCCCATTTCGCATCATTTGTCCCAATGGGCAAACACAAAGGCCATCTTTACACGAAGCATTTGCAAGACAATGATCCCCTGGACGACATGTTTCACCAGGATAAACTAAGAAGGCTTTTTGTTCTTTTTGATAACAAAATAATGTTTCTATGATTTAATTTGTCTTACCATTTCTGGCGGTTTCACATCGATTTCGATTCAGAATTAGTGGATTCATACAGACACAAGAGCCATCCTTGCACACTGAGCGCCCCACACAGTTCTCTGTTTGAGAACATTTTGAACCAGGAAGAGCTGAATAAACGCTTGTAAAGTTTTCTTTTGTATTCATTGAAAAGCTCTCTCCTATTCTGACCTTGTTTAACTCGAGAGCATTTCCTGTTTAATGCCACCATATTCTCTGCACATTGACAAGTGCCTCGAACGCAATATGATTGACCACCACATCTGAAACAATTATCTTTTCTAAATAAGTAAGATTTTTGATTAGAAGTTACAAACCTAGCATTCAAAGCCAAGCACGACTCTCCAGGGCCGACGAAGGAGAACGCAGTGCACACCTGAAATCGTTCATTTAGGAGACACAAAAGCCAGGATTGTGAAATATTGCCTTCTTTGCCATTGACCAACTTTAAACTCAAATATCTTGGTGTTGGGTTATCCAATTTAAATAGTTTTTATACAAATCGACAGAGAAAGACTTGATGTATCCAATGATATCAAGAACATTCAAATTGGATAGCCCAACACCAAGATATTTGAGCTCAAAGTTGGATGATGGGAAAAATGGATGGTATTAAATGTCCGATAGCCAAAGATAGCCAGAGCTTTTCTCTATAGTTTCAAAAAAATTACATCATCAATCGATTGCATTCCCTTTGGACAAGAACATTTCTTCGTTGTCGGCTCGCATTCGGAATTCCCTGTGCATCGTTCACCGTTCCCACACGACATTCCGGGTTTAGCTAAAAGCTTTTCTTAATTTAAACGTTAGATATCATAATTGACTTTAATATCTAATAAATTGACTGATAAATAAATAAAATGGAATTCCTCCGAAACACTTACAATCAGGTCGATACACGCACTGCTTGTTGATGTTCACCCGTCCATCCGTGCACTCACAACGTCCACCAAGGCATTCTAAATGAGTTCTTATGTCTATTTAGATAATAATACATACCGTAAATACTGTAATAGCACCCCATCCCCCTCGTACAGTCGCGTAGTCGCAAAAGTTTTTTTGTATTTCTTTTTTTCAAAGCGCCCGTACTTTCAAAAAATGCGTCTTTGGTATCAAAAAATAGCCCTGAATTTCAGCTATTTTTTGATACCTAAGCGCGCATTGTAGCATAGACCAGTGTCGAGAAACACTCGTCCAAAGCTAGACTACGCAACGCTCCACGCCGTCATTATGGGGGTGAGGTACTATTACAGAATTTCCGGTAAGTAAATGCTTTTCTTATATTTAATTGCTCAATTGCCTACCTGATCCACCAACGCAAACCTCTCCATTCGAGCACGGGTAACCAGGATGAGATCTCAAACGATTCTCGCAACGACCTCCTAAACAAAAGGTTTTAAAAGTTACTGATATAATTATCTTACCAATAATAATCTGCAATGGATTCATGCATTCACAGATTTGTGAGTGTTGATTGCACTGTGATCCGCCGGTACAGTCCTCTCCTTGAGCACACGATTCGCCGGCTTTTGCTAAACATTTGAATATTTTGAGGCTGACTATGAAACTATTGTATAGTATTTTCTGACCTGTACTTTTCTCGACACATTTATTGTGATGAGGAAGCGTTCCAAGTGGGCAAACACAATAACCGGAGACACAAATCGATCCACCGCCACACGTCACTCCAACGCGGACACAAGCAGAACCGATGTCCACTTAAAGGAATGCCCAAGGTTACCCAATAGAAAAAGAAATTGAAAGATAAAAGATGATAAAATAGAAGATAGATAATGATTAGACAGCATGCAACCAGAGAATCCACTCACTTAAACACTCTTATCTACTCAATAGCTAGCTCAATAGCTATATTGTTTCCAAATCAATTAGATAAGTGCTTTTAAGTATTCGATGCAGTTCCATGCAATCATTCAAACTCCCATCTCACCATTTCTAATCAAAGTCGTGTTAGTAAGTTGATTAGTAGCGATTTGTTGTTGAAAGGACGAGATCGGCTTTCGAGATTCGGCTCTCTTTGACATTTCGACGATTACTCGATTTGTGAATGGTTTCTGGGGGATTTGTGGAGCAATTGGGATCTTGATTCGATATTGATCTCGGTGTCTCGACGTGATGATACAATCCCCGTTCAAGTTTTGACCGATCTCGCAAATACATCTGAATTTGGTAGAATTTGAATTATGCTTTATCGTAGGCAATAGATTAAAGTTTTAAAAAGCAAACCCACTTTCCCTCAAAGCACACCCTTCCATGTGGACAATCACTTGTCATCTTGCAGCCAAAATAAGCTGGTTTTTGACGTTTCGTTGCAATTTCTTGAATCGACACACAACGATCACCAATGGCCATTGATCCGCCTAGAATATTCTTTAGAAATGTTATTTCTTGACATCTACCTGGACAAATGCACAAATTTCGACTCAAATCACAAAACGATCCTCCTGGACATTGAAGTGAATTGTTGCAGGCGCCGAGTGACACTGAAAAGAAAAGAACTCTCACTTGACAAAGATCAATTGAATTCTAATTACAATGGTTATTTCAAGTCTTACTTGAAGTTGTTACACAATATCCTTGAAAGTTGATCGTTCCAATAGGACACACGCAGACTCCTTGCTGACAATTTGAGCCACCAGTGCACACTTCGCCACTAAATGCTTAAAAATATATTTATTAGGAGAATAATGTGGTACAAATAATACACAGGCTTCTCTAAATGCTCTAAATGTAGGAGATCTAGAAAAAAGTAATCTAGCTAGCAGGATTGAACCCGACAAAGTAATCTAGCTAACGGGATTGAACCCGACCAAGTAATCTAGCTAGCGGGATTGAACCCTTGATCTTCCGACAAAGTTACAGGGGCTATGGAGAATGCGATTCAACAATAATGTTATAAATCTTTCTTTCAAACCTTGCACAAGTTTGTCCAGGTTGAGCTGAAGCAATGGCCGTACAAATTCCTTGAATGGCTCTGGTGCCGATTGGACAAGAACAGATCTGAAAGTTTTGCTTATTCATAGGTAATGTTGTAGATATAATTTTTAAGGTCAAGACCATACCCCATTCAAGCAAACACTCCCACCAATGCACACCTCATCGTTTAGACAAGAAGAACCAACGTCTAAAGGAATTAACTTTGTGAATGTATTTTTGCACTTTTTTTATTTAAATATTATCCTACCAGATGACGGAGCAGCTCTGCATTCTCCTCCCTAAATTTTCCTTGTCATTCTAGACGATAAAGTTTAAATACTTGTATGGTCATTCCATAAGGACATCGACACATCGAGTCGATGCAGACGGCAAGACCTTGGCCTGGAATTTGTAGCTGTTCAACAATATATCTTAATCTTAATAGCTCTTCAAATGCCTAAAACCTACATGTTGTAGCTGGTCCACACGGAGAGCCAGGAGTCGCGGCTGCAATTGGCACGCATTGAGCATTTTGAATCTAAATAAATTGAGAGCTCTAAAGAACACTGAATCTGTCTAGAAATTAATAGGCCTTTATTTCTAACCAGCGGACTTTTTCCCGCTTTTGCGTGAACAAGCTTTTTGTCGCCGTGGCGCAGTCGAGAGCGCGCATGTCTACAGCCTACAGGGTTCGACCCCCGTAATGCCACTCAATTTTAAATGCCACAACTATATTAACAACTATATCCATTTACCGTAGTTCCAAAGGGACAAGCACAAACACCGTTGATACATGAGGATTGACCAAGGCATCTTTCTAATCCTGAAGGACATGGACCACCAGGATTCACTGAAATTACTCTTTTATTCGTTTCTTTAAGTGGTTAAACCTGTTGGTGGAAGACTGCATGTTTCGTCGATGACGACGAGACTCGTTGAACAGACACAGACACTATTCACGCATGATGAGCCACCACCACAAGATACCGATGGATTACATGGAGAGTTAGGAGGGACTAGGGAATTTGGTTAGAGGTTAGTGCGATTGAAACTACAAGACATGCAAGATGTAAAGAGGAAATTCGAGGAATGAAAAAGAAGAACTCATTTGATTGAATCGAACCTGCAATTGGTGTCACACATTGTCCGTTGAGAACACTTTGTCCAAGGGGACACGAACAGTTACCGGACACACAAAACGATCCACCCGAGCATTGTTCTCCGTTGGCACACGAGGCAAGAGGTGGTGATTGAACTAAATAAAATAATACTCAAGCAAGTTCAATAAGACTTTTCGACTAAGCTGATTCTTTTTTCAATGACTCACCCGGCATACAGACTCCTCCACTTGAAACAGTTGCTAATGGACAGACGCAGATTCCACCTAGAAAGACAAATCTAATGTTTTCTTTGTTTCGTTAGTTGACTGTCTTTCTTAAGCTCAAGTCAGCTTACTTTGACACGACGAGCCACCAGTGCATTGAGCATTCACCAAGCATTGTTGACCAGGCGTTGCCTGATTGAGACATTCACCTTGGAAGTCGATTTGTGTCGGGGCACAGCCTGGATTAAATGCTATTGAGTGGATTAGATATTCTCTTACCCTGTGCACAGACTCCTTTAGAGTTCACTCGATATCCTTGAGGACAAGAATCTGTGCATTGATTTCCAGAGAAGACCTGAAAGTTCAGTTCTAATGTATTTCAGTGAAATTAACCTGTCCATTTGGGCAATTGCAACGATTTCGATCACAGATCATTCCTGGATGAATTGCATGGCATTGCGATGAGTAAATGCACTGATCACCGGGTTGAACAGCTGAAAAAAAAGTCACATTGTGGCGAATAGCCACTAAAAAGTTACCTAACTCTAGCAGCCTAAAAATTGGAAAAATATTGAGGAAATCGGTGCGCCTTCATTTTATTTCGCGCCCCAAATCATTTATTGTAGCTTGTTAGCTGAGTATCTTCTGCTAAAGCCTATATAACGCAACTGTTGTTCATTTGTTTTTTGGTTACCGTATTTCTTCGAATAGAAGACCGGGTAAAGAGTATGATCGCGTACTCCTGCGTAGCAGCCCTTTTTAAAATTTCTTTTCTGCATAAAAGCTTTCAATGAAGTGCTATAGAGCTGGAAAATGGCTCAAAACTCTGTTAGCTCATGTGCTATTTTTGAGCCATTTTCCAGCTCTATAGCACTTGATTGAAAGCTTTTATGCAGAAAAGAAATTTTAAAAGGGGCTGCTACGCAGGAGTACGCGATGATACTCTTTACCCGGTCTTCTATTCGAAGAAATACGGTATCTTTCATTTTTTTTACTGCTTTCCTCTCATCGTTGTGTCCTAATTAGGACGAAATTGTTTCTGTTTTTATCGTCACTTTTAATTCAATTGTCGATCTTGTGTGAAAGTTGCTCAAGCTCAAGCCCAAAGATTCCGAGTCAGTCGTCTATTGAATAAAGTGTTTTTAGTTCAAGTGAGATCAGACATCTCGAAACAAGAAATAACGTGTCTTGAGTGAAGAGTACCAAGCACGCAAAGAATATTTCTTTACACACATTCACGAAAATATGATACACCGATGTCTCATCAATGTTTTCTCGCTAATTTCTTAACCAAAAACTTTGAAAATTCGTGAGGATATGTAAATTTTTATCCTCAATCAGAATCCCTTTTCAAAACGGTAATTGGATTCAAAACGGTAATTGGAAGAGCGCAAAAACCTCAGCTACTTTGTGCGTACCTTTTATGTCTCTTTGTGTGTTAATTTCCAACTTAGATGAACAATTTAAAGTATTGCAAATGATTTTATTAATCAAAACCTACTTGGTAAACAAGTGTTAGTGATCCCGGAGAATGTGGTTCCTGCCGAACAATTTCGACCACAAGTTCCATCAATTGCAATGGGGAACTCGGGAGGGCAGGAGCAGCTCTAAACTTCAGCTTTTCTTTATGATCTCCATTTTATACCTGCAAGAAACATGTGGCATCTGGATACGCGGCTTGGCATTGCAAATTATGAGAACAACCCTTTCCACCGGGTGGGATTACTAAAAGCTTTATTGATTGCCCACTGATCTGACAAACCTTCTTTACAGGCGCCCAACTCGCTGATCCAAATGAAACCCCGTTGCGGGCATTGACTGTCGACAAATGTACAACCTGAATCCGATGTTTAGTTTGATCATCTGTTCTTTCAAATAACAAGGGAAAGGAGAGTCAAGCTGGCTTTTTTGACTCGAGACCAAGTCCATCTTATAGAGTCTCGAATTCCTTTTTAGTTTTTGCAGAACACTTCACAAACGCAAACGTCAAAAGGCCATGTTGACCCGGTTTCTTTCTTTTATTAAATCTATTAGAGATCGATTAGAGATCTATGTAAGAATTTGACAAAGTTAGTGAGCAGACTTTCCGAGGGATTCTGCAGACAGACAGACAGCAGACATTCTGCAGATTCCCCACAATCAATCACTCGTGTCAAAAGTTGAAAGACATTGTAATAATATTATATAACAAAAGATATTTTAACCTGCGCCCGATTGCTGCATCCCGTAGACGCATTCGCACCTTAAATTTGAGAATTCTAGATGTTTGCTTTTAATTCCTACTTCAGTTTCAAGCAGAAAGCTCCTGGCTCATTGGCTGAACATTGCTGGGAATATTGACATGGTTCTCCTGGGTTTTGACCTGTAATTTAAATATATTATAGAAAAATTGCAACTTTAGATTATTTTCAAGATATGATGACCCACTTGTCATACACGAGCCAGCCTCGGTCACATAGATTTGCCCTGAAGAACACGTAGCAGCCGAGAGGGCTAAAAGTGAAAGTATTAGTGTTTTTGATTAGGTTATATCTTTAAATTAGAATCTAAATCGAAGACTACATAGATCTTGTACCTGGTGCTCCGGCCACACAAGTCGAGCCGGCATTAAGCGCTCCATTGATACACTTGCACACGCCATCACAATAGGACATTGGATAACCCGCGCAATCCGAGTCCACAGCACAGAGACCGTCTGAAACTTTTTATTCCTAGAAAGCTTAAGAGTTCTGACCAGGCTGTACACCGAAACGATTGTTGCTCGCTGGTTGCTGGAGTCGTTTGAAGAAATTCTGATGAGTTTCTTGATTGAATGGGCGACGGCGAGAGTAGGTAGGTGGAGTTCGTTGAAGATTTCTGAATTTCTTTGATAACTTTGTTGACTATCTTGTACAGAAGTATGAAAAGTAAACGAAAATACTTTCTAGACAGTCTAATATAATCTAAATGCTGAAATGAGCTCTAAAAATGAATCTTAATCGTAGATGTGAGTTACCCAATCGACTGTGATCCACGTCCATTCATTCGCGATGGATAATGGGAAGGTGCTGGCTGTGGATCGGCCATAATCATATTAGCAAGAGCATTTGCTAGAAATATCATAGAATAGAATAGCATTATGATATTGAGTTGAATGAATTCTATTCTATCTTGTTGAAGAATGGAGACAGGTTGGATTTAAAATGATTGAACTTGTTGGAGACAAGGTGTGACTCATTTTTTGGTCTCATATATTTTCTCATTACACCTTCATGACCTGGGTCTCCTTTTTGTCTCATTGATAGACAAACCGTCATGTGTTTTCTGAGGAAATGATTGAAATGCAGACAAAGAACCAAAAAAAGAGAAATGATTTATGAAATCTGAGGATTCTCTGAGGATTCTCTTTGACTTATAAAACAAGTTTGATAGAATCATCCTTAAAGTTTTCCTTTATTGCACTGTCGTTTTTAGAATCATCCTTAAAGTTTTCCTTATAAACTCACGCGTTAGACAAGTCTGTTGTTGAGAGATCATTCCATTTGGGCATTGACAAATCTGTGCTCGATCACAGAAAGCGCCTGGGAATCCTTTATTGCACTGTCGACTATCATCACAACCACTTTGACCCGGGTAAACAGCTGAAAATGTGAAATTCATAGTTTCACTAGTGCTTTTTCTACTTAACTATCCGTCAATCAAAAGACTTAAGCTTTAGCTTGCCAAAAATCGTTTCATTTCATTGTAAGTAAGCTATTACTAGTACTAAATCCAATTCTAAATCCAATTTTCGACTCCAATCCTTTCCTTCACTTAAGATATTCTCATCATCAACCATGAAAGTGTTCTCAACACATAAAAGAGGCTTCTTGTGGTGCTGGGGGTGCCAGTAAGTGTTTCCCCGTCTTTTTATCATTATGGTCTTCAGGTAGCAACACTCATCTCGATGATCTCTTCTCCTTTCCTTTCCTTTGTTGATCATCTTTGTTTCCTTTTCTTTTCTTAGGTTCTAGCGGTCGGTCCTTTTACTCGATAAGGACTCGCTCGACTCATCTCTTCCGCGCGCAACAGATAAACACCCCACACCCACTGCTTTCAACCTACCTTTAGCTTGCAATTTGATTTATGCAAAATTAAAACAGTAAAGATTACTAATTGTAGCTAAACTAAAGATTTTCTCTCATTTAGTGGGGTATGAGCAATTCAAAGTAACATTTCCAAGGTCAACAGTTGGACAGAATTGTCGAAGCGGTGCCGAGTGTCGAGGGAGAGGCGAATTGAGTGATTACTCTAACACACACTGGCACCAATTGTTGCTTGTTTGTTTAGCGGTTCTTTTTGCCATCTTAGTGACTACGTGAGAAGTGTAAAAAGCGTCAAGTGGTCAGAGATAAAAATGGTTCAAAGAATAAGATCTTCCCTTGAAGAAATCTCAAAGTTTTCAATTCCGAAAAGAATCTTATGTAATATCAAATTTTGAAAGCTAATCGAAGTTAATGCTCAAAAGATGGACTCACTCGGTTTACATTGAGTGCCCGAATCGACATGCGTGGATAGACACATACAAACGCCGAACGACGAGCAGAATTCGCCTCTCCCTCGACACTCGGCACCGCTTCGACAATTCTGTCCAACTGTTGACCCTGGAAATGTTACTTTGAATTGCTTTTTCATATTAAACAAGACTCAGAGTTTTCGCAAGAGCTAGGGGCAGCAGGCGGGCCCGAATCCCGAACCCCGATAGCGAGAGTCCGACGCCCTGGCACTGCTCTATATCTACAAGTTAAAAACGTCGCTTTCTTCTAAATGGGCTTTCTATGCTACCCTTTATTTGTATCCTGGTCCAACCGGTTCTATTGTATTTCGGTATGTTATATCGACACCTTTAAATATTGGATTTCCCTGAATTTCTGCGTTTATTTTGGTGAATTCTATTTCCAGTGGCCTAATCGTCTCTTTTCGTTGTTCACCCTCGGGTGATTTGAAAGAGAATGGCCTATCATTCACCCCAAAAGCTGTTCAAACAGACAAGCGCCCTGAAATCCCGGAAGAAAAGGAAGACAATGGCTTTTTCAGAAAGATTGATTATATATTTCGAAATGTAATATGAACAGTACGTTGCAAAAATGGTCAGAGTTAGGCAATAATGGAATGGAAAGTGGATTAGTTGAGGGATTTGAAGAGCTAGAAGAACAATTGAAGAACAATTTCTTAACCCTCCTACTAAATCGTGAAATCTATGATTGGCTAGTCTTTGATTTTGCAAAAATCATAACTCAATAGTTATCAATGATCTCGAAATTTGAGTCTAAAAATATCTAGTTGAAACCTTGTTCATTGTGGATGCATGAACCGTTCGTGGCATGAAATCGATGAAATTGTTTGCAGAGGCACACACCCTCCACGCATTCTAGAATTGGGGAAAAGTTACGAGAGTGTCATTTGAATAATTACAAAATCAATCTATTATCTTGCTGTACCTGAATTTTGGACGGAACACGAGAGTTGATCAGGATCTGGATTACACGGTTGACCTACTGTGCCCAATGGACCGCCGGCTTCGAGAACTAGAAAAAAAATCTTTATTTTCACTCAAATTTTAATATTTACCTGATATCAAAAATCCAGCTATAACAAAAGCTAAGCGATGAGATCGAGGCAGCATCGCGGCTGCTTTTTGAAGTGAATAAACGAGGAGAACTTCAGAAAATTGAAAACAATTGATGCTGAATTGAGTGAATTGAAAATTTTGATATAAATAAATGATTGTTATTGGAAATCAAACAAAACCAAAAAAAAAATTCTCATATGGATGAACCATGAAGAACGGTAAAGAACGCTGTAAACTCCAGGAAAATGGCAAATTTAAGTCTTCAGGTCTAGGATAGACGTAAACAGTAATGAATGCTGAAACCGCCAGAGGCTGGCCAAAGCCGAAAGGATAGTGTGTCTGTGTATGGGCATCCCCTCCCATCCCTTTCCCCATTCCCGACCTCTCATAAGCGCAGTCTCAGTCATTCATCCGCTCTTCCTCTTCCCTATTCTGTTCTCTTTGAAGGGACGCCCTGTTTGGACACCTAACACAACAAAACAAAAAGAGGGGGAGAAAAGAGAAAGATCGAGATGAATGAAAACCTCGACTCATTTCGTTTTTGCTTTGATGCTGATGATGAGACACAGTCATCATTGAAGTCAATTAGAAATCAATTGTATCTAATCAATTTATCTCACTCACATTCTTTAAGCTAATTGCAAGTCTAGCTTTTTTGACGCATTTGTATATTTTTTTACAGTGTCAAGCAACAATTTATCTACATCAAAACTCTTAACAACTAAATCAATAATTTCATAAAAAAAACACCCGCAATATTAAAGATTGATTGATATGCAAAAAAAACAAGTAGAATCTTAAAATGTTCACAATAAAAAGAGAACGCATAGTAAACGTGAAACTTAAATTAATTGTAACACTAAAATCTAAAACCTTTAAAATTCACTTGGATCCTCCTCAAATCTGGGCCTTTTCGCTTCGGTGAGGCTTTCATCATCGGAGTCGCTGAGCGCGAGATCGGCATTGAGTTGACCTGATGCATGCATATCCGATTCGAGTAAGGCTCGATGTAGGGCATCTTCATCTAAACAAACCAAAATTATGTTTTGTATAAAATGTACGTATATAGCTACAATTCATCTACCCACAAAAGTTGTTGGCGAAATAAAAGAAAAATTTGCTTACCAAGTAGAGGAGCATCTTGTGAGTCATCGTCATCATAATCAACTAATGAGAGGCGAGCTGGTACAGAAGTTGATGGAGCCGGATTTGAAATATCCATTTCTTCATCACGTGGCTCGACTTTAATTAAACCTTCAAAATAAATACAGAAATTTCTTCACCAAATAAACTAGCACTCAATGGTCAAACACAATACCTTGTTGTGCCGTTTCTTCATGCGCGATTGCTTCCCCCGGCCCTCCAGCTTCCTGTCCTGGCTCTTCAGTTGTTTTATCCAGAAGATTCTCGTAGAAACGGTATCGATCATGTTCATCAAGTTCCTCCTCGTCGTCGTGTTCTTTAATCATTTGCGGTTCCGAGGCGTTGATGCTACATTCAAGCTCGTGGAGTTGCTCAGCCTAAAGTTTTGATGTAAAAACTTTAAATCTTGATTCGAATTTCCAATCAAAATAAATTCCACCTTCTCGGCAAGCAATTGTTGACATGTGACCACAATTTCTTCAGCTTTTGTTGTATAGGGGGAAGCAGCACCGTTGAATTCTTTCGAGTTTTCATAGATCTAGCAGTTGACGGTCACCAAGAATTAAAATTAACAACAAACCAATTTTATATCATTCTCGAACTTCTCGACACGCGTATACCAGTGTTTCTTTGCATTGTTCTCGATTTTTTGCAAATCCATTGGTCGCTTGATAACCATGTAATAACGAGGCACCTAAAGTGCGTAAATTATCCGTTACCCCTTAGAAAATCTTTTTGCCAAACTCATCAAAACAAACCTTTTTGCCATCAACAGCCTGATGAAATGAGCTGCTCTTCGGGATATTCTTCAACTTTTGCACAATCTCCGTCAGAATGAAGGAAAATCCAACCCTAAAATGTAGTTAAAAAGATGGATAATTTAATAGAAAACAAACCTGTCATTATCATCAAGCAACGGATTAATTTGTTTCTCTAGTTGCACCAACCGAGACTCTTTTTCGACAACTCGTTTGGCCGCAAGTTCAAACATCTAAACGGGAGTGTTTAAATTATTAAATTAAGGAAACCTTCTGAGCAATTTGCGTAATTGGATGAGCTGCCCCGTTGTAAGTTAGTGTATTATCCAAAATCTTCTTCACATCACAAAGGAAGTCCATGCGAAGCTCGTATTTGTTGTCTTGTATCTAAAAATGGATTTTCATTTTTTGATTTGATGCAAGTTGCTTGCTCATCTCTAAGCCTTACTTTTTCTTTAATCTTTTGCACATCCATTGGCCTTTCGATGATTTTGTAGTAGTCGGAATACTAAACGCATTAAACTTAACAAAGTTTATTGGTACTCACCATTTTGGCATTGACAGGTTTAAGGAGTGGCTCGATACCAGGCATGTTGCGTAACTCACTAACGATCTCCATCAGAATCGTAGCCATTGAGATCTAAACAATTACTATATCCAGCCTGATATAAATCAAAACCTTCGGATTCGCGCGAGCTCGCTGCGCATTTTTTGTTGGTCCTTGGAGATAATCGGTTTCACCTAGAACTGCTGTTGAAAGTCTTCGTTTTGATCCTAAAGGACTCTTATAAAGAATAAAACTTTAGTTTAACCTTTAATCCCTTGTTGGAAAATCGCTCGTTGCAGATTACCCTCGAAATCTCCAAAGTCGTCCTCAAACAGGAAGCTCTTTGATGACTAAGACAAATTTGCCTAAATATTGAAAACAAAACTTACAGTAGCTTCCGAAGTAACATAATTCTCTGGTTGATCTTCTCTGGAAATGTCAAAATATTAATCTTATTCAGAAGTGCTAAATTTGCATCAACCTTGTTATCCTTACTCATTTTGCGATACTTACTTTGGCTTCTTTGAACTCGGAAAAAGTGACTTCTTGATGCGCATTATTGTTCCCTCCAACTCAACAAGACTGTCCGTAGAAATGCCGGGCACTAAAATAAAGTTCTTAGCAAAAAGTTTCATAACCTACTCGTTTCCGTCCCACTCATCGATACTTCATCATCGGTTGTCTAAAAGCAACATTTAACTGTAAAAAAAAGTTAACACAAACATCTTTAAATCCTGGGGTGATCGGTGATTTTCCGAAGAGAGGACAATTTCGATTCGATTTCATATGGCCAATTTGATTGCAAGCTGAACACCGTGTCTTCAAGTGGTTTTCCTTCTTCGGCACTTCTTTCTTTTCTTTCTTCGGCTAAATTAATCAATTTGATATTAAATCGTCCATATTGTAATTACCGCAGTTTTTGGTGCGGTCGCTTGATATCTCTTCAGGCGCCTCAATTGATCTTGCAACTTGCGTCGTTCCTTTCGGCGTTCCTAAATAATCAGATGAATTTGTTATGTAATAATCAAGCGCTAAACTTTTTATGAAACTTGATATGAAACAACCTCTTTGAATTGCTCATCCATCATCGCGTAAACCTTGATGAAATCTTCGTTGCGAGTTGATCGAATCCGTATGTACGCTTCTACCAATTGAGGCCTTGTGATGGTTTCGGTTCGAACCTAAACTCGCAATACTAATTATGTTCAAATTGTGGCTAACTAACCGATTCATTTCCGTCCTCATCTCGGAAAGTTCGATAAATCTTCAGTTTCTTGTTCCCGGTGATCCCAGAGATCTTTGAAGCGCTACCCACAATCTCTTCACTCAGTTTTGCAGCATCTAAACAAGACGTAAATTACCTTCAGATCAGCGCAAAATACCATTTTTGTCTTGATCGGTGATATTTAGAGCCTCGGTTTTGAGTTTTGCATCCGCGGATGGTCCAGCAGGGTCAGTGCGAAGCATTTCTTTCAATTCTTGCAGCTCCTTTTCTTCTTCCTCAAACCATTTTCGCTGACGATCCAACTCAGTGTTTGTTCTATCTAAAATCCAAAGATTCATTAAAGTTTTGGTAAATTACTACCTTTGGCATCTTTCAGCATTGTTTCCAATCGATTTGCCATATCTTCGTTATCCGAATTTTCATCTCCACTTCCTTCATCAGTCGATAGCTCTTCAGGATTTGAGAGATTTCTAAAGAAAAATTGAAATATAAACTTGTTCGCAAAACATACTTTGCTTGTAGCTCAAAGATTCGCTGGTTATGGCGTCGATTCTTTTCTTGTAAATTCAACATTGTGTGCCGACTGTTTCCACGGGCAAAACGAGCCATTCCAGCGACTAAACGTTGTTTTAATCAGTTTCTTCAAATGCTACTAACCATCGGGGTTTTCACCGCCACCCTTGGCCGCTTGTGTTGACAATGTTCGAATAACATCGATAATCTCCCATCTTGACAAAGCGCTAATCTAAAGCAAACTGATGATTTTCACCCCGCTTAAAAAATTTTTCTCTGGTCTAAATTAGTTGTAGCAAGAAAGTCCTTTTGAGTAAGTGTACCTCTTCTTCCCGTACACCATATTCGCGACAAATTTGTTTTGCTTCCTTTAATGGCAGTTTTCGTAAATCGGCGTTGGTTCCGGTAACAAGCCGTTTTGGAACAGTAGGGCCTTCTTCCTGAAAACATTACTTTTATAGCGTGCAAAACATTATGCCAAACTAGCATTAATCTACTGGAATTAATTGTCTGACTGTGTGCGTAAACTAACCTTTGGTGGTTTAGCTGACACTCGCACATAAGAGAATCCTTGTCCACAACCGGTAGGATCGGCGATTCCCGTCTGATCGAGGAGACATTTTCCTCGCATCGCCCATATGTATGCCCTAAATATTTTGAAAATTTTATGCAATGTTTATACAATCTTTCTACCGCGTTGTATTCCAAGGAGCAGCCTTTATCTCATCTTCGATCGTCACCTCATCATTCGATTCTTCCTCATTTTCAGGCGTAAAGAAGTATCTTTCTCCATAACCAGCGTCCTACAAAAATTTTAAATAGTAGGGCCAAGATCAAATGAACTTTTATTCCCCTAACAAAAACTAACTTTTAAACGTTGTTCAGTGGCCAACATACTGTACTGTGCACAGTACATTTCTGGAGTCACCATAGCCAGCACTTCTTCTTTTGATGGCAGTCGGAAATCAGGCCGTAAAATCTAAAAGAATTTTTTTGTAGATAAACAATGTAAATCATACCCAAAAGCAATGTTCGGGTCCAGGACCAAGTCTTTTGAAATCCGCGCAAACCTAAACAATTTTATTAAGAAACACAATAATTCAAGACACCTTTAGTCTTTTCCTTAAACTTCCTTCGGCATAGTGAGGAAAAGCGGCCTTCAGGTCTTCGATTTTAATTTTCCGTGGATCTTCGTTAGATTCCCAGAAAAGACGATAGATACTTGCCTAAACTTTTGTCATAAGTTAAGTGGCCATTGCATACTATTTTTCTTTTACTTTTACTTATACTTGAGCTTCTTTCATACCATTAGCGAATCCCGAACAAATTGTGCCGCTCGTTTCGAATTTGGACTCGGTACTTCGTAAAGAGGACACTCTTGCCCAACAACAAACGTCGGAGGCATTTGGCGAATATACCAGCTAAAATTTCATGGATATCATGAGTAGTGATCTGAATATTTTACAAACCTTCCTTTTTGGTGAATCAACAAGAAATCGGTACGCTTAGTTGCATGTCGATAGATTGGAGCACTAAATACTTTTTAGATGTCAATTTATGTCAACCATTAAACTAACCGGAACAAGTTGTTCTCAATGCTTTGTAGACTTTGACCGGGTTGAAGAATTCCGAGAAATGGTATGTGTGTGAAAGCCGTCTCACCATATTCGAAGTCGAGATCGTGTTCTTTGCCAGTTTTCTAGAACAATAATTGAAATATTTTTTTTAAGTCTGTCCCACTCTTTTATAATAGTTCCGCAACTTGCTTGCCATTCCAGTTTGAGAAAGAAGAGGTGGATGTTCTTCGGAATATTCCAAGAGAAGCAATTCTCCATCACTAAAACAACGTGTAAGAGCTAAAAATGAGGTAAAGTCCAACCGTCCAGATAGATCCTGTATTTCTCGCATCAAGAACACTTCACCACCACCGTCAATTTGCCTTTTACGTTCTCGCATCTAAATTGATAAAAAGTTAACAATCCAAATTGTCGATGTACCTCATTCATTTGTTGGATGTGCTGTGTTAAGGGCTTGATTGGCACAAATTTGCTTCCAATATTCCGCATGATTCGTTTATTCAATGGCTGAAATCAAAGGTTGCAATCCTTAAAAACCAAAAACCTGTCGATGCCAATGACGCAACTTTGAAATACCAAGATGAGTCGGGAAAAACATCTGATGCACATTTTGAGCCGGTAATGAGTGCAGGATTTGCGTCGCGGTAACGGTGGGACCAGACCTAAAATAAAAAGTTTGCAGATGGAAGCAAAGCTACATACCTTCGGAATTAGAGTTCACAACTTTGAAGTTAGATAAAAAAGTAAACATTCTTACTTGTCAGTATTCTTTGGATTGTAATAGTCATCATTGCTGAGATTGAACGGATCTTTATCGGTCATTCTTTCCATTTCCTCTTCTTCTTCTTGTTTTTGCCGTTGTTGCACTTGTCCCAAAATCATCTTTGATTTCTTCGTGAAGAGATTGTTGTCCTAAAAAAAAATTGAAAAATTAAGGAGTAATGCTTTGAATAAGTTGAACCTTTTTCTCAATCTTTGTCACAATACTTTCATTGGTTTCATGATCCTCGGGCATACCAAAAATCAGCGGATCATCGAAAAAGTCAAGCGTCAGCATTTTCGGTTCTAAAAATTATATTAATGATCAAAAAGCCGATAAGTTTACTTAACATCTGTACAAGCAAAAGTTTACTCACCTGGTAATCGCTCCATATTGTCTACATCAATAATTACATCTTTTTCCCAATTTGTGTTGTCTACGAATTCTAACGGGAAGATAGAATGAGTCGGCGTTGGTTCCGTGATCAGATCTGAAGTGGATACATTCTGACAAGTTAGTAATGATGCATAAATCTGCATAAACATTTCTTTATTAAAGTTAAAACACACCTGGATCAGGTACAAGTAACCTTTGGGGTGGCGGATTTTGAGCAAACAACGATGGCAAATAGTTTTGCTTCACTAGAACATAAACATTTTCCAGTCAACATTTCAAATCTTACAGGCAATTGTGAAATGCTCATAAGTACGCGTCGATAGAGTTGGAAACCATCCACCCAAAGGAGGTTTGCCCGTCTTCAACTCGTCAATTAACTAAAATTCAGCCGAATTTGCATATCCGTCTCCTTTCTACCTTTTGCCGATATTGTTCACCGTCCATTACGATATCATTTTCCCAATTGATCAAGTTGACGGGAAGAAAAGCGCTCGAGCGTTCCTTTGTGCTTTCTTCAGCTTCTTCATCCGGCTTCTTACGCGATAAATCCTAAAATCAGTGAATTAAATTAATCGTCATCAGCAGTCTTATTTTAATAAATAATTATCCAATAAGCATTTTGTTAATAATAGGTGATGGATCTTGTTATCTACCTCTTTCTTCAAATTGAACCCATAATCGACACTAGTAGCCGTCAGTGGAACTCCCATTTCATCGTACAACGATTTAGCTGGTCCAAGTCTCCACGGGGCAATCTATGCAATGACACTTTTGAAGCGGAAAAACAGAAAATGTACTTCTCGTTTTTCCTCATCCTGTTTGTTAACTTCTTTTGGCATTTGGACGGCTGGACGCAGCAGTAAAGTCTAAACAGAGCCCTTTTATAAATAATGTTTCCCAACAAACCTCTTGATCGACTTGATAATCATCTGGATTTGTTGATGGTTCAGCTAGTGACAAACTCCGCAAGTTTGACGTTTGCCTTAGTTCACCCTTTAGAATTGCCTAAAATAGATACACAATACAAAAATGAGCAAAACCTCACTTCCTGTTTTTCTTTTTCCTCGGCACGAAGCTGTGCACGTTGCTCGGCAGTAAGGGATTTGTAAATGAAGCTTTTACTCGTCCACCACAACTCAGTCTACAACTTTTTTGCTTATTGACAATAATCAAAGCAAAAGACCTTAAATGATGGTTTGATGTTGTGCGCGAACAATCGGGAAAAACGAAGCACTTCAGTGGGCGAAAACTCGGGAAACCATTGTCTAAACAAAATAGTGTACAAAAATAAGTGTTATTTAGCATTAAATAATCAGCGTTTTGAATTCCTTTACCTTGGATCAACTCCATCAAGGTGTTCATTCAATATCGACGCTAGTGGGGCATCTTCTCGTATAGATGGCCGCACAAACGGTGGTCGATCATCGTTAACTTCTGATTCCTTAACAACTTTACATGGCTAATGCTTCACAAAAACGTACATCAATAATGTTCTTGGCATCATCTTCGTCACTCAAACAGTCGTTAGGATCCTTGTAATTTTCCGGCCAAGTGTAAGCTAAAAGAAAAAATTGCTTCGAATAAAAAACAAAGCTTACGTTTGTTACTAGCAGCCAAATGATTTTGATAGTAGGGGCTCGTCTCTTCTAAAATTAAAAACTTTTTATCAAGCCTTTTAAGAAAAGTAACAATACAGAGCTGCAATTACTAAATTATGTAAGTAAATGGCTTTCGAGTTATACTGATTAAATAGAACTACCTTGTTCCGAATCATTTTCCTCGTTATCTTGCTGCACCATTTGAATGGAGGAGCCATTCTCGTTCATGTTCGGTTTGCATTCTTCCTCCATCACGAGACGAGGCTAAAATAAAGATTAAATGATGAAGAACTTAACAAGCACAATGAAAAAGAAAACATTTAAAACATTCAGCTTTCTATGTTCATTCAATTCGGCAGTTATTGTTTGTTTTACGTAAATTCGCCGTTAAACAAAACAAAAACATTAACTCAACGCCATTTAAATTTCTATCCAACGAAAGGACATGAATTTAACTTCTACATTTGAATGAAGAAGATTTATGAAAGTGAATGCTGCTAGATCATATCGAACCATTGCAAAGAGTTTCGTCACGTAATCGCGCAAAAAGGCTGATCGTTTGATGAGCTCAATTCAAAGTTATAAATTGAACGAATGAAAATGAGTGAAAAGGGGGGACTTTTTGCGCCCCGTTAAAAAGACCGGAAGGTCGAGAGCCAAAAGTTCGGGGGGGATGCGAGACCCGAATCGACACGCAAATTTGACAAAAGGAAAACACGCAACAACGCTTTTCCGCAGTTTTTGCCCTTAGCCCAAATTTGACGTGTCAGCGAGGTCTGATTGTCGAAATTCGGAATCTACGCATACGATTCCCTTATATGGAAGTATTTTCGAAATATTTTCGAAGCTCTACGGCCTTGCCTAAGGCCTTTTCCAGCAAAAAAAAGGTGCGCAAATGTCCAGGTGCGCAAAAAAAAGGTCGCATTTGTCCCACCCCCAATAAGAGAAATAATTGCTTGCTTTAAATACCCACAATAGGTACGGTACTTGGAGCACTCTTTAGAAGCGACACTTCGTTTAATCTTTATTCAAAGGTTTTCAACAAAAATCTATGGTTTATCGCCGATTTCTTTAGTTTTTGCTCGAACTAGCTCTTTTCTCGATTCTTCTCTGGCAATACTCAAGAATCCTCGTGCAAGCGTCAACAATAGCTTCTTCTGGCATCAAAAGAATCACTCGGAAATACCCGGGTAATCCCATCAAGCTACCAGGCATTGTGGTTACTAAATTTGATACAGTAACTTGTTAAAACTTTGATTTAATGATGTTTTCACATATCAAACCGGCTTCTTCTTCAATGAGTCCTTTAAGGAAATCCACTTCTTCACCCAAAATCTCGTTGTCGATCTTTACACAGAGATAAATGGCTGCTTGGGGAAGCAATGGATTAAGTACCCGGAACTTTCTAGAACAAAAATGCCTACTTTTTCTAAATGATTAACTTACCACAAGTAAATCGTAGAAAAGCTGTGCGTTTTTCTTGAGTCGATCGTTGAGATCATCGAAATATTTCTGTGGGGTATTTTGAAGAATATCAGGGAGAGCACCCTATGATCTATGATTGTTTACAAATTTTAAAAAAATGAATCCATTTATCTCTTTGTTTTTGAACCAACTTCAATAACCGACGAAACACCAAGCGCTTTGAGCGTTAATTTACGCATTCCTTGCCAAACTTTAGATAAAGATCCTTGATGATCTCTCAACAATAACCATCCGCATCTCCATCCAGGCACCAAATAACTTTTTGATAAGGCATTCAGGGTTATAATCGGTACCTAAAGAGCCTTTTCAATGAATAGGTAAATACTGTAAGTCCAGTTTTCTTATCTATGCCTAAATTCCCATTACATTTGGCTCAAGCTCAGTCAATCGCCAGAATTTCTCCTCGCCGAACACCAAATTCCCATAGATTTCATCAGCCAATACAGGCAAGTGATGTTTTTCAGCAATTCGAAGAAGCTAAAAATAAAAATAAGCTCCTTTTTTTCGAATCGCTGTATAAAAGTCTTACTTGTTCTAAATGTTCTTTTGGATAAACAGCTCCTAACGGATTGTGGGGATTGTTCATCAGAATTGCTTTCGTCTTGTTATCGATTTTTCTTTCAAGATCTTCAAGGTCAATCAATCCGTTTTCAATGTTCAACTGATAGCCACGGAACTAAAATTGTAAAAAAATAATCAAAAGTCAATTTCGATTATTTTGTGACCTACCTCAACTTCATAGGCTCTCGTGTAGGTCTCGTAGACTCTGTAGCAAGCTTCAGGGAATAGGATGTTGTCTCCTGGATTAGCTACACCCTAGAATTCAGATTAATTCTTTTGAAAAACATTTCTCATCGTAATCTTTACCGTTACAAATAGCTCCAATGCATGTCCTCCACCAATCGTAATTATCACATCATTGGCTGAATATTTTGTGCTTTGTGTGGATGAGTGTTCAGCGACTGCCTCTCTTGTTTCATCACCTCCCCACCAAAAGTGATAACCATCATGTTTTTGGGTTTTCTAAGAGATAAATAAGTTCACATGCTTAAAATCTTGGACAGAAAACTCACGGTGGCTCGGATGAGTGCTTCAGTGGCATAATCACAGCGTGGTCCACCTGGGACAAGAGTCGGATCACCAGCTCCCAAAACGATAGGTTTTTTTGATGGATTTGGAGTAACACTCTGAAAAGGTTGAGGCTATGGTTACATTCTAGTGTCAGATAAGATAATTGCATTTAGAGATCCAATAGAAAAGAAGCGAAAAGATTTTTTGGAGAGCCTAATACATTCAATGGTAGTTTTCACTCACCATTCTCAGTGCTTCTAAATCGACAAAGAAATGTTTGCAAAGCGTTGCTGCATGACTTTCTTTAAACACCGGCCACGAAGATCTTCAAAATGATTGTGAATAAAATTTAAAGTAACCAACTTGTTGAGATGTTTTCCATTGAGTTCTGATGACATCCTGGAATTCTGGAACTATTGATTGAATCAAGAAATTAACCAATGAAAATAAAGACTATGCTCTGTATTTCTCGTTTTAAATCAAAGATTACATCATGGTTCAGTCGCTTTTCCCAAAATTTCCAGTGATCCGCTCAATATCGCTCGAAAAGCGGGGAAAAAATTCAACGAAACCACAAAAAAACACAGGATTGACCTTTCGATAGTGATAAAAATCGCTCGTGAGTAGCATATCTGTAGAGCAAAAATGGTTGATTCTCTAAGATTCTCTAAGATCTCAATCTCTAAGATTGAGAGAACAAGTTATGCGTTTTTAAAGATCCGTTTAAAGATCTGAATCTCGTCTGTAAGCATTGAAAATGCATTTTCACAAAGAAAAATTTTATTTCAAATAGAAAAAAAACAACAAAGAAATAGAGAGATCTATTGAGAGCTTTCAAATAAAAAAAAATAGATTATTATTTTAAAAGAATATAATTTTCTTTAAAATCTTCATCACCTCGTCATAATGTTTGAGCAGTTTAAGATGCTTTTAATGGGTTGTATGGCACGTTATTCTGGCACTTTTTCGGCAACAAAATGGGTAAATGCAAACAAAAGGAAAAGTCATCAAAAGAGATAATGGGTATCGTGGCTTGAAATTGTGATCATTTGTAATCAAGAATTATTTTGTAATTTCTAAACTACGATACTTTAATTGATAAATCGGGAGTGGGACAAATGCGACCTTTTTTGCGCACCCGGACATTTGCGCACCTGGCCCATTAGCGCACCTTTTTTTCGCGTTTTAAAAAAGCTCTAAAAAGCTAATATTAACCAATTTCTATTCCAAAAGTTGTTTTTCTAGGTAATTTTAGGGCGTAGAATCGAAATTTTGACATATCAGAGCTTGTGGAAACAAACGGACGGAGTTATACAAAGAGAAAAATCGACAATTTTCTGTAATTTTATCTAGCCGTTTTGTCTTTTAAATTGGTTCCACACGCTCTGTTCTGTCAAAATTTGAATTCGACACCCTCAAATTACCTAGAAAAACAGCATTTGGAATAGAAATTGGTTAAGATTAGCTTTTGAGGGGGTAGACTAATTTCCGCAATGTTTGATTGATGTCGGTTTGATTCCACACGCTCTGTTATGTCAAAATTTCGATTCTACACCCTCAAATTACCTAGAAAAACAGCATTTGGAATAGAAATTGGTTAATATTAGCTTTTTAGAGCTTTTTTAAAACGCGAAAAAAGGTGCGCTAATGGGCAAGGTGCGGAAAAAAAGGTGCGCAAATGTCCGGGTGCGCAAAAAAAAGGTCGCATTTGTCCCATTCCCGATAAATCTAGAAGTTCAAGTAATATAGCTTAAACTGGTGGGTCTGATAGTCGAATTTTTACAAAAACTAACAAATTGACATGCTTGACGGTAACTTTTAGCTTTCAAAATATCTTAGAAAGATCTATTACATTACATCTTTGATTACCATCAAACAAATCTACAAGAAAGTGTTATTATTGAGTTCCATTCATCACTTGATCAAGAGAAACTTTCTTCGCTTTTGCTTCTTTTGACTCGGCCGCTTTCTTTTTTGTTTTCTTCGGTGAAGTCGGTTTACCAATTTCCTAAAATTTGAAGATTTTTGAATTCGATCGAAAGATTCGATGATCATTCGATCAATTTCAGTTTATTCCAAGAATGTAATATTTCGTTAGACAACTTCAACAACGAGAGAAAGCACTTGTTTGTTACAGAAAAGCTTTGTACGTTAATCAAGTAGATAGATATGGGTTTGAAGTTCTCAAAAGCGGAAAGAAGATCACTCGAGACTAACCCCAATTCTAGTAATACTGCGTATTGCGAGAGACTCTCTGAAAAAAAAGCGAGTTTGGTAGCTGATAAATCTTCTAACTGAGAATGCGCTCTATCAACAAATCCCAACAATGAACTAACCTTTTTCGGTGGCTTGAGTACTTGCACAGGTACAACCTCTCCATCTCCACCATTACTTCTTCCAATTTCTCCTCTATCATCACTTTCTCTTCTCGATCCATCCGCTCCACGACTTGATCGAGAAAGTGAACGACGAACTCTTTCCACCAATTTTGAGCCCATGTTCTGAAATTTGACAGTTAAATTGAAACTAATCAAACTCAGCTACGGATTAATCATCAAGTTTTTAATGAAAGAACAATTGAATCTCACTTTGAATGGATTTCGTCCACCCCTTGGCAGTGTACCGTATGGATTATTCGTAGCGTCATCAATTTGACTCATGCTTTGATTATGTTTCAACGGTGTTGGCTGCTTTACTGGGGTCTAAATTTTGTTAATTGAAACTTGCTGCACAGTAGCCAAAAGTTAGAGACTTTGAATCAAGATTCAAAGTCTCTAACTAACTCACCCTTTTTCCATTTGAATCTTGAGTCGTTTCAACGGATCTCGACTTTCGAATGCCAAAGAAACCCTTTTTGCTTTCACTGGGCGAGCCTTGTTTCATGTCGATCGAGTCGAAAGCCTAGAGTTTTCATTTACAATCAGAAACAATCTCTAATGATATTAATTGCAAGAAAAATTAGCTTCATTGCATACCTTGGCCATTAGTTTAACAGATGGTTGTCCACCCCGTGCCAGCTCTTCCCGTCGCACTTGATACAAGATGTTTGTACCTAAATTTTCTTCGTAAAACTCGAAGAATCATTCCATAGCTACCCTGAAAATGTAGTGAGCCATGCAAGGATCTACGCCAGAGAAATATCTTTATAAATTTAAAGTAAGAATTTAAAAAAAGCTTTGATAGAATTACTCAGCCATGACAAAAAAAAGGATACCTTCTTTTACCGTGTCTCCTGTCTCTTCTGAAAAGAAAAAAGTCAAAAATTTTATTTGAGTTTGAAGTTTTGAAAAAAGCATTAGAGGGGATAGAGGCCTACATGCTAACAAATTGATAAATTATAGGGATTTGAAATTTCGAGAAGAGGATGTGTTACTGTAATCATTGGAAAAAGTTAGCCTTCTACAGATCTGCGATGTGTACTTTGTGCTCACAAATGGAAGCATACCTTTTCTGGCGCAGAATTTAGTGTGCCAGAAAAGGTGTGGTTCGAGTTCAAAGTACGCGTTAGAAACAAATCCGATCAATTTTTAGATTCCTAACAATTACAGTACTTCTGTTCTCGAAGCTAATCTAGAAGTGAATCAAAGATTTCTCTCCCATACCGGCACTCGTTTTTCGTTGTGGATTCGGACTGGGTTCTTCCTCATCTCTCGATCGATCGAATGATGTTGAACGGGGGAATTGTTTCGGAACATAATGAATTCTTCCATCTTTATCGTATTCCACAGCGGTGTTCTTGTCTAGAGAAAGATAAGCATTAGTTAAAGAAAGTACAAATGATTGACAGAATCAAGCACAAAGTGAAGGATTAGTTTTTGGTTGGTAAAGACAAAAAAAAGGTGAGGCTTTGCTCAAAGAAGTGACTCAAAGAATGCTGAAGCTAAAGTTTGAATATTGTAGTCAGTTTAAGAGTTTTACGTAAAATACTAAAACTTTGATATCTTTTCTTACAAACACTGCAACGCGAACTTCAAAAAATGTTTGTGGAACATGCAAGTGATTATCCAAAAGGCACAAAGGGCTTGATGAGACTTCGACAGTTCAAGAAAACAATATAAATACCTTTATTTCCATTTCCTGTTGCCGATTGAGTGCTTCTTGTTGATTGGGGTGAATACGTAGTGCTCATTCCTGCTGGTGTCACGTCTAAAGTGGCAAAAAAAGAGAATGGGATGCAAAAAGTGGAAAGATGTTGAAAAGCGAGCTCATGCACAAGCTCGGTCACTTTTTTCTTCAAAAAAACAAGCAAATAGTGGATTGATTTTTGTGTTCAATGATTAACTCTAATATGTTCATGGTGTACTTTGCACTTAAAAATAGAAATGCAGCCTTTATGGTGCACTAACACAATACCGAAAAGAAGGATTTAAGTGCACCAGAAAAGACGCATTTCGATTTTTTTAAAGCTCAAAACTATTGTTCACCAACAAAGCTACACTTGTGCAAAGTTTATGAGTTCTACAACTTATATGATTATCAAAATATGATTACTATGGAGTCTTTGATAAACTCACTGAGAATGAAGTTTGGCGGTGGATCCGGATAGTTGGAGGATTTCTTTTGCGGAGATTTCCCTCGTCCATCAACCAATCGGTCGAATGCTGATGACATCGTTGTGTTCTCAACGCTAAAATTGGGAAATGAGTTGATTTATACAGTTTCTACAAAATCATTTATAATCTTGTAAACCTGCTGTATTCAACAATAGATAAAGCCAAAGTTGATAAAATTAGACCATGCATCATGCAAATGTAAACAAAAAAACTCGAATAAAGAACCTGAAGGATCGTTTTGGGAAAGCATTGACTCCATTTGAAAGTGATGAGATTGAGGTTGTGCCTGCATTCGCTGTCCATCTGAACAAAGGGAAAAGTGTGTGAGGAGGCAAGCGATGGAAGAAAAATCACTACTTTACCACACTATGACAACTGTACTACGGATTATAAAGCTGGCAAGTTTTGTTGATGAAGAGTGTAGACATTAGAGCCCTTCAAATGAAAAGTCAACAAAAAAATGTGAATATCCAAGTGATGAAATCAAGTTTCATTCAGGAAAGAGTTTTCTCGTGCAGAGAAGCAGAAGCTTTCAACTCAATTACCCACTTTACAGTGCCTCTCACAGGGATTGAAGTGGTTGATCGAATCGAGAAGCTGCTCTGTGAGATGTTGTCGTACTCAGGTCCCGCCTCACTAAACTCAAAGAGATCAAGAGCTTTCAAAAGACAACAAAGCAATAGTTAGAGGTGATGAAATGATATCAAATCAAAAAAAAATAACTGTCTAACCTGATTGACGGCTCTCCGCCCATTCGATAGCCAGAAATTGAGGGTTGCGTGGATGGACAACGATCATCACTGGAAACGATTTTGATGCTTTAAAAAAAGACCAACATTAATTTACCCATTATAATTATTCTGATTGTCTTCATCCCTGATTGCCATCAGTTGTGAGATAATGTACTTCACTGAATCAGGATGATCCAGCTCTATACGACCAGCTCTCCGAAGGGGATCTGTCACGTATTGGAGCTAAAAATTGTTGGGAATATAATAATTTTTCTAAATAATATCATATCATTTTCCACAGATTATTTATTTATTAACTTGAGTGTTTTCTAAAGTGCGGACCTCTTACCGTCCCTATTTGTCCGGTATTTCATAGCATTTTTCTCTTTGATCAAATTCGTTGTCGAGCTTTATTTTTAAGAGAATTGCTCAATCTTTCGTCTTTTTAAATAAATTGTTAAACCAAATTTCGTCAACTAATAAAATTATATCATCAACATCAAGGAAATACATACCGTAAATACTGTAATAGTATCCCATCCCCCTAATGACGGTGCGGAGTGTTGCGTAATCTAGCTTTGGACGCGTTTTTCTCGACACTGGTTTATGCTACAATGCGCGCTTAGGTATCAAAAAATAGCTGAAATTCAGGGCTATTTTTTGATACCAAAGACGCATCTTTTGAAAGTACGGGTGCTTTGCAAAAAATGAAATACTAAAAAACTTTTGCGACTACGCGACTGTACGAGGGTGGTGGGGTACTATTACAGTATTTACGGTACGTATACAACTCAAAATGAACTCAAAAATCGGACTAGAGAATAAAATGATAACTTACTTGATCAATGATCGACGACAATCGATATTTTCTAGTCAACTTCTGAAGTTCAGAGAGGTGAACTGCTTGTTGGAGTCTCTCGGCTTCGGCCTCCAGCATCTCTTTTTGAGTCAATTGATTGTCCTGAAATGTTTTGCATATGCTTGGCTTTAAATGTAGAAGTTTTAACGAATAAAAGCTGTTAAAAGTAACCTTTGCATTGCTCATTTTCTAGTTTTCAGCCTACGTAAACCCTTGCATACAAACCTTGATTTGAGACAAATTTCTCTGCTCGATCTCCAGCACCCGAATCGTTTCTTTGAGCTGAAATTGATGTTTATAAAGTTTTCACATAACAAAATCTAACGCAGACAACGAACGAACGGACGGACAGACACTGCTCTTTTATATATAATAGATTTACATCTTTGATGATTCGACTCATTTCCACTTGTTTCAGATTGGAGTCTTTGGTAAGCTCACGGATTCGATCGTTCAACCGTTCCACCTCTTTCGAATAGAATCTGAAATTGCTAACTTTTAGCTAATTTCTAAACAGCATATAAATAAAATTTAATATTTAATCAATATCTGTAATCACTTACTGTTCATATTCTTGATATTGAATGTGCACTCGCTCGGCGTTTTTCTGCTCTTGCTGACTGATCTTCTCGTTTTTCCCCTAGAAATATCGATTTTAGATTTCGATTTTTAAATTGAAAGTAAATCCATTTGTCAAACCTTTGATCGTTCAATATTCCACAAAATTTGATCGGCTTTCCGTGCTTCTTTTGTCAATCGCAGATCCGTATTCACCCTCTCCATTTCGGCCTCCACATCGCCCAATCGTTTTTGCTAAATTTTGAAGATTTTTAAAGAAATTTGTTTTGCAATTCCTTACCATTTCCTTGCTTTTGCTCTTTGTATCCACCGATTCTTTCTCGGCTTTCTCCGAATTTTTCTTTTCCTCAAGCATTTTTCTCTCGAAGTTGCTCATTGAGTCCTTGTGCGCATCACGCTCACGTCTCGCCAACACTAACTGCAATTTCTTTGGTAACATGGAAGCTGCAAATATAAGTCCATCTACAATAATGCAGCTTTCAAAGCCATAACATTATCATCGAGAAAACATTTTAATTAACCTGTGTATGCAACGATTTATTCGTGTCCTCCATGATTCGCATTCGACTCGAGAACTTCTGCTGAAGTGCGTCCATTTCAACGGTGCGGATCTGGAAACATTTTTATGTAGTACTCTATTGTAGTGTATAAATTCTCTATTCAAGTCCCAAACCTTTTCCGTTTGTCGACATTTATGCTGGAAAGCCTCTTTGTCTCGACTCCATCCAGATTTCGTCTTTTCCAATTCATTCTTCAGATCGACCGTCCCGATCTTTAGATCCTCGTTTTGAGCGGCTTGATCAGCGACCTATACCAATGGATGCAAAGTAAACAGATCTGAGGGTAATGAAGCACTTTTGCACTCACTCTTTTCTCTAGTAAAGCTATCTCCTTTCTCAAATCGATTAAGTGAACCTTGTCGCTCTCGTGCCGGGCAAGTTTCGCCATTTCTGATTCTTCCTAAAAGTTTTTGTATGAAAATTGTTTGATCTTCACAGATACTACATAATGACATAAAGATCTCCTTGTTTTCCCTTCTTACTTTTCCACTCGATCCAGTCGATTTGGGCTCCTCATGAATGCTTCCCTCACCATTTCGAACAGCCTAAGTTGTTGGGAATAAAATCATTTCAGCTTTTGAAGCTATCTTTAAAAGAAATCTATATTTAAATATCAATCCCTTACTTGTATCTGTTTTTTCAACAATGCAATCTCCCTCTCCAATCCTGATCGATCCGTTTTCCAGGCCAACTCTTTCTTTCGGAGATCCTCGGAGACTTTTTCTGAATATAGCTGTTTGATTTGTTCTGGAAATTGATGACAAGCCCGTAGCCAGGATTTCGGTGTTTTGAGAGAATCGCTAGAGCTACGTCCAGAAGTGCCCAATCAGTTTACACCCAAAGAAGAAATTTCAGCAAAATCTTCAGGCTACAATGAAATTCACTCGGAAAAATTTGCATTTTTTTGAGAAAATTTAGGGAAGGCAGAGGTTTTAGTCCCTTAGCTGCTATCCAGGAAACTTCTAGCCGCCGCCAATCGATTCTCCGTGTCAATTTACATAGGAAACGTGAGCTCAAAAACCGATTTAAAGCTTGTGGAGCGAGTTAGAGGGGCTCAAAGTTGGACAAAAACACCAAAATCCTGGCTACGGGCTTGATTGTTGGCATATGCAAATTGAAATGCAAAGCCTAAACCTTTGATTGCAAGCCCTAATTCAGATAAAAATACAAATTCCAACTGACTCAATTCAAACTCGGCATCTTCCCCGATTTTCTTCAGCGCGATAATCTCATTCTTCGCTCGTTGTCTCTCCGAATTCATTTTCTCCCTTTCTTGATCGAAAATCGACTCCAATTTGTTATGTTTAATCTCGTATTCCTTGACCGTTTTCTTATCGGATTCGGTTTCCTAAAAACAATTTTTAAAGTCTTTCATCTCAATTATCTCCACCTGTAATACTTTCTTTTTCTCATCAAGATCTCTCTGCAGTTTCTTGATCTTTTCTTGTACTTCTTCCATCGATTTCGTTTTCTCGATCAGAGTTGACGATTTTACTTCCAACAACTGAAAATTAGAAATTACTTGAAAACTTTGAAATTCAAAAGCAAACCTGTTCTTGTTCTTCGACCATCCGTTTTGCGTCAGAAAGGCGAATATTGAGAGATTTGATCTGAAATTAGTTTAGTTTAAAAATATTATTGCCAAGTTTTCTAGATGCTTGGCATTTTACCAACTTTTAAGACTCGTACCTCATTTTCAAAGATTTGCCTCTGTTTCTCGATCTCAATTGTCCAACGGTCCTCTGTTTGCAAAACCTGAAAGCTCTTTGTTACAGAAAATAAAGGGCTACAAACTTAAGTACTTTTTTTTCCAAAAAAACAATCCAAATCCAACCTGTTCAGTGAGATCTTTGTTCTTCTTTTTGTAGAAGCAAATTTCTTCTTGCTGTTCTTCTACACATTTCTCGTTTTCCTAAAAATATTGGTTCATTTTACATTTTTCTTCAAATTAATGTTATAGAATATTATCAAATTGATAAATCATAACTTCTATAAATAAAATTTTTACTTGCAATCTCACCTTGCATCTCGAACACTCAGGCTTCGGTGTCGAGGTGGCCTCGCGGGCCGGGGATCGACGGAGATAATTTGGATTGGATAACTGAAAGTTGGGTTTAATTTAAAATAAAATTAGATTCTAAATCCAAACCTTGCTATCATCCAACAGCTTGTGCACACTCTTCAGCTCTCCCATCAAATTCGCTAACTCTGCAATGATCGTCGCCGAGCTGTCCTTAGAAAGAGATCGACGGCGTTCATCCTAATAAATGGTTATTTTAAAATTTAAAGAAGAGGTTCGAATTAAGACCGAATCTCACTAGGATAAAATTATTGGCAAGTAGGTGTAGTAATTCATCCAAAAATTATATTACTACGCTTACTTGCCGATAATTTGGTCTTTGGTTGGTCTTAATTCGAAATTCTCCTTTAAATTTAGCAGCAAGTTATGTAAATTTTATTCCCAACCTTTTGTGCATTTTCGAGCTTCTCGATTTGTTTGCAGATTCGACTCGTTTGTGCTTCCACCGATGCGAGTACCTCACAACATTGCTCAATCTGTAAAGGCTCACAAATTTATAGCTATCATACTAGAATCGATTCTCAAAAGTCTCGCCCACTTCATCAACAGTCGGTGTTTTGTTGTTGTGCTGAAGGGATTCGATCGTGTTTTTCGCTGATGACTCACTCAGCTGTCGCTCGAGGAAATCGACGCGTCGCTTGAGTTCTTCCTGAATGTGAAAATAAAACAAACAAGGTATTGGAAGCCAATAATAAGTGCTGTAAGCCAACTGTACTTAAGATAATATTATTTAACACTCACCGAGTACTTTTCCCCACCACGGACACATTTCTGATGAATCACATTGCACCGTTCATTCGTCAGCGTCAATTGGTTGTTCAAAACCTCCACCTAAAGAAGAACTTTTGAATAGAGTGTGTAAATTACTCGAGTAAAATTTACATGAGTAATTTTTACTCAATTAATCGACGTTTTCTGGCCGGCTAACTACGAGTAATCCGTTTTAAATTGAATATCTTTATATTTGATGGGATTTACCAGCAAATCAATTGAATAGCTGAATATCTTTATATTTGATGGGATTTACCAGCAAATCAATTCAATAGCTGAATATCTTTAAAAAGAATCGTATATAATAGTTTTTCATGAATTTTTTGCAATAATTTTTGGCTAAAAGTTCAGTAATTTTTTTCCAATTTTGCCTTTTTAAAAAACGCATTACTCGCGAGGAACACACTTCACTTTTGAATACTTGGAATAAATTCAAACTCAAACCTTTGTGGCCATAGCGATAAGTCTTTGATCGTCACTCTTGAGCAAAGCTTGCTTCAATTCGGTGACTTCTGTTTCAAGCTTTCGTCGCTTTTCCTTCTCCTCTCGGAGCTCGGCCGGAGTGGGTGTTGTGGCTAAAATCACCAAAATGAATTATTGCATGACTTGAGCTATGATCTAGCGGTCCAACTTTTTTGACCAATATCCATCACTCACCATTATTTGTTGTCACATTAGACATCAATCTCGACGCTCCCTCCTCTTTCCTCAACTGCATGTTCAGCTCCAAATTCTTCCGTTCGAGATCTCCGATCGTTGCCAAGAGATTCGACATGTCTCTCTCCATTTCTGGTGTCAATGTGGCTTGGAATTGGGCAAGCTGGAAAAGATTGGTAGACATAAGAGTTGACTCTATTTCACAATTATGTATAACTTGTTTTGATATCCTAAGTAGTTTCCCTACAAACCTCTGAATTGCCAGAGTGGACTTCGAGGCCTTGGCCACGTTTCGCCGAGCCGAGCTCCAATTCGACTATCCTGGAAAGCTTGAATGTGAAACAATTGCATTAATCTGGTCAAAGTCAACTAAATGTGGTGCTTAATCTCAAAACAAAAGTGGTTGTAGAGTTCTTTTCAAATACAAAAACAACATCAACTACTCTTACGCATTGCTCTTCAGTGGGATTGGGGGAGTCGAATTGCTGAAAAAATGGAAATAATTGAAAGAACTGTACTTTTTGGTGAGCATGTCGTTGGTTCGCTCGAGTCGTTCGACTTTCGAGTTCAACGATTGAACCTCGTGCTCGGCTAGCTCGAGTTGGATTTGAGCGTTGCCCTCGCTAGAAAAATGCACTCGCAAATCATTCAATACTATACAACGATGAACAAATGTAATGGTTTGGCTGCATGCAAGGATGGATGATAGGAAGAAAGGAATACTTGTGAACCTGTTGAGAATTAAGCTCACTAGATTCACAAATATCAGAAAAGTCTGTCTGAATGACTTGTTTAGTACAGATAAAGAAGCAAATCAAATACACAAAGCTCGAAAAATTTGTGCTGTAGGTGATGCTGACATTGATATTTCTCTTTCTTTAACTAGTAACAACTTCTGAATAGATTTTGTACTCAAAATTGAAACACGATCTAACTCAATATTTTAAAAGATTAGTGCACTAGAATGTGTTGATTTTGAGTGCAACATAAATTGCAAAAGATTGACAGTTCACTCTAACATAAAAACACAGATTAATGACAGGAAATGTTAAGCTCTGTAAGCTGTTAAGCTTTAAAGTGACTTAGGTTTTTTTTGACTTAGAGTGTTTTTGAATAGGAACACTTATACAAGTCTTGAGCTATTCTTGCCAAAGCTGCAGCTAAAGAGTGACACTCAAAAGAAAAAAGATTGAAAAGACAGAAAAGGACGAAAGGACAGTTGAAAACGAAGACAATCTCTGGCCAGATTAAACCCAAAAAAAGACCAGAGATATGGGTAGAGGGGACGAACTTGACACAGCACACTGATCCACCACGAGGAAGTGGAGGGGTTCTCTTCACTCCTCGACTCATCCCCCAACCTTGCCGACCGGACCATCGGTGGACGCTTTGAGCTCAACTTCTGCAATTTCTTCAGTAGCCCCTCGTTCTCATTCTCGATATCCTGAAATATCACTTGTCAAGAGAACCAATATTTATAACTTTAAAATGTTATGAATATCTGAAGTAGAAAATTTCAGCAAAAAAGAGACTTTTCTTCCCTTTTGGCAGTCCTTTGCTCGCACCTTTCCCCCTCTTTCCCCCATTTGAGCGCTCTCTATCCACCCGCGTAATCGCTCCCTTTCTGGCGCCTCTCCCCAATAGATAGCCTTTCCTTTTCCCCTCTCAAATCGAAATCATACTTCACAGGATCATTTCTGTAGTGTGTATTTCGCTTTACCCACAATCTTGCAACACCCTGCACCCGCGATGATTGGGAATGGGCAGGCGGAGAGCGTGAAGAACGGTGTATGAGTCCCCACAAAGGATTCATCACCGCTGATGACCGCGTCCCGGACTCCGAAAGGAGAACAGGATATCCGTCTGCCCTTCTGAGCGGGCCAAAAAATTAAAACAAACCGAAAAGAAGCTAAAGCTCTGATCATTGGCTAATCAAGTAAATTTACATCTGTAAGCAAGCAAGAATTGTTTGCTAACAATATTGAAATGAAGTTTCAGCAAGCTGCTCTTCCTACAAGGATTGCAAGAGTCCACGAATTTGCGGAGAAACGAAGAAATGCGAGTGTCCGTTCTTTATGAAAGAGGATTCCCGGGGAGTCCACGAGTTACTCTTCAATTTACTTCAGACCGCTGATGACCGCGTCTCGGACTCCGAAAGGAGAACAGGATATCCGACTGCCCTTCTGAGCGGGCCAAAAAATTAAAATCCAAAGAAACCAAGCTGTGCCTTGTTATGAGCTGGCAAAAATCACCTGCAGTCTCAATTGTGTCCTCTTCAAATCTTCCTCGGAGAACTTCAGCTGCTCTCTTATATCGATTTCTCTTTCCAAAGCATCTCTCAATTCCTGTAAATGATTTGTTTTAAGAGATTAGGATAAATAGGTCTTTATAAAAGCTAAAAGTACCTTATTTGTATCTCCAGTGCTTCCTGGAGGCAACATAGGGGCAGCAGCAGCCAGTTCAGCGGATAATCGCTTCTAAAGTTTTAAAAGGTTTTGAGTTCTACTTCACTTGATAGTATTTTTAATCGATTCAATAAAATTGAGTCCAACCACAGCATTGTCAGCTCGATTCCTATTCTCTCTCCATTTATTTTGCGTTTGGAGTTCGCGAACCTGAAAGAAAGCCGTTTTTGAGTCAAACTGTCAAGAAAATAATTTAATGAAACAATCGATTTTTAAATATTAAGTCATTAACTTGTATAGATTAAAATATCACTAACTTTCTCTTTCATATAGAACACTTCATCCTCCAATTTGTATCGTTTATCCTCACTCTGCTCTAGCTCTGTGTGGAGACGAACCGATACCTGAAGGGGACTATATCTGTAACCAATTAGTCTATAAAGCCACGACACAGTCGGGACTCGAACCCGGATTGTATAGGTCGTAGACAAGCGCAATACTCATTGCGCTAAAGTTGAAAGCCGTCGCAAGCCATCATAAGCTCTGTTATTCATCAAGTATCCAACCTCTTTAGCTATCCGTAAATCCGATTCAAGCTCTCTGATTTTTGTGTTCTCACTGAGACCTGATCCCGGAGAAATTCCATCGCTTGCGTACGTCTAAATTTTGTTTTATTTTGAAAAAGCTTGCATATGATTGACCTGTAACTTCGACGCTAAATTCGTCTTCTCCGACTCGGCCACTTCCTTCTGTCGCTCACTCTTGCGCAATTTAAACTGTAAAACGCGACAGTTTTTTGCGTTTTGCTCAAGTTCTCGTTGAAGTTCGCGGAATTCTTCGATTTCCTCTTCCCGGTATTGATCCTAAAAGATTAATCAAAGGAATTTTTATCTCTTTACTCACTTGCATCTCTTCTACTTCATTTTGCAGATCTCGTACTTCAGCTTTGAGTTGTTCATTCTCTTCCATCAACTCTTCACAAAGTCCTTCAGTTGTTTTGATCTTTTCGGAGAGTTTTGAATCGACATTCGGACCAGATTCCTGAAATATTATAGAATAGGATCAATAGAGAAATGATAAGGAAACCTGTAGCTCTCTCAATTCACATTTGAGCACCGTATTCTCATCTCTGTAATCCTGTATGCAAGCTTCGGCTTCATTCAATCTCTCCTCCAACATTTGAACAAGAGTCTGCTCATTTTCACCGCCTCCACCCTAAAAATTCGTTGATATTAAATAATGTTTTGTCCTGACTTTAGCCGCTTGTCTCAACGTCCATCTTTCCCTTTCTTCTTTCAGCTTTTTGTTTTCTTCTTTGAGTCGAGCGATCTCTTCTTTCATTGTCAGACTGATTGAGTTCTAAAATGAGCTTAATGACAAGCAGAAAGTAAATAATTGATTCTACAACTCACATTTTCTTCAGTCGGTGTCGGACATCGATTCTCATCATCAGCTGATCCACTCACCGCTGTCACCTTTAATAATTATTGGAATTGGAAACAGACAAGAGAAGTCACATCAACGATTGTTGTTTCACTTTAAACTTTTCTTCCTTACCATGCTTCTCGTGTCTCCATTACTGACGCTGTCAAGGGATTTCGCTGATGACATTCCCTGGAAGTTTGGTTATAGAATTCGATTAAAGAATTCGATTCAAAGAATTCGATTAAAAGAAATCTTTGAATTGTTCAAATTCTCACCTTTGATGTGGCCGACATATAGGAAGAGACGGAGAGAATTTCCGATGGATCATCGGTCACGGTGGAGGCTGAAAGAAGAAAGATATAAAAGAGGAGAAATCGAAGGAAATTCGATACTCGATTAGTTTCTGGTCTATTTAGAGGGACTGAATTGAGACCGATTCTCATTAAAACGAATCTATCTATTTCAAATTTGCGAAAATGAGCTTCAACTATTCCTTCAGTTTCGAAATTTAAAAAGCGAACTGCTTGAGGATTGGTAAACTTAAAGACCATTCTGTAAGTGTAATAAGGACTTAAAGCCTATGGTTGATCAACTTAAAGACCATTCTGTAGCTGCAATAAGGACTTAAAGCATATGGTGGACACTTTCTGTCCACTGGAATCTTCCCAAAATGTTCGTGGCCAGATATTCAGCTGTAAATTTGTACAGAAGAATTTTCGAGCTCAGCGAATCGATTGAAACTATTCATTTTGTTGAATCTATCTTGGGTTTAATTGATCTAAACTTTTAGAGAAATTCGGAAACTTCTTATCTTGGAGAGAAGATTTGCAACTTATTGAAAGCTATTTTACAAGATTTCCTTTAAATTGAAAAAAATATATGAAGGAGAAAAGCTTTAGGATAGAATTCATTTCAAAAAAACCCCTCACAAAAACTCCTCGCCGATTGTTGTGTACAATTGGGATCATCCGGCGGTTTCTGCATCTCCTCATTGTTTTCTTCAATTTCCTTTTCTTTAAACATTATTCCCGGTCCACACCATCCTTTCAAATTCATAAGGGATATCGATGTAAACATTCCTTTTCTCTCTTCTTTGTTTATCCCCAAATTCTCTCCATTATTTTCTTCATTTCCTCGCTTTTCTCCATCGAATCGCCGTCGGGAACTCGTCCAAAATTTATACAAGATCCAAGGCATTCAAACATTTAAAAATTTAGAGAAATTCAATTAAGAAGTTTGGAAAAAAAAGTGGGAAAAACGTTTGCATTGAAAATTCGCAAAAAGATTCTTGTCGTCAAGGAGTGAATGGATAATTTTTGTGTGGTGGATTTGAGATTCATTTCTTTAAAAACTCTAGTTTCATTAAACTTGTCAGAAAGAGGTTGAAGAATGATTCAATTTTCGAACGAATTATAATGTTTGAATTTGGTGTTCAAAATGACGGGGGGAAAGGTGAAAAGGAGAAGAGGCTGAATGAATGAATAAATGAATGAAGAATGAAGTTTTCATTTTTCACCTCAAAAGAAGCCGGATTTTAGAAAACAATATCAATATTCATAGCGAAAGGATTTGAAAATTATATTGACAAATCATTCTTGAAAATATCATTCAGGATACATATTAAGATCCAATTTTCAATACTCAACTTAGATTCAGGGCATCAGACTAGCTATAGACTATGTAATTTGTCTATGGTTTACTTGAAAACACGTATCAGCCTTTCTGAGCTATGGAAAACCCCAAAATAGAAAGGTTCACTTGAAAATTCTTTTTTTAAGAGGGGTCAAAAAAAGGCAAAAGGCAAATAAAAACAAGAAGTCATTTCAATTGAGAATCCACGACGTCACAAATGAGCTCATCGAGTAAAGGAAAAGGGGAGAGAAGGAGACAAATTGGAGGAAAGGAAAAGATATGGAAGGGGAAATCGAAAGGGCAAAATAGAGATCGAAAAGGCATTCAAAAGGCATTCATCCACTCTAAAAACCACCCAGTATTTCCACCTCGAAATTGAAAAAAGAATCGCGAGAACCCCAAATCAGCGATGCAAAGCGCCAATTCTGGCACCTCTCTATTCGAAATTTTGATTCTAACATGTAATCTCATTTTTTTGAAGTACTATTCTAATTGGTAAATATTATTACGTAAATTGTACCCCCGTTTAGCAGTTTAACTTCAAATTAACTGTACTTCAACTTCAAGTTAAGCTACTTGACTTGTATATAGAGTTAAATTTAAACAAAAAGTACCTGCAAATTACAGCTATGAATCATATCGTGGGCATTTAATCAATACTTTTTATACATTACTGTACGTCAGCTAGATTCATTTGTTCTGAGTTCGCATATTGTGCAAATTTGGATTACGATTTCTTACTACCGTAAGACCTAAAGAACATGTCCTTCTAATCCTCAAGGTCCTCAAGTACAACGGGAATTTAATTTTCAAATAATCATATGAGCTTTAAGTACAAGCTATGAAAAACTTAAATCCAAGTTTCTAGTTGAAAAGATTTTGAAACTAAAGCTCTATATCCTTTTGTTGAAAGCAAAACCCACCCAAGTGGTCACAAGAGTCTCATAAACAAGATCCATCAAAAAAAAAAGTGAATTGGCTTTTGGGAAAGATGAGAGTTTGAAAGTTTTGGAAGTAAAAGTTGCTAAAGAAGGAAAGCAAAAAGCATTTTTGCGGGCAAAGCGTTGACGGGTTTAAAGATCCAAAGAGTCACAGCAACACGCTTCAAAGAGCTAACGAAATTTGCGCGCACCGACGCCTTTGGAAAAAAAAAATGCGAAAAGGAGAAGTTAGGGAGAGAGTCATGAATGGATTACAGATAGGTTTACATAAATTATTGACATAAGAAGATATAGTCTTTTAAATTTTAATCAAATTCAATCAGTAAGCCTGCCACTCGGGTGCACTTTGCGCTTTCGTAAACGCATTTTTCCTGGTATAATCGACTTCTCTTATTCCAGAGCGTAAAAATGAAGAATCTAGTATGCAAGAAAGTGTGAATTTACTCAAAAAAGTCGTTTAACTTGCAGTCACCTAAAAGTTGCACTCAAAAGAAGCTATTCTCATCGTTCAAATGTTCAAATAAAAGCACAAGCTTTCAATTTTAAAATCAAGAGATAAAGAAGCTAAGATAAAGGTGAGCAAATTCTATTCTAATCTACAACTTTAATATACTCAACGGATGTTCAGGAAGTGTCCCTCTCCCTCCCCTTTTTTCCATTTAGAGTGTCCACCCTTGTTCCTCAATTTTTCTCCTCAAAACCCTTCAAATGATGTGCTCCTTTTATCCTTATAACATTTTTTTCTGCAGTGAACGGCTGTTTTCTTCACTCAATTCAGTATGCAATAGAAAATGATGACCGCTTCTGTTTGGCAAACGCTTTTGAGTGATGAGTTATTGGGGAAGTGAAAATGCTTTGAAGATTGGATGGCTTGGAAAGTGTTAAGTAACAAGTAAAAATTTTAAACGTATGACTGCTTGTCATCAGGCTCAAGTCTCCAGAAAATCCTTATCTTCAAAAAGTACTGTAGGCTTAAGATCTCTGGTTTACTAAGCCACTTGAAAACTTTGTGTCATACAGTTCTGCAATTCAACAATCCCAGTTCTCCCCTCTCTCCATTCCCTTTCCCCTACTCACTTTCTTGTTCCGGTGCCCCATTATCGCCCGTCAGATTCTTGTCTCTCCACGATTTTCTTCGTTCCTTTTTGATGAGACTCGGCGGTGGAGGCTCTTCATGTTTTGACTGAAAAAAAAGAACACTCAAGCATATTTTCTGCAAACCTTTAAACGAAAGCATTTCTTGCATCGATCTCGGAGATAATTTTGCGGTTCAAAACCGCTACACACTTCACTCATCGATGCAGTTTGAATTGAGCCAAAGAGAGGCGATGAAAGAGTGGAATGAGGAGGAGAATCACAGAGACAGCAGTGATTTGAGGGTTGATGAGCTCGAGATGGGATCGGAGTCTGGGAATGGGTTGTTGGTAGTGAAAGGTAAAAGTAGAAATCGATTCAAAGTTCAAATCTTGTTCTGAAGAAAGGTTTTCAACTCACCGAAGGTCCAAGACTTTCCTCCTTGCTTTCAGCGATCGATTTACTTGTTTGATCTTCTGTTCGAGGAAAAGCTGTTTCTTCTCGATTTTTCTTTTCTTCACTTTCTCTTGCACCACTCCGTCTCCACGAGGTCGATGGCGGGCAACCAGTGGGTACTCCTGAATTGAAAGATGAAATATAACAATGAAATTTTGATCTTTAAAATGAGCTCTAATTCTTACAATTACAAATCGAAATAAATTCTTTGGAAGATCAAATTTTATGATGTCAGAACCCAAATCATCTCCAAAATCAGATGACTAACTCAAAAGTTGCAATAGCTAAACCGAAAAGCTATCAAAAAAAAAATAGGTGAGTTGCAGAAATTTGTGTGGATTTAGAAAAGATTGGGAAAAGATTTTCCTTTGAAAAGAAACGAGAGCAGTCAATCCACCGGTTCAGAAGAAGAAAAGGAGGACTTCAACAGGGTAAATAGTACAATCCCTTCTCTTCATCATCCAGTCAAACAGACAAACAGTGGTCGATGATGGGGAATTTGAAATCTTTTTTGAAATCCTACTGGCTATTGGTTGACTTTGAACTGTGCTTAGTGATGATTGGAAAAAGAAAGTTTGAGAATGTGATTGAGTAAGCGTTACTTCTTTCTAAGCTGTTCTAAGCTGATAAATAAGTTCTTTTCAATACTAGACTTGTTTCAACACCGAAAATGACATGCTATCAATTTTTTAATTTTCAATAAAATCGAAATGAAACTTTTATAGGCAATTAGTTTCTCCTGGTCTCAATAAACTATTCTCGACAAAGTTCTCTTTAAAAGAGAAGCTTTGGAAGAACAACTGTTCCATTTTTTTTCAAGAGAATTCCTTTCTTTTCACAACTTTCAACTAATAAAATTTGATGCAGAGAAAAGTTGGATAAATAATGAAGTGATGGAAATATTGTGGAGGGAAAAGAGGGGAAATTTTTGACATCTGGATCCAACTAGGCTTTGGGGATGGTTTTTGTGGATTAAAGGGATGGATATTCATGTGAGAAATGGGAAAAATGGCATAAGGTTTTGAAAGGTTGAGGGGAAAAAGGTTGAAGGTAGTTATTTAAGAGTAGTTTTGCCAGTTTTTGCCAAGCCAGGTTCACCAAATTGCAAAATTTTGCAAATTTAGTAATGTTTTTACCAAATTTTCCGAAATATTGAAGAATTTTGGAGAATTTTCCAAAATAACCTATGAGGTACCTAGCAAAAATCGCAAAAACTATAATGACATGACAAAATAGCTGAAGCCACGGTGTAAAAGGGTTAAAAGCAGGGTGTAAAAGGCTGGAGCTCTGAAAAAGTTTCTATTCTTGACTCTCAATTGGGTCAAAATTCTTACCTGCACAAGCGAACCACCTCATTTGACAATGAGATCAAAAAGGTTTTCGAATTTGAATCAAAACTAGCTAGTCAGTGCTCGAATCGAGAAAATGGCTTTGGATAGGTAAAGTATCTCCGAATATTTCCTAATCTCTTCAACAATTATTGGCAACCATATTTCTTGATTCTATTTACTGATTCTTTTGCTAAACAGCTTATCGAATGATGAGGGAATTAAGTTCATTTTCGAGAAGAGATGGAACTACCGGAAATTTGATTGCTTGCAGTCAACAAGTGGAATTTGGAAAGGAAAAAACGGAGGAGAAAATTCTGGGAAAGGTTAAAGGAGTTTTGAAAGTACTGACAAAGAGTTTGAATCATTTATTTCTCGAAAACAAAACTTAAAACTTGCAAAAGTCCAAAAAAATGGTTGAAATTTGTGGTCACTTAGAATAAGAGTGAAATGAATGGAAAGGGAACAGAGAAAAGGAAAGTTGGTTGAGGGAATCCACTGTGATCCACGAGAAAAGGTTGTAATACTCCCTGAAAGAAAAGAAAAGAGAGAAGAAATGAAGTGAAGGGGACACGGCTGGTCACAAGACTCGATGCGAACGATGGGAAAGAAGAGATCAGTGAAAAGGGGCAAAGGGGGAGGGATTGGTGTGAACACCCGGATACATTTCAGGTGTAGAGGGATCTGGCAACACCACCAAGAGATCACTATGCACCCCTTAGTACTAAGGTGGATTTGAAAAAAATGGAGAAAGGAAACGAAAGAAAAATTTGAACATTTGAGCTGATCAAAGTTTAAACAAAGCTAAGAACTCCAGAGATTAACAGACTTGATAACTTTTAGATATCAATAGATTTATTTGTTTTTATGTCAAAAAAGACTTCTATCTATATCAAAAGTTAGGTAAACTCAATGAAATTCCCCATTACACTTTTTTTCGGTTTTGTTGTGAAAAAGAAGCAAAAAAAGTAAGATGGAGAGGAAGACAAGAGTCCAATCAGTCTTCTTTTTTTGTCTGAACCCAAAGTCAAACTAAAAAGAGGGCAAAGAAGGTGCTTTTTGGTTGGCAGCCAAGAATATTTTTTTGGAAAAGTTGCTCAAAAAGGATAAAGTCATAATATCAAACACGTACCATCCCACATCGAGTCATCGTAGTAGTAAAACATTTTAGCGGGGGTTGAGCAACCCTCTTGTTGAGCAAATTGTGCGGTGGTGACCCGTTTGTGGACCCTGAAATTTGAATGTAGACAAAAATAAAACAAAGAGATTAACAATTGAGTGTGACAAGAGTAACAAGTTGGATCAGCATTGTGATTAGCATTGGAATGGTCAAAAATGAGGATTTCGACACCAAAATGAGATGCATTCAATACGGTTTATAGAAAACAACAAAAACATATTCCTGAAAAAGCTGAAAGTTTAAAAGTTCTATAAATAAATAAATAAAATAAAAGTTGGGGATGGCTACTTTGCGCCAAATTTTTCGCGCAACTCGCCATAACTTTCTTCTAAGTTGACCAATCTTTATGATTTTTGGTGCCATTTTATTGCACTTGTTGAGATCTACAAAATGGCACCAAAAATCATAAAGATTGGCAGACTTAGAAGAAAGTTATGACGAGTTGCGCAAAAAAATTTGGCGCAAAGCAAAGCCACCCCCTAAAAGTTTTAAAAAAGCAAAAAAAAATGGGAATCTTTACATTTGGAGGGAATTTGGCACCAAATCAGTTAAATAGCTGAATATCTTTAAATGGGGTCATATATAACTCATCGCTCATCATTTTTTGCGCCATTTTTTTGCAATAATTTTTGCTAAAAGTACAGTTAATTTTTTAAAATTAAACATAACTAATTTATCAACTCTAAAGTACAGTTAATAGAGTTGATAAATTAGTTATCCGAACGAGTGAACTTGACGTAAATGCTTCAAAAGTTCAAAATCCAACAATGAGACTTTAAAACGGATCAATGGAAGAAAATGTACTCAGGTAAAAGAGTTCAGGGAAAAATTGAGATGCACAAAGATATCCCTTTTGCATAACGTTTTATTCGGGTGTCAAAAGAGGGCCTCAAAATCGTGTTATGTCCATTTGTGTGTCTTCAGACGGATCTCATCCCTTTTTTTGCGTGAAAGAAAAAGAAAAAATGAAGGAAAAGGGTCCGATGCGTGTCTTTTCACACTGATTTGCCTTTTTATGGAAGGGAAAAGAGGGAAATCTTCAAGAAAGAAAGAAAAAAGGCAAAAAATCCCCCCAAACCCCTCCATTCAGTTGGATGAAATGAAAATGCAATGATGAGCAAGATTTCCCACACATCTTCAATCCATCCAATCCCCTTCAATTTCTCTTTTAAGGGAAGTGTTTACTCTATGAGGAAAAGTAGTTTGATTGAATTTCTTTAAAGTATCAGCAATGAGAAAGCTGATATTGAAAGAAGGTGAGTTTTGTTGAAAATACAATTGTCTTGATAACATTTTTGCTTTACTTGAGAACTTCAGATGTTCAGTCTATTCAGAATCTTGTACAGAAGATATTGGAATTGAATCAATTTTCTTTAAGTCTTTCAACTTCAAGAAATAGTTAACAGCAACATTTTGCTTAAAACGATATGATCCACATTTTGGATCGTACGTGGTTTTTTTTAAAGTAGTTTTTGATCCTATGATCCTATTGGGTTAAAAATTTACACCCGAGGGCTTTCAATAGTGGCGAATCCGAATCCAGCATTAGTTTTTGATTACAGTACATCTGAGATTCAAAATTTGTACTGCAACGTACTGACCGATGGGTCGATGGGCCGTCGTTGAATTTAGTACTTTTTTTTGAGGCCGATTGGGCTGAAAATTTGCAATTAGGGGTTTTCAGAGATGGCGAATTCGAATCCGGCATTAGTTTTTCAAAATAATCTACCGTACGTGTGCACACCGCTTACTATGACTATTTCTCGTCAATGGTTTAGCTTCTGCAAGTAAAACTTTTCCTTAGACATTCAATTAACAGTAGAACTAAGTCAGAAATAATGTTAATTTGTTTTTTCTGCAATTTAAATGACTTTCGGACATAAAAAGATTACATTTTGTCTTCAAAATCAATTTTTGAATACAAGCAACTCTGCCTGAAGCAATTGAGTTGATTTGAATCCATATTTGAAGGGCACTTTTGGCTATTTGCGCTTATATTTCGGCATAGTACTAATTCCAGTAATATGGTAGCTGTTTTTAAATAGCTGATACTGGATTTTGATTCGCCACCCTCAAAAACCTTTGAGATCTATAGCTGTAGCTAATAGCTAATAGCAATGTAGCTGTATCTGTATCTATAGATCTATAGCTAATTTGCAGATCTATAGCTGGCATGAGCCAAAAGTCTCTCAAATTAAAAATAGCTTATTCAGGAATGTGTTAAAAAGCCAATCAGTAGAGCTTAAAATCTAAAAAGCTATCTGTTAAAATGAAAATTTGAAAACGAAACGCTCTGACTTGAAAAAGGTGGGCTCAAATTCAACGAAAAAGGCCAAGTTTAGGGTGATGTTGTGGTGGGCATTTCTCTTCGTCTCTTTTTTTTCTTTTTTCTTGTTCGGATCTCGTTTTCCACGTCCGGTGGCGCTTCCCAGGAGAGGTCAATATGCGATGGAAAAAGGAAAAAGAGTGAGTGAGGAAGGTTTGGAAAAGAGAAAAGGGGGAGAAGGCGTTGATGGAACGAGAATCAGGTCTATAGAAAGGAAGAGAAATTCTGAATTCAGTCATATATCTAGAAATGATCGTTGAATGGTCTAGATTCTGAAAATAATCACAAAAATCACGTCGAGAGGACAAAAGGGGTAATTGATCTGAAAGTTAACAACAAAAATATCTAATTAAGGGTTCAACAAAAGCCAACAACTTTTCTATTGACACCAAAATGGGTTTCTTTTGAAGAAAGTGCTCAAACATATGAACATCTCCAGTCCTCCATTTTTGAGTTTCACACTTGTCTCACACACAAACCAAAATCCTACGAAGAAAGAGCAATCCGCAAATTGTCTGTAAAATGGGCAGAAGTCGTCAATAATAATATAATATTTGTCTATAATCTATCTATCTTTTCTTACATTTCTTACAATAAATAGCCTTGTTTGGGAACTTTTGGCGCATTCCCCATACAGTCCGGACCTCGCCCCTTTTGATTACTATTTATTCCGGATCATGAGTAATGAGCTTGCGGGAGAACACTTCGATTCGGAAGAAGCAGTCAAAAATTGGCTTTGAAAGTTTTTCGATTCAAAACCAAAATCCTACGAAGAAAGAGGAATCCGCAAATTGCCTGTAAAATGGGCAGAAGTCGTCAATAATAATGGAAATTATTTGGAATGAATTCAAATTTTGGAATGAATAGTTTTATGTTGAATAAATTTTAGTTCAAACTCCGGCAGTTTTCAATTCACTAACCTAATAATTTATGAATGTCTATTAGATGGTATTAACTATTGTTTTGATATTAATTGTTAACAATGATTTGATTTTCCATTGAAAACCTTGACCATTTCTTCCTTTTTCGATACTCGTTCATTGATTCAATAAATTTTAGTTCAAAGTCCCGCAGTTTTCAATTCATCAATCCAATACATCGATTTCTTAACTGTTTCTTCACTGTCAAGGTCATTTGTTTTAATATTTTTGTCTATAGTTGATATTAGCAAATAAAATTTTAGAAAATTGACTAAAGATAGAATTTCAGAGAGGGTATTGAGCTTTTCTCTCGATCTTTTCCTTTCCTGCTTTTGCAATTGCTCTAACCACTGAGCTATTTGGTATCTTTTTTTTTGCCAGAGATAAAAGAGGGAATACAAGGAGGAAGAGAAAGGAAGAAAGAGGAAGAAAGAGGAAGAAAGAAAGATAAGGAATACAACAAACAAAACAAATGTAGTCTCATTTTTCCAATCAGTGCTCAAATCCATAAATTTATCGTAAGGCAATCACTTTGTACATTCATTTATTTACATCCACTTGTCGGTTTCCCATAATCACAATCCAATTGATCCTCATGCCAATAAGTGCCCGATGGACAAGTGAAATGATTTGGTTGACCATTGACACATCGATAGAAACCCGTACAATCAGCTGGATCAGAATAGAAACCGTCAGGGATACCATTACACGAGAAAGCTGAATGATTTCCATCTTTCAAATTCAATTACTTTAAAGAAAATTGGTATCAATTAAGTTCATAAATCACATAAGACATTCAAGCATTTCGTTTTGTGGCCATTATTAACTTATGGGCCATTATTAACTAGGCGGGACTTAACGTCCCGTTTTGCCTCATAACTTTGCATGGAACTTGGCATTTTTATCCAACAACTTTCCGTGGATATTATATTTTGAGTTAATTTTGGTATCATTCGATGCGCTATTTTATTCTGCATCGAATGATAGTTAAAATAGTCAAAATCGATGGATTGGTGCTGAGAAAAACACGAAAAACCAAAAACCTCAAATTACCAACGGTAAAAAGTACCGATAGATGTTTTCGTTACAAGTTTAGTACTTACTAGTTAGGCAGAATACTACGATCAAGCATTTAAGCCTTCTTCTATTTTAGGCTGCTCAATTTAAATTTCCTTACGTCCAGAGCCGGTTGGTGGGGGCCCTTGAGTCGGTTGTGTTTGTGGGGGTCCTTTCGTGATTGGAGGCATCGTTCCAGTATTGCCCTGAAAATTGAATATACTAGTTTGTTTTCTGAACACTTACATGAATGATTTGCCCGCCCAATTCCCTTGCAATCGTCCCAATCACCGGGAAAACGACTCCACCACCGTTTGAGCATTGACCATTGAAATCGTCCAAATCCAGTGCCCAAACCATTGCACCGCCAAATCCGTTGGCTTTAATGTAATCACACTAAAGTTGAGAAGATGAGGAAGAAAATACCGTAGTCATTCAGTCTCTAGTTGAGATTTCCGGCTTTCCATGAATCTTACTTTGTTTTTAACTGATTCTGCATCATCATAGCTCCACCATTGATTCTGATAGACCAACCAGGGCACTTGATGCTCGCTATGCCAATATCTTTTCCCTCCTTGGGCCAACATTTCACAAATCTTAAATTATTTATCCTCATTGTAATTTTGATTGTAAAGCTACTTCATAATAAGTCGCGATGCCAGCTTGTTGTGAGTATGGGAGTGCGGGAGCTGGAGAATTGCCGGTGGAACCCGGTTGGATGTTGTTTGGATTCTAAACTTGTCACTTCAGTATTCTATTGTTATTCAAGCTATGTCAAGAACGATTTCACTTACAGCAAGCGTCCATCCTCTCCCGTACGGGCCAATTCCGATGACGATCTTGTTCTTGGGCATTCCTCGTCGAGCCCATTCGTTTGCTGCCCAATCCTAGAGAGGGTTTAGGGTTTATTAGGTTTATTTTAACAGTCTAAACTCTAAGTCTAAGAGATAAACTTTCTAAACTTACCGTATTCCACTTTTGTTTATCAGCAGACAATCCAGCTCTTCCATAAAGTGGAGAATTCATTCCAGTCTCACCATCCCAAGCACCCCAAAAATCATAGGACATCAAATTAATGAAATCGAGAGCACTAAAAGATAAATTTAATTCAAGAGTTAACCCAACTTTGAAAATGAAACGAAAAACAAACAAATAACAATATTTAGCTATTGTAGAGATCTTGAAACAAATTACTTGGCAATATTTGGGACATCGTATCCGTCCATATTGCTAGCACCAGCTGCCACAGCTGCAGTCATCAACAATTTCGGCTTTCCGGAAAGCCGTCCCTCAGCATCCACTGATTGGCGCAACTCCTAAAAGTTTTTCAAAGTGTTTCTTTTTGAATTTTGTTTATAAGATCCCTTACCTGCATAACAGCAGTATATTGAGCCATGTGATTTGTCGGGTATTCCCAATCTGTAAACCGGATATGGATGGCTTTTTAAATCAAAATACCTATATCAATCCCATCAAAGTTATACTGTCGCACGAAACGAAGAACAGAGTTGATGAAAGTTGCACGGTTTGTTGGACTCGAGGACATTCCCTGAAATCTGGGTATTATGAGAAATTGTAAAATTGAGAACATTACCTCAAAGAGACTTGTTCCGAAAGTCCATCCACCAAACGAGAGAAGAGTTTTCAGGTTCGGATCGATCGTCTTCAATTGGTTTACCAATGCGTACTGTCCTGGGCCTCCCCAATCCGATGGTAAATCCGAGTCATCATAGGCTCTAAAGCAGCATTGAGCAACTAGATGTTAAGCGGGTTTTTCAACTGGTTACAGATCAACTTTTATTTCCAAGTTACCCCTTTTGCATCTTTTTTTCTGTTTAGAATCACATTCATTCAGAATCTCTTACCTCACTGTGTAATCCGCGTTCATCCACCCAAAAGCATAAAGTATATGAGTGCACAAGCCGGGCACATAATTGCTGGGAGCGTACTTCCCACGGCCTTGTCTAAATATTGAAAATAACAGCGTCAAAACTAAATATCTTAACTAAGAGAACAATTTTGTTTAATACTTAAGTGAGACAAAGTTTAAGGCTTTGAAGTAATCGAAGATTTATCAAGCTTGAGCTTGATAAGCTTGAGCTTGATAAGCTTGAGCTTGATAAGCTTGTGCTTGATAAGCTTGAGGTTGATAAGCTTGAGCTTGATAAGCTTGAGCTTGAGCCTCAATACAGCTTGAGCTTTACCTGTATTGAGCCCAATTTGTGAAGTAACATGGTCGAATGTATTGCTGATTGTCGAGCACCCGATTCACATGAATCATCTCTGTAAAGTTCTGCTTTGAATACGTTCTTTGGTTTGAACTATGAATTGACTCAAAAAAATGTAAAAAAAAGATCAAAATAAACCTTCTTTCACTGGAGTTCCATATGAAATCGATAACGAGCCAACGATGAAAAGTAGAGGTAATTTCATATCTAAAATTTTGCTCTATTACTTGAAAACCTTAAAAGTATTAAAGAACAAAGTGAAACGATATATTTTTTTTGGATTCCTCGGCTTTTTATTTGGTTCCTTATCAGGGTGTGTTGACCAGATGGACGTGAATGAAAAGCTGATTAAATTCTTGGCTTCAACAAAAACGCTAAAGAATGACTTGGTGAAAAAAAAGAGAGAGAAAGAGAGAGAAAGAGAGAATACAAAGATGAGTTGCACCTTGATACAGAAAAGTACAGAAAAGTTCTAGAAATTCGGGACTTTTCAATATTTTACTTAATTTTCTATGAATTTATGGTTAACAAAGTTAATTTCTTTTGTCTGACAGTTACACTGTCGGCATTTCTCTATACTTCTGATTTTCTCTTTAATGCTTATGGCAAAACAGATGTGATAAGCGTAAAGATAAAAGTGTTGAGCTGCTTAGGCCTGATATTTATTGGTGTTAGCGTCCAAAAAATGAGATCTCTTGGGATTTTCATTTTTTTATTTGCGATTCGTGCTGGTGGGTGTAAGGCTAACCATTCTACCAGAAGGAATTCAGCCTCAACCTACAATCAATCTTATCAACAATTATCAACAATGACGGAAGCTACCCTAGGCACAATTTTTGGAGGAGCACTGTAAGGCTAACCATTCTACCAGAAGGAATGAATCCTCTGAATGAATCAGAGGAATCAGAGGAAGCGTGAATCAGAGGAAAAAAAAACAATGGTGCTATTCAATTTTCTGCTCGTTAAGCTTTCATTGCCAACGAGCACAATTGCAGTGATAGGAATTCAAGCAAAGCTGATAGAGTCACTTCGAGGAACCCTAAGTGTTCTTCTTCTAAAACTAATATTCGAAGTGATAGTATGTTTGAAGATCATGTCTATCCCAAAACAATTACAGCTTCTCGAGCTTCTCATCCTCAGAATAAACAAGAAATTCGTGCAGCACAATTTTCTTTGACTACATATAATATCTGTACCGAAGAGCCCATTCAGAAGAGTACATTGTGTTTTTCAGCCTTTTAAATGAGCCTTTTAACCTTTAATCTTCAAACATACTATCACTTCGAATATTAGTTTAACCGAAGAGCCTTTTGAATGAGATGAGCCTTGTTTATCCTATCAATTAATGACCCCTCCATCAATTTGTATCCCTTCAAATAACTTTTAAGTTTTAAGTGTGATCTAATAGGTTGATGCATAAGTCTTTTCGTTTTTTTCGTACTTCTGTTAAAAGGTAACAAATCCACCAATTAATCTAAAGTTCCCCCAAAAAAAAGGTTGTTCAATTTGAAACTTTTTAAATGAATTCGGTCCACTTTCAAGAAAAAACGAGGAAAAACGAAACCTTTTTCGTAAAAACAAAAAACCCCGGGAAAAATGGCGAAGGATTCCTGAAAATTTGGCGGAAATAAAGTTTCCCTCCCTTTATCTATTGACACGAAGATAGGTTCTTTGGGTTAGCTAAGGCACACCGAGTCCTTCCCTACCCGACTTCACCTCAAGAAAACCCGGGTAAAATTTTTAAACCCGTTTTAATTTTGCAGAAGATGTTTCTAGAAATCGCTTATTCGTTTGTTGTGGGAACGCACAAAGGAAAAAAACCTTCATACCTAATATTATATTTTATTAATAATAAAGTATTTTTATAAACTCAAAAACCTCAAAGATACAAGGTTATAGAAAAAAAAGGTGCCATCAAAAGTCATCAAATCAAAGTCAATCATCAAAAGTCCCGATTACCCAAGAGCTAGAAATTTTTTGGAAATTGTAAGCTTTTGAAGTCAGAGAATCAGAATTCAGTCGGTTTTGTGTGTTCTTTTCATGTCGCTCTTAGGAAAAAGCAGCGTCTGGCACACTGCCCTAGGTAGAGCAACCGAAAAAGCTCTCAAGTCGGTTTAATTACCCAAGGTGTGTCAGAAAGCCGTGCCCACAAAGTACGGAATCCATCCATAAACAACTTTCACTAATAATTCATGGAGAAGATTTAGATCAGAAAAGTGAAATGATTAAAATTATAGCGAAAACATCCGCCTTTTTTCTTTGGAAAGTTCTCGTTTCGGTTTGAATGTGCTCATAAATTTTCATTTTGATTCACTCAATTGTTTTGTTTTATCTTTGTTTCATTTTGCTCGATTTTTCTAGTTCTATTAGAAAGCTTATTCATTCTCTTGTTCAACTTATTATTTTATTCAACAAAACATTAACCTTGCATTCAGCAAGGCTAATGTTTTGTTGAACTGTTGGCTAATGATTGAACAATGTTTTAAAACAATTTGAACATTTTTCGCTTCTAGTATTTTAACAAACCATCAATTTTGATTTAAGAAAGGATTTCGAACGGTAAATGGCGATAAAATCGATATTTGCTCTGACGCAAGATGGAGAGCTTGTTGCAGTTTTGCTATTTTGTAGCAACTAACCTTTTGCTAATCTTTTTAAAGTCTTTTAAGAAAATCTTTTCCATTAATACGTCTTGATTTCCATTTTCCTAACACGTTTATCTGTATAAACACAAATAAAAGGATAAATGATAAAATGAATGTGATCGATGTGCATTGATGATTGTGCAAGGACGAGGAGATCAGTTGGGAGTGGGATGCGGATGGGATAGAGGGCCTGGGCAAGCCGGGAATGGTGATGATTGAGGGGACACTCGTCTTCACAGGATGGTCAATCTAAAAAGTTTTTCATTAGTTAAATTGGCTTTAGTCTAAGCCTGAGCCTAAGTCCAAGCCTAAGCCTAAGCCCGTAGCGAATTGCAGCAATGCTTTCAAGTTTTAAATGCTAAAGAAGACTTTAAATTGGTGACTAATGGGATACGTCAAAGTATGAGGGATAAACAGTCGAAAAACTGTTTCGTTTAGGCGTACGGTATCCAAAATGGCTGTCCATCTGTCTGTCTATCAACTTTTATATAAATTTTTATACTTTTAGCTTTTTCAATAATGCTAAATGCTGGCATAATGAAGAAAAAGTCTTTCAAAAACTTTCAAAACTCTTTTCCACGACTCACCAATAATTTGATTGATGAATGTTGATGTTAACGTTGAGATGTTTGTAATTAGCAATTGAGAGAATTGTTTTTTTTTTCTCAATTTACTGAATGAAATGGAAATTGTCACCGCCTTGTGGAGACGCCATGTATTCGGCAAGCGAGAGACCCATTGAGGCTAAAAATTTGAGGGGATTAATCTAAAAACAATTTCCAAATGAAATCATTGTTATAAAACTAATAAGCTAATGATTTATTGTACAAGAAATACTTACGACTTCTCTTGGCCTTTGACAAAAGTGCTCTGTAAACCCTGCTGATGACCTCGTCTCCTTCCTGAAACAATCAATTGACAGAAAAAGGTTTAAATATCAAAAACTAGACAAGCTTCTGGCTGAAAAGCATTGCTTTAAAGTTACCAAACATAATAAGAGTCTTAATACCTACCGTAAATACTGTACCCCACCCTCATAATGACGGTGGGGAGTGTTGCGTAGTCTAGCTTTGAACGAGTTTTTCTCGACACTGGTTTATGCTACAATGCGCGCTTAGGTATCAAAAAATAGCTGAAATTCAGGGCTATTTTTTGATACTTACACGAGCATTGTAGCATAAACCAGTGTCGAGAAAAACTCGTTCAAAGCTAGACTACGCAACACTCCCCACCGTCATTATGAGGGTGGGATACTATTACAGTATTTACAGTATATAGTTCTTATAGTTAGAGTTTTATTATGCAAAATTTGACCTCAAATCCAAAAACGCTGACCGCCAACACACTGAGGAAAACGGCGATGAGGAAGAACTTTTGCATTTCTGTGGGGCGGACGGGGTACCTCAAAGTATTCGATACTGATAAGCTGATTGAAAATTGAAAATTGAGCAGAAAAATCTAAAGCTTCAAATAGTAAACTATATGAAAAACATATCAGTATTAAAGAATATTAACAATTCTAAAATCTAGACAAAAAGAACTCGAAAATGAAGCCCGTTTCAATTATCCAACATACCAAAAACGATACAAAAATCAGCAACTACAGTAAGACAAAAAGAGATCTAGAAAGATGAATAAATGAATGAATGAAATGCAAATAGAAAGCTTATCTTTTATATTCCCCAATGTCGATTTGATTGAATTCCCTGTGAACCATCTGAGCCCCATTGTGTCTTTGAGATGTCTTTGAGATGTCTTTGAGATGTCTTTGTCTTTAAGATGTCTTTGAGATCCCTTCGAGATCCCTTCCCAACCTTCATCCAAAAGAAAACTCAATTATTTGTCTCAAAAATTATTACATCACTATGTTTATTTAAGAGATTTAAAGGATTTTAGGAATTCAGGAAATAGAGAAAGAAATGATGGCGTCGATTTTGGTTCCGGAAACGGAATTGAATTTTTTGGGGAGAGGGTGGGTGAAGTACTTGAGGATAATTTGATTAAGAAAAGCTTTGCTTGTTATATCGCAAAGATAGTGGAATACTTAAAGTGGAGAATAATGACCAACTTGTTCAATAATAACCTAGCAATAATAACCAACTTGTTCTACTTGAAAATGTAAATCGAATTCTCAGCTCTATGAACAGCTTAGCAAACTCAAATGTGACGTCAAAGTTTCTCAATTTTTTTCTATGGAAGTTGGGATGCTCGACTCACTAACAAGGGCGTCTATGTTCGGAAGTGGACAAACTTTCAACTCTAGTTTGTTCCCAAGTGAATCAAAGCAATTGTCGGTCAGACTTGACTAGTCAAAAACACACAATGACATCAGAATGGAAGAAACATTTTAAAAAAAAAACATACACTGCATATATATGTTGTGTCTGATTTAGATTTCCGTCCGATTTAGATTGAATCGAAATCGGACGTCCGATTTAGATTGAACTTATCGCGGACGTCCGATTTAGATTACAGTCTAGGTCGGACGTCCGATTTAGATTCAATCTAAATCTTATATAGATTGAACAATAATACGTCTTATATATTGTTAACGCTAATAAATTGTTTCATAGTTGGGTTTTCTTTTCAGAAAAAGACAGTAACAGACCTTTGAAAAATGCAGAAAACTACAGAAAACGCTTAAGAACATATATTAAGCAATGTTTTATATTATTGTTCAATCTATATAAGATTTAGATTGAATCTAAATCGGACGTCCGCGATAAGTTCAATCTAAATCGAACGTCCGATTTAGATTCAATCTAAATCGGACGGAAATCTAAATCGAACACAACATATATATATATACTTTATTCAATTGAATATCGACAAAACAAAATGACAATAATTACCCGGGACACCACTCAAAACACACCCAAAAGAGAAATAGATACCTCAAGAAAGAATGACAGAGCAGTCAAATCAATTGCCGAAATTGCGGCTTTAAATCTAGCATATACAATAAAGATGTACTTAAAACTATAAAAAGTTTGGCTAAACTATGAAGCCATTTAATATTAAACTTTAGAAAAAATACTAGTATTTAATTGGAGGGATATGGACAATTCAAATAGTCAAGACAGAAACGTTTGTGCATTCTGTGCAAAGAATGAAGGGCAACCACGAGAATGATCGCAGGAAATGAGGGAATTTGGCTCAATTTCCTTTCTCGGTTCAAATACCCAATAATAGTTGCAAAGAAGAGAATTCTTCGTGGACAAGACCGGATTTTCACGATGAAATTTGAGAACTATGGTTTCGAGTTTCGGTGACTTTTTCGGTAATTTTGGCAATATTTTAGCAATATTTTGTCCTCTTAAAAGTGATGTGATTGGGTAAAGAAAATGGGAAATCAAATTTCAAATGCAAATTGTTCGGTGTCCATTTACGGATCTTTTCCCAGAGCTTTTCCCGTTGAATTTAGCTCTCAATTGGCTTAGTCATTAGCGAACGTGGAAATTTGAGAATTTGTCAAAAACACTCAATGATGGGGAAAAGGAATGGAAATGGGTAGAGGGCAGAGAAGGAACGATCGAATTTGTCTTGGATTTAGGAAGCTTATTAGGGAATGGTGATTCATTGGTAAAGTAGATCTTGAAAGCAAGCTTTGGATCAAACAGATCAAAGATGAGTCGTCAAAAATCCTGGAAATCTCAGCTCTAACACTTAGATGAACTGCAGTACAAGAGGAATCGGGATTTAGCTAGCTGTTTACAATATTAAATGTAAAGTAAAATAAGTCTTAGTTTAGATACAATACTCACAGTACTCTTACAATGATTATATCTCGGTTTCAGGAATTGAGTGAACCTACCGTAAATACTGTAATAGTACTCCACCTCCATAATGACGGTGGGGAGTGTTGCGTAGTCTAGCTTTGAACGAGTTTTTCTCGACACTGGTTTATGCTACAATGCGCGCTTAGGTATCAAAAAATAGCTGAAATTCAGGGCTATTTTTTGATACCAAAGACGCATTTTTTGAAAGTACGGATGCTTTGCAAAAAATGAAATACTAAACTTCTGCGACTACGCGACTATACGAGGGGGGTGGGGTACTATTACTGTATTTACGGTACGTATACAACAGTATTTACGGTATGTCTTACAATTAGATCTTTTATTCATCCCCCTACTTATTTATGATATACATTAGTGTTTCTTTACCCAAATCTTCGAATTCTTCATTGATATCCTTGTGAAATCTCTCTCTCAAAGGCAATGATACCCTCATTTCCTTATCGTTTTCCCTTCTCTCAAAGATCCGATGAATATCCGTAAAAATCCATACTAATGATTTATTCTCTAATCTTTTTAGTATTACCTTTAGTAGCTGCTCAAGGTAGTAAGATTTCAAGGTTTTTCAAAATTATATTATTAGATGAGTATTTTGGAGTACCATTGGGCTTAATTAAATACAAGAAATGGAATACATCGGCTGAGGTCTTTGCTGCTGATGATCACACTTTGGTGCTCACTCATTTCGATCATCAACCATTCGAGGCTGGATGTAAGTTTTGGGAAAGTTAATTGACAAAAAGTGGCAGTAACTAATGGATATCATTGGATATACAGTAGTACTTTTAGCAGCTACTTTTAGACTGCAAAAGTAGGAAAGAACTACAGTTAGTCAAGATAACCTTGTAGAAATCTAATCGATTCCTCTAATCCTGTTGGTGCCCCACGGTCGAGTGGCTAGAAGTCTTGTATCCTACTCGGATCAGATCCCAAGGGTTGAAGATTTAACTCTTTTTCCATATACATTTTGTCTCTTCAAGATCTTTAGGGCTATTTATTCAAACAAAAAATACATAATCCCTACGGATGTATACTTGAGGTATCTCTTTGATGGTCGGACCAGCGAGGAAAAAGGATCAAGGCCGGACTGTCACCAATGGAGTTCTTTTACCCTACTCAAAACCGAACTTTGCATGGGATGACTTGGAGATGCTTAAGAGATCAAGAGCAAAACGGTAAGAGGAATTTAGTAATGAGATTGGTAATGAATTCAATGACAAAAATCTGAATTTGGATACTTTCAAGTTAAGCTAAAACATAGAACTACTTTGGAGACTCTATTGGAGGGTTTGCACTGAGAAAACTTGCAGAATTCAAAAGTTGAAGCCTCTGGAAAACTCATAGCTTATGCAAGTGATTGAAAAAGCGAAAAAAATGATGTTTCCCAAAGTTTGTTGACCGTTAGACTTTAGTCATGTGTTCCAGCACATTATGGAGAGTTGGCCTCGATTCGCTCATTTACGTTTGGAAGAAAAGAGTGAGAAAAAGAAAAGCCGAAAAGGATTTACCTGAAAATATGCAAATTTAGAGCCAATGGATAAGCCGATGGAGGAACGGGGAATGGATGGGGTGAGGGGAGGACATGGAGTGAGGGGAGGACATGGAATGAACGATGGGATTCATTTGGAGATGAAGGATCGAGGTAAAGAAGGTTTGGGTGACTTCATTTGAAGGTTCAGCTTGGAGAAAAGTGCAAATTGCAAGTTTTTGAGTGTAATTTTCAGTCAATTTTAGAGCCACTCAAGTCCGACAACTCAACAACAGCGCCGCCTTTGGTGATTTTGAGGTTTGATGGAGATTGCGTGAATTTTACGCATTAGCCAAGTTTTTTTTTGAAACAAAATCTAGATGAAGTCTAGTTTTTGGAAACAAAATGAGCTTGACATCATTTTAAAGAATTGTTTTCAAAGCTTAGGCTAAAAAAAGTGATTTAAAAGTGGCCTTAACTTTGACAAAATGACGTAAGACGTAAGTCATTTTGAAAGCTCTTAAATTTTCGCTAAGTACAGTAAGTTTTTAGAAAAGAAAATGTTGTAAAGAAAATGATGAAGGAGAAGATGGAAATGAGTAATATGAGACGGTTGATAGAAGAAGGAATGAATAAAGAGAGAGATCGATTCGAGGTGAGTGTGGTAATGACAAGTCAAGGTATTCAGCTAATGACAAGTCAAGATATTCAACTAATGACAAGTCAAAATATTCAGCTAATATCTTGTAGGAGATGCCCGGAAAAGTGATGACAAGTACAATGGATTTGATGAAAGAAGAAGGAAAAGGTAAAAGAAGAGAATGAAGATTCTGATGAGATCGAACTCGTTTTCGAGAGAGGACCAGGTAGATAAAGAAATAAAAGATAAAGAAAAGATAAACCTTACTATTAGGTTAGAAGCTTTAGAAATAGGACAAGTACTTATTTTGGAATTATTCGGAACGCAACTAAAGCCTATATTCCGTACTTCATTGTGTTTTAGGACTTCGAGTAATGACCCCAGAAGAACTCGATCATCTCCGAAAGAAGTCTAGAAAATTGGCGAAAACCGAGAAAAGTCTAAAGATCTTGAGATCAAGCGATTTTAGCTCAATGGATAAGGAAGCTACGGTGAGAAATAACACTAGAATCAGTTCCAAACTTTGAACTCCATTCCAATCTAATTTAAAATCTTAAAAATTCAAAACTCAATCTGTAAACCAAATTGAATTTGCGATGATTTAGGAAACTGATGTAGGAATTGTGGAATTGGAAGAGGATGGAAGTGATGAAGAAGATTCGATCAAACTTGCAGAGAAGATCTCAAAAATGATTGAGAAGAAGGAAAAGGAAAGAGAGACGTTGGAGATCGTTGTGAACAAGCAAGAGAGAAAAGAAAATGATGTAGGTCACAATATTGAAGTTTATTAAATTTTACTGTTGATGGTCAAGAAAAAAAAGGGACAAGAGAAGGCGAGAGAAGATGGGAACGTTGTTAAAGCAGGCATTGGAAAGAGTGCGGGAATTGTTGTTGTTAAAGGGATTGGAAAGAGTCCAGGAATTGTCAAGGTTTCTTTACTTCAATATCTATTGTTTAATCATACAATATTCAAAACCTTTTTACAAAACTCTTGAATTTCTTTTTTAGAAAGGGAAGGCTATAATGCAAACAAAGAATCCTTTGAGAACATCAGCTACGGTAAGTTTAGATTTGAATTCAATGCAAATTCTTAACTTCAATCACTAATAAAAATAAAATTAACTTAATTGTTAAGCAAGTTTAGACTCTCCAAACAACTATGAGCACAGAAATGTCATTGAAGACAACTAGAGATGAACAATTCCAACCCAAATTGACAACAATGATGGAAATGCAGGTCTACCATTGTCTTTCAACAAATAAACACAATTTTGAAGTAAAAGTGTGTCGGCTCAAAGGTAACACTGAATATCTGATCGCCGAAAGGGACTCAACGGGGAATTTGTTATTGGGGAAGAGGAGGAGGAAGTAGGAAACATTAAACTTTCAAAGTCAAAAACAATTGTTAGCTTAATTACCGAAACTTAACAATACCACTTGAAAGAACTTGAATCTATCCCACTAAAGTTATCAAAAGTTCAAACTTTTAGCCAACAATCACAACCACTCAGCGCACAAATGACGAAACAACACTTGAAGAAATTTTGCAAGTCAAAGCCAAACCGGAAGAGGTTAGTTTTCTAAGGATTTTATGGGGCTCATCGAATCCCACGCGACTTTGTCCACATGTCCAGACGTTCCTCTTGGTGACGAGAGGGAGAATCCAATGAAATCCCCATCATTTCTTTCTCAACTTATTGCTTTTTTCATGAATTTGTGAGAAGACATGGGATTCAGGGTCTAAAGACAAATCCAACACAGTTGATGACGTTTTTGATGGGATTGAGAGATCAATTCAGAGAATGAAAATGTCTGATAGAGGAAGATAGACTCAAGTTAAAGAATATCAAGAACTCCAATATCCATAAGATGTCCTCATAAAAATTATTATGAACTATTGTTTGAGTTTAGACAACCACTACAGCAGCTCCGATGACCACAACAGTCAAGATTGAACCGACTACAGCGGGTAAAAAGAACACTTTGCGTATATGTTGCGATCGGATAATTACGTTTACCCTGAAACAATTTATTTGTTAGAACACGATGACGTCGAAATGAAAAACGAAGAGAAAATTGCGCAGACCGAGACTTCTCCTTTACTTGAAACGACAACAATTACAGCAATTGGGAAATTCGAGAAGAAGAAAGGTTTGGTTTGGGGATTTACGACGATTTAAAACATTTAGATGATGAGATGGAGGTGTTGTTGAAGGAAATTGGAGTGAAAGATCGGAGTGCAAAGATTGAGGTGAGTGGAGGGAGGGGGAAGGTTGGGGGGAGGTTGGGAAGGAGTTCCTGAATCTTGGCTCAATCAAAGAAATGTGTTTATGAAGAAGGGGGAAATGGGGAAGGGTGTAAAAATTGTTGGAGACTGGTATTTGTAGGTGTAAAAGGTTTCTGGAAAGCGTTTGTTTGATCGTTTATGGTTGTTTACAAGATTAGCAATGTTGCTTGTTCACTTGTTTAGAAAAATTCTGTTTAATTAACTTGAGAACTTGAGATGAAATGTCTTTCTAGAATCGCAAACCAAAATATCAAAAACTGGATGTGCTCAACCAGTTCTCGATTCCGCAAATCAATGACGGGAAGGCGGCTTTTCTACTCACAAATGGCGCCTCATTGGCTGACTACCGGTGGATTGGGTTATACAATCAGTGTACAAAGGTAAGTGGTCAAAAATAGAATCCATTTATGTTGTGTACAATTGTTTTCGCAGTGGATGGGGAAATTCTTTAGGAACCAGTGCCACTCATTTCGTTGGATGGACTAGACGCGCCACGAGAAGAGATCATTAGTCCGATAAAAGTAATTGTTTACTTAGAGGATTAGAGCCAAGAATTAGCAGATTCAAAGTACATTTGTTTAGAGCTCAAATTCCAGGGTAAAAACAAGCACATCTCGTCGGGTCCAGTGAGGATTCTCAACTGCAACACGATTCTCATTCCCGATTTTCGATTTGTGGAGAAAATGGAGAAGCCGGGTGGGTATTACCATAGTTTTAAAAGGAATGCAAAATAAAAGCTTTTGAAAAACTTATCTAGATTCATACTTTTATGTGGGAATCGGCCTGTTTCCGAACAAAATCGAGGGACAAAAGAAGGCGCGAGTGCTCGGATTTGAGGGGTTTGTTCGAGGGAATTCTTCGAGGGATATTCGACTTGATTAATATTTTAAGACATTAAGCGTATCTAATCTTATCTATCTTTTTCATTCACTCAAAAACCTTCAGAAATGAACCCCTCGAGAACTATCACGGTGATGATGTGATGATTCGATTGCCGGCTGGATTGAGAACTTTTGATGTCGACTTTTTGGCGATTTACAATGAGGTTGGAAAGTAGATAGATTAGAGAATAGCTAGGGATTATGGTATTCAAGGAAATGAGATATTGAATACAAATTTCAGGCTGAACGAGAGTACTTTGGATTCGTCACACTACCGAGTGTGCTTGTCCCACCATGTGCTGAATGATAAATCTTTTATAAACTCGATAAAGCTTTTTGACAATGAATGTTGCCATGACATGAATTCTTATTTATTTTGCTTTTTTGTTACCCCCCTTTCGAGGGGTGTGCGCCGATCCCGCCGGTAAGTGCAATGGCGAGCCGACGCTGTACGGTGAGAAGCAAGCTTCTACAAACCGCACCCGTTCCAAAAATTGATTAATCTCGATGAGTTCAATAGAACTCGTACCGGAGACTAAGCCGATAAGAACAGATACTACACATTGATCTTAGCCATAAGCCAGAAGCGATGACAGAGGGTGGAAAGGAAACTATATGGCGAGGGAACGTGCGCCAGATGGAACGCGATTACGCGACGCGAGAGAGAACGCACTGCGAGCAGTCGAAAGAGACCTTGGGACTGGTAAATGCAGAATTTCCAAAACTTCGCGATTTCTTACACTTTTTATTGTAATTTTAATTTAATTTAAATTTACTTTTTTATTTCAGAACCCGGTTAACTTTCTAGAACAGATTCAGACATTTTAATTTACTTTTTTGAGAATTTTAAAGCAAACGCGAAAATCAAAACAAAGGACTGCAGTAAGTCGGAAGTTTTAAATGCTAGCTTTTAACATTAAATTTACTATTTATCGCAAAAGTACAAATAGCTTTTGGCTCATTCGTTCATTGGCTCATTTATCTGCGTTTCGCTCATTTTGGCATTTGGCGGTTCACAGCGCTTTTTTTGTGCCTTTTTCTTTTTATCTCTTTCCCCTCTCCGAAAGACAAATAAACGAGACATTCTCTCAACAAAACCGGCCCCAAAAATACATGTCGTCACGTGTGCTTTTTTTGTATTTTAGCATTTTATTTTAAAAAGACTCGATTTCATAACTTTCTACCCTCACGATTTTGAAACTTTGCAAGAATGAATCAGGATTTCCCTTGATTACATCATGTCGCTTAGTTACCCGAGTAGGAATTAAGAGTTTTAACGTCGTTCGAAAGTTTTATAGTTTGACTTTTTTAAGTTGGAAAACTTTGAAATTTCTAGCAAAACAATGTATTTTATATTTTCTAAAGGCTTTCTCTTTTTTAAATTGACGTTCACGTAACATTTTTTTTCAGATTGTACTCGCAAGAAAGATGGCCAAAAAATATCACGCGCAGTGTTTTGATGGTGTAACCGACATTTCAAATGTACGACGTTGTATCCGCGAACAACATCCCGTGCTTGTTATCATGCGCGGATTACCGGGATCGGGAAAATCCACCATTTCGCGGTGAATTTAGTTTTGTTTTAAGTTTAAAATTTTTGATAATTTTTCACTGTAGTAATAAAGTTTAAAATGTAGAGATCTATAATGTAATTATTTCTATAGGGAGCTCGCACAAATTTTGCCCGAGGAAAGCCGAATTTATTCAACGGACGAGCTCTTCATGGTGAACGAAAAGTATTGTCACGACTCGGCTCTTCTCACCGAATATCACTTGAAAAATCAGAAACGAGGTATTAGTTTGAAAACTGTTACGATTTAAGTTCTGTTATTGTAGCAAAAGAAGCGATGGAAAACGGTGTAAAATTGGTGATCATCGACAACACAAACATTAAAATTGAGCATTTACAATTCTACGTGTTACAAGTTTGTTTCTACTGCTTACTAATTTAGGTTTTTAAATTTGGATACGATGTTTTCTAGATATTTTTTAGGTTCTGATAAAAGATTCATCCTTTAAAAAACTTTATTTTAGGGTTTGCGTTCATTATACGAGGTGTACGTGCTTGAATCGACAGCACCGTGGGCTTGGAAAGTCAGTGAATGCGCTAGGTTAGTTTTAATTGCTCCCCTTGACTACTTATTCTTATTAAACCTAATTATTCGTCATTTTAGAAGAAATACACATGACATGCCGAAAGCTCGAATTAAAGCGATGGCTGATTCGTATCAGAGGATTTACAGCTTTCATCATTTACTGATGAATATGGGTTACACGTTGAAGTTAGTATGCTTTTAAAGAAGTTGTTAAAATGTTAATGTTTAGAATTCAACCTCCACTATTCAGCGTGGAAGAGTCGAAAATGATAATAGAAGAAGTGATCCCTGAATCATCGACGAATAATAGCGACTCAGATAGAGGTATGCGGTTTTCAAACAAAGGTGCTGTTCAATTCGTTTTTAGATTCTGGAATCAGCTCAGCGCCATCAGAAGCAGCTTTTAAACAAATTAACCAAGAACTAGGTATGGCTGAGTATTTTTTAAAAGTTAATTATTATTTTAGAGGCCCTGAATCTCCCAGAAGTTGTTGAAGTTAACGAGAAAAAATGTTCTGTCGATCGGTTGTCGCCAAATAACAAAAAAGTGCCGCTTGGGCCGCCGCCAGGATTCGAATTTAAAAGTAAGTAGAAAGTTTTAGGAAGTTTATGTGAATCATTTAGAAAACTTGTTTTCTCTTATGCCGGAAGTGCGTGTAACACATATCGATTTGGAAGTTCGAGCCTGTGGAACGCAAACGAACGATTGCACTACGTTAGTTACTTTTAGTGATTAAAAAAGTCTTGTTTTTAGCATTTTGCACAATGCTGGCTATCCTATTGAGCAATTTGTTTTTGAGGAAGAACCAGCGATTTTGAAGAAAGAAGTCACACAAAAGCAAACGAAAGAGAAAGGAGAGCAAGAGATGTAAGTTGCCATTCCTACTATTCTTGAAGTTTTTGAAACTCTGAAAGTCATTGTTTTAGATTAGGGTGGTACGATGAGATGGATCTTTTCGTTTCACTTTTTCCGGAACAACCGCAAGAGCTGCTCTTCCATTACTATTTACTTTTTGGGTAAGTCTAGCAAGATCAAAACAAAACTTCAAAAGTCTAAGTTGGCAACTAACTAGCGTATAAAAAAATCCCCCTTTCCAGACTAATCGATGCAGTTAGGATGATGATCGATTTAAACTATTCGCCAGAATGGGAGAACGAGCCCGTACCGGTGGGAAATGTCTTGATGACAATTCAGCTTGAACTATTACCAATGATACACGAACTAACACAAAATTAATGTTATTTAATCGATCTCTCAATAGCAAGTCAACAAAGCTTCAACTTTAGAATCTCTTCTGTTGGGAAACGGCTCTTTCCAGTGAATCATGTACTTCAATCCACGGTTTAAAATTATTTTAATCTAATATTTGCTTTGTTTTTAGGTGTTCCATTGCCGCTTATTGCGCCTATCGAACAGCCTGAGGTTGACCCAAAAAGGGGTGTGTTTAAGACTTTGTAAAATTTTCCATGTTGGTGTTTTAGCTTTTCCGGCCGAGGTTTTGAATCAAATGATGGAGGTCCCAATGGACAACGATTTTGCTGCTGTTATTTATTCGATTCTTGGTTAGTGGTTTATTTTGTTCTTTACCAATTGCTACTAACTTTAGACGATTTGCAAAAGATGCCATCACAATTCAAACCTGTTCAAATGAGGCTTCTGCTCTACCTTCATATGGCGTTTAATGGTTATTCTCTGAAAAAGCCTACCGGCGAAGAATTGGCAATGATTGCGGGTTGGGATTTTGCAGATTTAATTTCTTGTTCAAGTATGCAAAGGTATTTTCAGCTCCCGATTTGCCTGGTTTGTCAACATTAGAAATAGAAAGTGACGGTGAGGAACGATGTTTGCCGATCAACGACGAATTTATGGGACTACTAGATTTATTGTTTGGTAAGTTTTAAACGTAAGAATTATTTTCATCAAGCGTTTTAGGTCACCAATATCCTTCTCGTGGCTTTGATCGCCCGTTGCCCTACTGGTTGCTGCGCACGTTCTTTGTGGCCATTCAACCAAATAATGATGCGCTTATAAAGAGATCGATAGGTAAATTTGGTTTTTGAGTGAACTTTGAGAACTAATTACTTATTTTAGTTAGAGTTCTACGTATAAACATATGGAAGTGAAAATTTCAGAAAGTGACGAAGAGTTTGCTCGTAGGCTGCAGGCTGAAGAAAATCGAATGCACGGAATACCAAACAATACGGTTGGTTCTAATAATTTTTTTTATCATTTGTTAATTTTTTTTAGCCAAGGAGAGCTTTAACGTGGAACGAAAAGCTCAATTTGAAGGAGTTGCAGGAGAAATTTTCGAGGATCGAAGGAGGCTTTATCGAGGAACTCTTCTATGATTATGGGTACGTTTTCATAATTCATTTTTTTGTATTATTACCATGTTTTTAGATGTAACGCTTCAATCATTGAGAATATGCTGAGAGTTCAATTTGGGACATCGACCAGTAAAGAGCGCACCTATACACCAGAACTTCAGCAATTTGAGGTAAGTTTTATTAGTTGGAAACATTGAAACCTTTTGACAGTTTTGGTTAGTAAAGTGCGATTTTAAGGATAACGTATCAATTGCATAGCTGTATAGTGTCAAGCGTATAACTTGTCTTTTAGAAATTCGATGTTGTTCCAACTTTTCCGAGCCTCGAAGAAGCGCAAGAAGCGGCTTTGGTTCAACGAGAGGCTGCGACGGATCTGCGAAATAAAGAGGCTGAACTTCGTAGGAAAGCACAGACGTATGTAAAATTATTCGACGGTTTGTAGCATGCCTTAAAATAGTCATTATATTCAGTATTGAATATTTTAGGCACCGCATAAATCCACAAACACGTCAAAGTTCTCAGCATTATATCAACGAGGTTTTTGTAGTAACCTTTTTCTTATAAAACTGTTTTAGGCAAATAAGTATCGTGATCAAGCAAAAGAGTACGAAAAGCAGTCTGAAGCGATATTAATCAAGTAAAGCTTTTGATAATTCTTGAGATTTTCTCTTTTAGACACAACGAGAAAGCGGCTGTACTCGATTTTCATGGAATGCTAGTGAAACCCGCAATAGCGACTCTTAAAGCAAGATTGAAGAGTGCAAGCCGTTTGTAATAATTTATTTTCAATTAATTTGCTTTTTTAGGTTTATCGCCGCAGCAATTAGCTACCTCCACGCGACGACTTCGAGTTATTACTGGTTACGGTGGGTGTTAGACTGCATGAAACATTAGAACTATGCTGATCGCTTTTATTTTTTATTTTAGGTAAGTCCAATGATGGAAAATGTCTAACAAAAGCTGCAGTGAAGCAGTATCTGGACGCTCATAAGTACAGGTGTGTCTTTTGAGCAAAATGATCATTTTTCATAAGACAAACTGCTTTTAGGTATTACATGGATAACCAAGGAGAATTTGTGGTCACCTACTAGACTCTGCTAGAATATTTTTGTTTTGTTCTTTAGCTAATGTAAAATTTTATTTTTATCTTATGTAAAAAATCGAATTGGTTAGAAGAATTTCAGTTAGCTAACGTTTATTGCTTTCTTCCCGCCGTTTACCTCTAATTAGGATTTTCCCATTTGCTCAATATTCTATTTTTATTTTTTAATACTTGTCGTTAATCTCTGTAAATAGCCGGCTGGCTCGGGCATGTTAGTTGATATCTAATATTTTTGGGTTTATTTGCGGCTAAAGTTTTTTACAGAGTTCTATTTGATAAATGTTTTGCTATTCTGGTAAATAAATCTTTATTGGAAAATAGAACTGACACAAACAGCCAAAGGTAGGTAGTATAGTGCCCATGGATAAATGCGAATTTTTTAAGCGAAGCAAATTTGTCGCCAGACACGCAAGGACTCTGTGCAGAATGCAACAATTTGACTAAAAAAGACTTTTCGGTCGGAAAATTGACTGCAGCTGCACGTTCATGCAACCAGCTGTGCTCTTTTTACAATCTTACATGTATTTGTGAATTGTGATAGCTTTCTGGGGAAATTCCGCGAGTACAGCTGATTCATTCATTGTTTGCGAGATTTGCATTGAATAATTGATAAGGATTGAAGGGAAATTTGCGTGGGAAAACCCCGGTAGAAAAAAAAAAAGTAAATGAGTAATATGTTAATTGACATTTCCTTCCATTTTCTGATTCAATCCGGAATCTGACAGCGCCCATTTTAAAGCTTAAAATAGAAATATTCGAGAAATTTTGCATGATCTCTTTGTCATTTTGTCCAATTCAGGTGATTTTTTCTGTAGCTTATCTTTGGTTAATTGAATTTTTACTTTTTTCGTTTACTTTTCAAATGTAATTGTAAATGACAGCTGATCTGTCTTAGCTATTACAGGTGTTCTCTCAAATCGGAATAGAGATCTTTTTTTTCATTTGTAAGCATTACTTTTCAAATCTATCTTGGAGCTAAAATAGTTTAGCTGTTGAATATTGTGGAAAACTTGAAGCTTGAGATGTCTAAAATATTCAATAAAGTCTGCTGAATACTTATTGCCGGAGTGTTGTAATAGGCTGTAATGCCAGATACACTGTAATGATGTAAAGCAGTGAGCGATCATATTCTACTTTGTACTTTGTACGCGAAAATCGAAACGCACCCATTCTGGCACGCTTGATTTCGTAACATTAAGCACATTCGCCAGTCGTGAAGTCTCTAAAAAATGCACCATGGGTGCGTTTCTGTGCTCGAACGCAAAATAAACACAAAGAATTTGACTATCATGTTTCTTTTGCTTCACATAATGAGTCTATCTGCCACTTGTCGATCCAATCTATTCCACTCATTTTTATTTCTGGACCCATTCCCATACAATTCCCTTCTCTTTTTTTTCAATTGTTGCCAAAAATATGGCAAAGTGCCCGCAATTTTCCCTCCTATTCACTTCTCCATTTTCAGCGTCCCATAGTTTTTGTATTTTCTTAGGCCGTCCTCTTTTGTATTCTTTTCTTCACTCCATTGAAATTCCCCTAGCGAACATTTGTGCACTTTGACCTCAATGGAATATTCTTTAGGGTCTAAATTTCTTTTTGTTGCATTAGTAGTACTTTTATGACTCTGTTTGTGCTAAAGACCTCTTCTACAAGAATTTATAGACATTCTTGAACATTATAGTAGATCTTGAGATCTGATAGACTAACACTAACACTAACACCTCGTAGATCTTGAGATCTGATAGACTAACACTTCGATCTTAGCATTAGTTTTTCAAATGATCGACCTCTTTTGCACAAAATCGATTCTGTGTCGTCTGTGAACTTTGCGTTTTTTTCCTTCGAGAATAATCGAGATCTTTTCGTGTAAAATGGGAAAAGAGAAGAATCTCAAAATATGCAGACAAGACGATATTTCGATCTCCTTTGTTTCCACTAGATTCCACAATAAGATCTCGCTTTCGATTTTCATTTGCTTCACTAGAAAAATCGTTTCTATACAATGAAATTGATAATCTTTTGTATTAGATGTTGCAATCGTCTTAGTGAATACATTTTCGAGAGATTTCAAGTGATTCATTTTCTAGAAAATTGCCTTTTCTCAGCATAACTTGTCATCAGCAGCATAACAATTTACTAAAGCTAATGAGTTCAAAGTAAATGCTGTTTAAAGCACTTTTAGGTAGTTTTTGAAGCCAAGAGCCAAGCCAAGCCGATGATTTTCATTTCTATTTCATTATACCAAAGTCCTTCAGCACGTTTCACATGTACAAACTTTTTGCTAAAGCTGCAATCTGCCCCATTCCGCAACTTCTCTCACTTTTTGAACTTTGCCCCACTTTGGATATTCTTCTGTTTGCGGTGATCCCTTCAAACAGACACACGTGTTTTCGATTTGATCCGTTTCTCCTTTTTTTTTCCCCACTTTCAAACGATTCTCTCAAAAATAGCCCAGGCCTTGAGGGGGGAAAAAGAACGGAGATTTTTTTTCTCAATTTCCCCATTTCTTTTGGCATCAATCCTTTTGGTGATCATTTTGTTATTCTACCAACAAATTATTATCCGATTTTCTGTAGACAATTCAATTACCGATTTTTTTCTTTCGTAAAGTTGAACTCAATTCATGTCTTTTTTTCGTGTAAAGTTCCAATTATAGAGTCAAAAAAAAAATTGTATCCGCCAGGGGTAAATAATTGGTGATACGGAAATCTTTTCGCTTTGCACGAAAATTTTCTTGACTCTTTTTGCTGACGAAATTGGCGGCTTTCAACATGAAACTGGTGTTGTACTTAGCGGCTGACTCGAGGCTTTTGTAGAATTCTCATTTTCACTTGTGATTCTTGATAGAGAAATGGTTAACGCTGATTTTCAGACGCTTATGTTCAGCTTGAGATCAGTATTTCATTGTTTTAGAATAATTTAGAATAGTTCAAATTTACTAAAATGCCTTCATTGTAAAGATGAGATACTTTTATGTTGTTCTAGACTGGATTTAGCTTCAAAATCTAGCTTCGGAATTTAGCTTCCTGTTTGCTTTGAACAAAATTGATATAATAACGATCTACTACTTCTTATCTACTTTACATACCGTAAATACTGTAATAGTACCCCACCCACCCCCTCGTACAGTCGCGTAGTCGCAAAAGTTTTTTAGTATTTTTTAGTATTTCATTTTCAAAGCGCCCGTACTTTCAAAAAAATGCGTCTTTGGTATCAAAAAATAGCTGAAATTCAGGGCTATTTTTTGATACCTAAGCCGCATAATGACCGTGCGAGAGAAACGCGTTCAAAGCTAGACTACGTAACACTCCCCACCGTCATTATTAGGGTGGGGTAGTGTATTACAGTAGGTTCACCAATTCCTGAAGGAGTTTTCTCGACACTGGTTCCTGCTCGTTTAAATATCAAAAAATAGCCCTGAATTTCAGCTATTTTTTGATACCTAAGCGCGCATTGTAGCATAAACCAGTGTCGAGAAAAACGCTTTCAAAGCTAGACTACGCAACGCTCCACACTGTCATTATGGGGGTGGGGTACTATTACAGTATTTACGGTAGCTGTTCTTTTGAAATCTTTTCCTAGATATACGGAAAACTAATAGCTTTACATTGTTTTAAATGTCCTGAAGTGAAATTTTTAATCCTTTGAGTGATCTTTAGCTCAAAAAAGTCGGGCTTTAGTTTTTAGAAAGAGATTAGGATCAAAATTTTCTCAATCTATTTCACATCATGTATTTTCACTCGATAAACGAATACAACCTATAAATTGTTCTCTAAGTTCTCGATAATCTTTCCAAAAAAGCTATTTTTTAAAAGAATTTCCTCCTTTTTAGCGTTTTGTCTATTCTCAAGCTCTCACCTTTTTGATCTACTCAAATACGATATTTTTATCACTGTAAATCAGGTATGTATCTTTTCTATTTGTTTATACTTTGTCTCCTTTCTGGAAATGAGCTCAGAAAGGGCGGTGAGATGAAAGAGATTCCTTTTTGAAGAAATGTCTCCAATTCTGAGACTTCAACCCGTCATTTTTACATATAAATCGAGTTTTTCTGAAGCATTCCTTTTGAAGAATCATGACAAGAAAAAAGAAAAACGAAACTTTAGGAAAGTTTATGGAATTCGTTGAAAGATAGGTGAATTGTTTAGCTGATGGGTTACAGTGTAACCGTTTACTTTACTAGAATGGATTATTCTTTGCAAAATTTCAACACTTAAAGCTTTCTGATGTTTTTATCCGTTTTTCAAGGCTTTACACTGAAAATTTGTACTTTTGTAAGCTTGAAACTGTGTCTGAAGTTTCTCCTAAATGATCTCGAATGATTGTTCAGTACAAATTAGAGTAGAGGATGGGTGGCTTTTTTTTTGATCTGTCTTCGCATTCAGGTGTTCCTATTTGCGCAGATCACAACCTGCTTCCACATTTCTCTATCCCTTGCTATTGTCATCCAGTGTTTCCTATCTTGATTGTTCCTGGTTCGAAGTCTTTGACTTCGAACCTGAATGATTGTTTCTCCTGAATGATCTCGAATGATTGTTCGGTACAAAATTAGAGTAGAGGATGGGTAAATATAAATATAACCCACTTTTAGCATTAACCAGCTCTTAGAGCAAAATGGTTAAAAAGTGATTGAAAAATGAGGAAAAATCGGCTTTTTTGCCACTTTTCAATCATTTGTTTCTAAGCGCTGGTTAATGCTAAAAATATGTGTTATATCTCAAAAAATAACTCACCCTTTACTTTAATTTAATACCCAAGCGCGCAGAAACAAACGGTATTGGTGCTGAGATATGAGCCTTTATTTGAGAGTAAACTTAGACGACGCGACGCTCCTATAGGTGGTGCTTCTATTAGACTGAGATCTGAGCTGAAAAAGTATCTTTATCCAGTCTAACTTAAGAATTATCTAAAAGCTTTATCAAAAAATAAACTTATATACAGGTTTTGTAAAAGTTTAACGAAAATCCTGATCTCATTGTCGATTGATTGACAATCGATTGATTGTCGATTGATTGTCGATCGATTGTCGATCGATTGTCGATTGATTGTCGATCGATTGTCGATTGATTGTCGATCTATTGTCGATTGATTGTCGATTGATTGTCGATCTATTGTCGATTGATTGTCGATTGATTGTCGATTGATTGTCGATTGATTGACAATCGATTGACAATCGATTGACACTTTCCTCTCATTTTCCACAAACATTTACGCAATATTTTCCCTCAAATCATTCGTTTAATTTCGAAAACCTTTTCACTATTACACAATCCTTTTTCCTGTTATCTGAATGGGGGAACGCCCCAAAAGAGTCTTTCACAAGAAGACACCAAAGGAATTCTTGAGGAAATTTCAGGAGAAGACTCGTGAAAACTCGTGAAATCTACATTCTGTGCAGAAAAACAAAAGTTTTTTTGATTCACAATTGATATTTCTATCTGAATCAATATTCTGAGCCCTATCGACACTTGAAATCGAAACAAAGCACACCACATTCAATTCCATTTCCTTTTCCAAGATGTATCGAGCTCTACTGATAGTAGGTAAGGATTTGTGATGTAAATTTTTATTTAAAAAGATGAATCAATGAGAAAAGGGACTTGAGAATTGATTGATTGATCTGATTTGAGAATTTTGTTTTAGATCGTCGTTTAGAATGTCGTTTTAGATCTAGCTTAGGTAGAAACAGATGCAAAGCAAATTGTAAAGCATATATCATCTCTAATCTTTTCAGGAATTCTATTGGTAACAGCTGAATCAATATCTCGACATCATCACAGACGAAGATCTCTTCCGGATGATCAATCCTCGGAAATGATGACTAAAGTGATTTCACCGAGTTGTGAACTACTTTGTGAGGCCCAATGGAAAAGCGATTTCCAGGTTGAAAAGTTATTTCATTAGTTAAGCAAAGATTTCAGATTTATTACGATAAAATGTACGACTCGGGTTACTACGATATTCCATTGGATCCAGCAGTGATCTCTTCAAAAAGCGACTTGGTCACTTTTTGTCGGCTCACCGAACAAAAGTATAATTGTTTGAAGGTTTGTCAACAGTTCATAATAGAAAAGTTTGGCTGAGAATCTTTAGTCTTTCATTTTTAGACACAATGCAAGATCACGGATTTCCCATGGACACCAGAGAGACACATTTGCAAGTTGCACGCTGATAATTTCAAAGCCAGCATCACGTGTTTCAAGTAATTTTCTATTATATTAGACTGTACAGAAAGTTTAGAAAGAAATTTTAAAACGGTTTTTATGTTATTTTGCAGAAAGATAATTGGTTTTTTTAATGAAAACAAATTGATGATTCAATTTGGTTTATTTATTGGTTTTAAACAGAACGATGTAAAGAATTAAAAGTATTTTTGAATAGCTTTCAACTGGATTGACTGAATACTAACGACTGAACGACTGACTGAATGAATAAAATGAGAATTCTTATCGACTTCTAATCTCTGAAAATTCAGAAAAACAAAAGATATTGTGCACGATGATTGTTCGAGCCTTTGCGATCGATTGACACCGAGAATCTCACCGGCTGAGAAGAGATTTATCGAGAATCGGTAAATGCTATAGTTGTATTGTAGAAAAGCTAGTTAATTTAACAAGGACATTATCAATAAGATATTCAGTTAATGAAAAAGTTTTAGGAAACTCCCCAGACAAGCAGTGAAAGAGTTCGAGCGGCAAAACTCAGCGTGTCTCTTTGTCGCTTGTCATCGATTATGTCATGTAAATGATTGAAATAATAGGCTAAAAAAATTGGGAAAACAAATAGAATTCTATTGTTTTTAAGATATTCAATAAATTTACAGGAGAAAGTGATCGAGCACAAGTGTTATCCATCCGAGAGAGCAAAAGCGCTTGAAACAGTCGCCGAATATTATGATGAGTATATGAGAAAGGTTTGTTTAAAGTTAAAGAAATTGTTTTTTAGAAATTACAATGAGAAATCTGATTTCAATTTTCAGGAATTCGAAATCTTTGCTTTACCCGATCACAATCTTTTATTCTCTTCATTGTGCAGAAGGATTACTCCAGATGAAGATGAAGTAAACATTTTTATTTGATTTTAAAATAGAAACGAACTATTTCTAATGCACTTTTAGTTTTCTTCTTTTTCTTCTAGTTCTTGTTTCCATAAATTACAGAAATTTGAGAATTAAGTGCACCAGAAAGGGTGCGTTTCAAGTTTAAAAGTAAAGGCTTTGGCAAGGAATAAGCAGCAAGAAATTGAAGTAGAAATTGTAGAAGTTCTCTAGGTTTTAAAGCAGTAAATTGTATAAATCTTCATCATTTATATACAATTTTAAACATTTCTAGGAAGAATTCGTGACTGGCAATGCCTCGTACAACAACCGGACAATGAATCGATTGATTAATGGAGTCAAAATCGTCATCCAAACAATCGAGAACAAGGAACAAGATGAGGAATAGAAAAAAAGGGACATTTATCTGAAATCTGAATCTAAAATCAACATCTAAAAGAGCTGTTCTTTGATTTAAACATCTAAAAATCAATTTCTAACTAAAACCATTCAAACTCACCCAAGTTTTTCAAAACTTTTCTTTTCGTTTTCTCGTTTTCTTTTCTTGTTTCTTTTCTTGTTTCTTTTCTCTTTTCCTTTCTCTTTTCATTTACTCGTTTTCTTTCCTCGTTTTCTTTTCTCGTTTTCTTTTCTCGTTTTCTTTTCTCTTCTCTTTTTGTGACTCCTCGCTCCACCAGTTCAAAGCATTTCTCTCTGTGCACAATATTTATTCAATTAAGCAGAAAAAAAACATCGTTTTTCCATTTGTTGCCTGTTTTCGTTGCTTTTTGATCTCAGAATTTATTTCCCCATTTCTTTTTATTGGAATCTTTGTTTTCATTTACCCATAAGGTCCGGGAAAATGATGTCGATGATCAGAAAAGTGACAGGAAAATTCATTCTAAGTTCAGGCCAAGTTCAGGCCAAGTTCAGACCAAGTTCAGGCTTACTATTTACTTACTTACAAATTATGGATTAGATTTCTAGTACAGTCTTGTATTCTGTGACAGTCGTCAAGTTTGAGTCAAATGCATAGCTTGCGTAGTTCTTGTAGTTGACAAAACAAGATTTGTTTTATCAGTATTGTTAAGTGTCATTATCCAAACGTTATCTGCAAATAGTAAGAACTATAGGTAGACTTTGTTAAACGATGCTTAACTTAAAGACACAATGGTGCCAGGCAAGGCAGAAAGGTGCCAGGCAAATCATCGCGAACTCTATTTCTAGTTTTGGATGATGACTCAAGTTTTGGATGATGACTTTAGGATAAATATTTTCCCAGATTTTCCACTTCATTCTTAATTATATCTTCAATTCAGGCTAAATATCAAGAAAATTGTAAATCGGAACGTTTGCGTGTCGTTTGTTTGGTTCAAATTTCCCATCGATTTCTCTGTGAGCTCTCAAAATGTTAAGTACAAAGGAATAACTCGAGTTTTCTCAATTTCCCTCCCAAAATTCTTCAATTCTTCAACAATTTTCCCACCTTTTGTCCACTAAATTTTCGGGTTTATGCTAAAAAAAAATTTTTTTTTATTAAAGAAAGCGATTTTCTTAGTGTTTTATGTTTTCTTTTTAGGTTTTAAATAAAAATTTTTCTTATTTTGTCATTTTCAGAATTGAAATCAATTTATTTGTAGTTGAATAATAAAAATATTTTAAAGAAAAATGAAAATTGCACATAAATTTGACGAAAATTACCCTGAATTCAAGTTTTAAAAGGCACTTTTTTAAAATTTTCTTTTTTTTGAGCAAACGGTGAAATGAAAAGAAAAAGAAGCAATAAATATTAGTAGTTAAATGAAATTCACGCAAGAGCTACAGTAGACTTTGAAGGGACTTTTAAGAGACTTTGAAGAGACTTTGAAGAGACTCTGAAGATCCTCTTCTACTCTCAAGTATCGCTTCTTTGAGGGTGCAAAAAAGAAGCAATAAATCTTAGTAGTTAAATGATATTCACGCAAGAGCTACAGTAGACTTTGAAGGGACTTTGAAGAAACTTTGAAGAGACTTTGAAGATACTCTTAAGATACTCTTCTACTCTCAAGTATCGCTTCTTTGAGGGTGCAAAAGACTGGCCCGTATGTGCAAAAGAAATGAATTGATAGAAAAAAGAAAAAAACATAACTCCAAAATCCTAATCAGTCGATGAAATTATTTGGTGTAAAGAATAGGTGAAAGTTTTGCTGATTTACTGCGTTAAGGCTTAGGCTTCGAAAAGAACTTATCAAGATTTCAAGTCTAAGAAACGATTTCAATTCCTATGAAGCCAGGTTTCCTTCAAGATTCCACACTTTCACTTCTTTATAGGATTTTTTTTCAGCAAATACTCTTCTACTTATTCGAATTCTTATTGAATTGAATTATTGAATTCCTTGAAAACCTAGAAGGCATCATTTGCCGTGTAGAGACATCCAGTGCCGGTGAGAACACGAGGAACGATTGAGAAGAGAATTGGAAGAATGAGACATTGAATGAGAAGGGAAATTAGGAAATGAATGAAGGATAGCATTGAGAGACAAGAGAAGAGACGGATTGGAACGAAGAGGACGGGCAGGAGGAGGGCTGAGGAACAGATCGATGACTGTAATTTCAGATTTCATTTCAATTTGAGTTCACTTTCGAAGCTTATCGATATTAAAATCTCTAAAAATCATAAAACCCAGGGATATCGACAGTATTCAGCGCATTGAATTAAGCCGAAATAAGCCTTAGTTGAAAGGATCAGAGAATCAGCTAAAGTTTTCTCATTAAGCTTATAAGCTTATCGAGATCTCGATAAGTCTCGAAAAGAACTTATCAAGATTTCAAGTCTAATTAGAATACGATGAGATACACTCAATCTACTGAACCTATTGAATGTACTGAATCCACTGAATCCACTGAATCTACTGAATCTACTAGTTCAAAGTTTACTTGTGATGTTGCTACAAATATGGAACTCTATTGTAAAGCCTCCCAGATTCTGTTTTAAGTTTTTAACTTTTTTTAACGTTTCAATACGGTTCCAATACGGTTCCAATGCGGTTCGTCTTTGGATCTAATACGGTTCCAATACGGTTCCCATTTTGATCTAATACGGTTCCAATACGGTTCCAATAAGGTTCCCATTTTGATCTAATACGGTTCCAATACGGTTCTAATATGGTTTCAATACGATTCCAATAGGGTTTCGATACGGTTCCAATACGATTCGTATTTCGATCTAATACGGTTCCAATATGTTTCCAATACGGTTTCAACTTGAATTCCTTTTCTCTAAACACTCACCAGAACAGTTGGCAACAAAGCCTTGGCCATCGAATTCCTTATTCTCTGCACATTGTCATTCTTTTGCATCGTCGATGAGAGTTGGAAGAAGTACGCAAATGGGACAACTAAAGCAAGGATTATAGTTCTAATTCTGGAACTTTGACTTAAAACTCTTTTACTCTAACAGATATGATTGATATCTTTTCCTAGTTTTTGATTTTCTTTTGATTCATTTATTTTTGATCAACACTTTTCTTGATATTTTTACCTGCTTTGATTGATAGTGGGGCAAGGGAAACGAGAGCTCCGATCGAGAATGGATTGATTGTCGCACCCATCAACGAACATAAACCGTATGAGCCTGAAAAACAGGGTTATCAGGAGAAAGTTTTTAAATGTTTAACTTAAACTTGTAATTGTAATTGTAACATTTAAACATTTAAATGATTCTGCTATCAGTTCTAGTTATTAATTCTTTATCTAAAGAAAGGGAAACTGAAAGGAGCTTATTGAAATCAGCAAGTTGAAGTAAAACAACAGAATTTGTTAAGTAATCTGTAAGCTTACAATCTGTAGGCTTACAATTTGTAAAATTATGTATTCTCTTATTTGCTAAACTTACAGAAAAACACAGCCGACGCTGAAAAAGCAGCGATGAGACTCGAGGTGAGATTAGCAGCAAAGAAGAGAAACCAAACAAAAAGTGAGACAAGGCAAGCAATCGGGATACTGAAAATGGAATTGAATGAATCGTTTCTAGAAACTTACATAATTGTCGCTTCTGGTGCTTGGGTGACAACATCAGCCATTCCGACTTCTGTGTCAAAGGGAATCACTTGAAATTGAGTGTAGCGGGAGGCAACCTAGAATTTAGTTCATTAATTGTGCTGAGTTTGAGCTGAGTCTTTAATTAATTTAGATTAACCTCTCGACATTTGCTTAACAAAGTTGCTTTATCAGCAAGTGATCGAGTTCCATTGAAAGCCACCAAGTACAGCATGTTCGTGATCTCTACAGAAGTCGTGTTTGTCGTGGAGCTAGAATATTTTTAAACTAATCAAATTGATTCTTGTTTTCTAAAATTCAAGATCATTCTTTATTCTATAATTAAGATCATTTAATTAAGGGATTTTTTTTTTATTGAACAGTTCAAAACTCACTCAAAATGTGTTCGATACTTGACTCCACTATTCCATGCTTGATACAGTTCATCAGTGATGAAAGCATAGAATTTCGTCATGTCCAGAGCTGAATTGTTTAGATAAACTAATCAAATTTGAAAAGTTTAATAAGAGAACTTACAAGTTGCATCCGAAGGCGTATTGGCGAATTTTTTAAAATCCTTTACAAACATCATATTATCTTTCATTCTCATCGCTCCATCAATCTTTTGAATGTCATCAACCAATTCCTTAAATTCTTCTGAGTTTTTAAAAATACGCAATTTTTCCTTACATTAAATTGCTTATATTGAGCGGAATCCTCGAATTTTGGCGGTTTCTCGATGTAGAACATGATTTGGAGGATATCGGGCCAAACCTGGGAATTCGGTTTATTTATTCTTTATTCTACTGTTCTACTCGTTTTATTTATACTGTTATAGTTACTCTAACAATATCAGAAATCCTGTTAACTTTAAAACATGATTTGGAGGATATCGGGCCAAACCTGGGAATTCGGTTTATTCTACTGTTCTACTCGTTTTATTTACCGTATTTTCTCTAATAGTAGTGCACCCCAGCGAGCCGAGTTGGTGACTATTTTACGATTTCCAAGCTTTTGCAGAAGCTCAACACTCAAATCCCCCACTAGATCTCATCGCCAGCTACATTTTCCAAATCCACATTGATAGGTTCTGATAAGCGGTTCTCGAGATTTCGAACACTTTAGACGACGCTCAGGGTGCACTACTATTAGAGAAAATACGGTATATAAAAAAACAGTTTTATTGGCAGGATACTTGTAACTAGGATTTTATAATATCTATTAGAATTATACTGTATTCTCTCTAATAGTAAAGATATGGAAATGTTATAGATATTATGAAAAAAGACTTATAGTTGCTGTAAGGTTGCCGTATTTTCTCTAATAGTAGTGCAACCCGCCAAGCCGAGTTGGTGACTATTTTACGGTTTTCAAGCTTTCGCAGAAGCTCAATACTCAAAACCCGCACTAGATCTCATCGTCAGCTACATTTTTCGACCCCACATCGATAGGTTTTGATAAGCGGCTCTCGAGATTTCGAGCACTTTAGACGACGCTCAGGGTGCACTACTATTAGAGAAAATACGGTATACTGTTATAATCGCTCTAACAATATCAGAAATCCTGATAACTTTAAAACCTCGAAATAACTTACTACATCGCCCATGATGTGAACACCTTTGTTTGCTTTAGCCTCTGGATGCAAGAGATGACGATAGTCAAGATTTCCACGAATCTATAAACTGGTAATGAATTTTGGGTTTTCTATTTCCTTATTAACTCTGCATTAAACTTTGTGCCTTGTTGCAAAAAACTGAGTGTTAGTTAAGCTGTGAATTTCAGTTGGGCTAGTTCTTTCTTTTGTTAAACTAGATTTTCTAGCTGGGTGTCTCGGCAAATCGTTTTACCACAACCAAAAGAATATTCAAATCTATCACTTTTTTCCGCCAATCCACCGGGATAAGTGAAAGTATGATTCCTCTCCGTATAACATTATCATCTGCCAATCTCCCAGCGCTTTCTTGGAACAGATCTCTTTGTACTTTCACTACTGTGATTACCCTTTACTGCATCGATACAGTTACATCTCGTTAACCGAGAAGATATAGCATATTCCTTTTGCCATTTACGCTGCCTACTTTGATCTTACAAAACAGCCCAATGCCCTTTCGGCGTTTCAGCGCATTCCCTCTCAGCCCGAATAGATGAGAGTTAAATTACCGCTCTTCCTCTTCTACCCCTTATTTTTAATTCTCTATCTACTGCCAAATCGGTTCACGGGGGCTGAGATTGGATGGACAGATGTTTGATTTTCTTTTATATAGTTAGATCTGTTAGTTCAACCACCACCTTTTTCAACCCAATCGCTGACGGGATGACCAACGCCAAAATGAAAACGGCGATTACGGAAAACTTGAAAAAGTTAGATCGAGTGATTAGTGCAGAATAGGAATCTGGAAGTGATGGTGGTTATTGTAATACCAGTTCGGGTTATTGTAATACCAATGAATCGTCGCTTGGTCTTCGTCTCAAAAGTTTTCAGCTCTTTGAGTGACTCGTGACGTCTCGATGGGACAATCATCACCATGATTGGGGTGAAGAAGAAAATCTAGAGGTAGATCTTAGAAAACTACGTTTGTTGGGCTTAGGAATATTTTAGATTTCGCCAAACCTGGTAGAAGAATGACCAGAGGATGGTCAATCCGATGAACAGAGAGAATTGCGCGTATTCGGTGATTGGATAGATGACTCCAACGATGAGAATGATCGATGAGAGAGTGGTGATCACCAATGATGGCATTGTTTCAGCTAATACCTAAACAAAAGACCTGATAGATACCGGAGTACCGTAAATAAAGGAATTTATTTACAGAATGGGAAATCTCCAACAATTTCCACTACTCACCTCTTGCAATTGTCCCTCATTCTCATCGTAGATTCTCTTCTTCTGTGATCGGAGCCATTGATTGTAGAGAAGAAGAATGCCATCAATTCCTGAAAAACACTACCGTAGATGGCATAAAGTCCTACTCTGGCGACAATGCGACATGTGTCGGTGTAGCTCATTGGTAGAGCGTTCACAGGGTAAGTGCGGGTTCAAATCCCAGCGCTGACCAGCCCCAATCCATAAAGGGACCGGCATCTCCAACTCCGAACCTATTTTCCTAACCTATTTTCTTTGTCACTCACCGAAACCAAGGGCAATAAATGGAGCAAAGAGCATGACAGCATTGAAGTGATTTCCGAAAAGAGCATGTGTGGCTGCAGCTGAAAATAGGGAAATAGACTGGATGAAAAGCTGCAACTAACCAGTTGTCAATGAGAAAACTGGTAGAAGGATTGATGGTGGAATTATGAGAAGTGATTTGCCGGAGAGTTGCGAATGGACACGAGCAGAGTAGAGGAGGGAAATCACTGTGAAGATGAGGAACACGATTGCACCTGGGAAATTTTTGATTTTCTCAAATTGATAAGACTTAACTGTGAAATTCAAAAATTTCCTTAATTCTTACCAATTAGCATATAACTTGTAACACTTTGCATCCCTTGTCGAATCGCTGTTTCCATCACAACTTGAGAATGCTGTGTGAGAATCGTTTTCTTTGTCGGATCAGTGTTGTGCGCTTCAACAGCTCTAAAAGATTTATAGAATTTGATAAGGAAACTTGAAACAAGTTCATTAGCATTACTTTTATCTCACAAACCTTGCCACCAATTTCTCAAATCTTTGCAAATCCTCGTCAGCATCAGTTGAATTGATGAAAGCGGCAAAGTAAAGTCCCTCCAATTGAGAGGAGATGATGTCTTCACCTGGAAATATTATACTCAATAACTTATCAACAACAATTCTCACTATTCTCATCAATAATTTCGTTACCTTTCATGACTCGATTGAAGAAGTGTTTCCCGATATTCGACTCGTAGACCCAAAGAATTGTAGTCACCGGCCAGCTCATCCCGAAAAAGGACATTTCCTAAAAGTTGAACAATAAGACTAACATTCTTTCGAATAACAGAAGATTCTGTTCAATGATCGATTCAAAGATCCATTTCTAATTCAATCTGTATCATAAAGTAACTAACATAAGTCTTGAAAAGAATCTCATTGATATCACATGTTGGTGTGCAATAATCCCTGTAGTTATAACGAGTTCCGTTTACTTCTCGGAGAATCAAATCGGTCTTGATATGACTGAAAAAAATGAGTTGAATAAGTGGATTTTATTTGTTTTTTTTTGGATCTTTCTTTTCTATATTGCTTCTAAAGTTTAGTATTGCCAACTTGGGTGGTCAGAGACGGGAAATAAACTAAACGAGGGATAAAAAACGTGAAGCAGCCGCTCCATCAATTTCCCGTATCAGATTCCCCATTTTATGACTGTGTTTTCAGAAAGTTGACAGAAAAAAAGAAAGGATTCTTGTTAAAAGTAATGTTAAGGGTTTATTTGTTTTTTTTGAATCTTTCTTTTCTATATTGCTTCTAAAATTTAATACTGCCAACTTGGGTGGTCAGAGAAGGGAAATAGACTAAATGGGGGATGAAAAACGTGAAGCAACCGCCCCATCAATTATTTCCCGTATCAGATTCCCCATTTTATGACTGTGTTTTCAGAAAGTTGATAGAAAAAAAGGAAAAATCCTTGTTAAAAGTAATTGTTAAAAGTTAAAATGTACTTGTAAAAAGTGCGAAATTCGGAGAACTCTGCCCGATCGATCATTGATCCATTTCGTGGCTCAGCGAACAAACCCATGTACCACGGTTTCCCCTGAAAAGAGATTTCAATTTCTTTAGTACTCACATTCACAAATCTTTTCTCAATCTACAGTACTCTTGGTTACCATCGAAAATCTTTACCAAAATCTTTACTAAAGTGTACTTTGTGTTCAAAGATGCAAATGCACTCTTTCTAGTGCATCTCTTTAATATTATCAACACTGAATTCGCCAGAAAGATTGTGTTTACACTTATAAGCACAAAATAAAACTCAAAACATGTCTGTCTACTTTTCCACAATCTATTTTTAGCCTTCATTACATTCTCCCCAATGTCCAGTGTTTATTTAGACGATCAGACTAAACTATGATGCGAGATTATTTCTGGTGAAGGAGAAATTTTGAGTGATAGCTTGAAAGAATGTATGAATTGAGTGCGAAAAAAAAAGCTGATATCAGTGCCCAATCCGTTCGCTAATCCATAGTTTCAAAGTATTTTCAAAAAAAAGAATTTCGTAGAATCGCTGGAATTCGGGAGAGAGAGAGAGGCGAAATGAGAAATTTTGGATCGGAGAAATCGATTGTTGTATCGCCTTTTTGTGGTATCGATGAGTTAGACTTTAATGTGTGCATAGAAATCTTTCTACCGTAAATACTGTAGTATTACCCCGCCCCCATAATGACGGTGCGGAGCGTTGCGTAGTCTAGCTTTGAACGAGTTTTTCTCGAGACTGGTTTATGCTACAATGCGCGCTTAGGTATCAAAAAATAGCTGAAATTCAGGGCTATTTTTTGATACCAAAGATAATGATGGTGCGGAGTGTTGCGTAGTCTAGCTTTGGAAGCGTTTTTCTCGACACTGGTTTATGCTACAATGAGCGCTTAGGTATCAAAAAATAGCCCTGAATTTCAGCTATTTTTTGATACCAAAGACGCATTTTTTGAAAGTACGGGTTGCTTGAAAGTACGCTTTGCAAAAAATGAAATACTAAAAAACTTTTACGACTACGCGACTGTACGAAGGGGTGGGGTACTATTACAGTATTTACGGTATTCTTACATCAATACTCCAAATTACCTTATTTACTGACAATAAGTGATAGAAAAAGATCAATTCTTTCTTTAAATTTATGCTTTTAATTCTCAAAAATATTAGTAATTACCAAATTGCCAAAGAAATTCGTATAAGCTTTCATCTCTCGAATACTCGGCGCATCGCTTGTCGTGTAACCCTCATCAAAGCTTAGAACAATATTCTTTCTAAAGAAATATTTTACTTAACAATAAGAAGTTGTGATTTTCAATTGTAAACATTTAAAGTGCACTTTTTGGGGAAAAACTTACGGTAGTACATATAAAAGTACACATGACGCCGAGAAGATAATGATCGAGAGAAGCTGAAAGTTTCGAGGGAATAAACAAAGCTTTTAATGATATGGAAAACTAGGGAAATTTGCATTTAAACATGTAAATTCATAATCTTAATTAGATTTTTTTCCTTAACCAACCGTCACGAGGAGTGGACTTCGGGCAATCGCTCGGCCGATCAGACCCGCTTGTCGGCTAAGCCACATGCCTGGAAAAAAAATGGGGTTTATGTAAATTAAATTTTAATTTAATGCACATTAAGATCTAAACTTCTGCATATCAGTTTTGAACTTTCTTTTTTTTCTAAGAAAAGCAATTCCAAGAGCGATTGGGTTTATTTGGATTCAAAAGAGGAAGAGGAAGAGGAGAACTCAAAAGAGGAAGAGGAAGAGGAGAACTCAAAGGAGGAAGAGGAAGAGGAGAACTCAAAGGAGGAAGAGGAAGAGGAGAACTCAAAGGAGGAAGAGGAAGAGGAGAACTCAAAGGAGGAAGAGGAAGAGGAGAACTCAAAGGGAGGAAGAGGGAAGAGGGAGAACTCAAAAGAGGAAGAGGAAGAGGAGAACTCAAAAGAGGAAGAGGAAGAGGAGAACTCAAAAGAGGAAGAGGAAGAGGAAGAGGAGAACTCAAAGGAGGAAGAGGAAGAGGAGAACTCAAAAGAGGAAGAGGAAGAGGAGAACTCAAAAGAGGAAGAGGAAGAGGAAGAGGAGAACTCAAAGGAGGAAGAGGAAGAGGAAGAGGAGAACAAGAGATGGAAATGGATTGAGTTGAAAGTTCAACTAGTCCTTAACTAGTTCAACTGAAATGTTTCAGTTTGATGTGAATAAATCAGACTGATAATATATTTCAATATCATAAATGTAATGTAAAGCTAGGAAATCGGACCACCAAGTTCAATAATAAAAGAAAAGAAATGGGGAAAAGATTGGACTGGAGAATGGTCGAAAATGAATGAAATGGGGATGAAAGAATGGAAAGAAATAAAAGAAATGAAAGACGAGAGACAGAACAACACGTGTGCCAAATTTATCACCCACACATCCACACTCACAACTCACTAGAGAGGAAGAAGCTGGCTCAGGTTTGGTTATGCTGTTAGTTTGATCTCCTAGATCAAAATTGATATTAGTTTGTCCAGAAAGTCTACTATTTTAGACTTATTTTGGTTTCGGTTCCAGAAATGTATTTCAAAGTCTACTATCTTTGTTGATTGTTGATAAAGAAGGCTCTGGAACAAAACTAGTGCTCATCTTTTTGAGTCTGGTTCAGAGATGTTCTAAGCAAGCCAGGACCTGGCTTTGGCTTTGATTTACCTCAATAACTCTGAACTAAACTAAAGCTAGTACTTGTCTAGAATCAAATTTAATAATCTGAATAAGTTTTCTTTATAGCCAAAAGGGGAGAGCATTGATTCTGACGCTGATCGGTGAATTTTTCAAGAAAATGGGTCAAAGTTTATTTTGCAAATAGGAAAATTAAGTTAGATTTATTAAGAAGAAATTGTTGATAAAGAATGCTATGAAGCAAAACTTGTGCTCATCTTTTTGAGGCTGGTTCAGAGATGTTCTAAGCAAGCCAGGACCTGGCTTTGGCCTTGATTTACCTCAATAACGCTGAACTAATGTTTATCTAGTTCTCTTTTCTTAATACTATACCTAAATATGTCTAATCCTTAACTAGACATGGTAATTGGTATATTAAAGTCGTTTAAATGATACACAATAACGTAGGATCACATATTATACTGGCCACAACCACTCCATAACCTGATGGATTCATTTGAACTTTGAAAGCTATTTCTTTAAACCTTCATTCACCTCTAAATAGCAAGCTTTAGTAAAGATGACAAGAAAAAGTAAGGAAAAGTTTAGACACAAAAAATCGTGCTGAAAGTTGAAGTTGATTTCCTCATTTACCCTTCTGAGTCTTGCCTCTTCTCTCCTTTCCCTTTTCATATGAATTCAAATTCCCAAGCACTCAAAAAGACCCTATTATTTCTTAATTCAAAGCCAAGCTAAAAATTTCAATTGTCAAGACGCAGAATTTGATGAGATATCGAATCGAATTGAGATATCGATGAATCACCGCTAATTTTGACACCTTTAGGGTCCATTTCAGTAAAAACGAAAAGATTTTTTTCTTAAGACAAACGACATTCAGCCTTGTGATCTGTAATAAGAAAGAGAATGGAAAAGATCGAATGAAGATACATTTGTCGAGGATCGCTTGAGAAATGAGTCTCGAATCGAGGTGAGGAAAGATTACTTTAGAGAAGGGAAATTGATGATTTGAAAGGAATCAAATAGATTTCGGGGACAAAGAATGCATTGGTAGATGATAAAAATAACTATTTTTTTAGAGGAATGCTTCGGTGAAGGTGGTAGGCAAACATTGAGATTCTGGGGAATAGAGGCAGTTTCACTGTGAATTTCGTTTGAACTTGCGGTACCGGAAAATCTAAGAAAACTTCAGTCAAAGAGCAGATGAGGTAACAAAAACAAACTCAATGATTTAAAAAAGGATTAATAGTAGCTCATTTTCATTGGCTTACCAAGCTCTTAAGCTCATTGTCAGTTTAAGTAAACTAAAATTATTATTAAAGCTTTGAACTCTTGAATCAAAACTGTTAAAGCTTTGAGTGACTCAATTGAATTGAAAAGAGAAGACTGACAATGAGTGAATAAGATAAAATAAAGGAAATGGGGAAAGGAAAGGGGAATTTGGTGCAATTGGTGGGTTTGGGGGGAGTGAAGAGATGGGAATGGGATAGAACTGGGCCTCATCGGCTTTCCCTTTGCACCCTAATGAGATATGTATACCCTCTTTCCCCATTATCCCTCAACCAATCATTGCCACTCATCATTTCCAGTGAACCAACAAATTAAACTGTTTAGTTAACTTGAAAATTTGCTATCCATAAGCTTCTAAAGCTAGAAAATGACCCAGTTTAACAAGATTTTCTCAACCTTTGAGCTTTTGCTTTAGGTCAGCTTTTGAAAAAGGAAAAAGGCTAAAAAGTCAATTTTAGTTTTCAAAAGCTCTTTCCGTGGATATTTTTTTGCTTTAGCTGCTGAGTGCCGTGTATTCTGATCTGCACAAGGCTCAAAGCGGATAAAAGAATTAACAATGGAAGGCGACATCTCGGCACCTATTTCAAAGTCGTGTTCTTGGGAGAAAAGCAGTTTGGGTACGAATTAATTAACTAGACTTACTTATCCATTGAGTTACAGGAAATCTTTGCATCAAAGTTCAAAAGTTCGTGAGTTCAAAAAAGATCAATGAAATCAAATTGATCAAATTGACTTAAAACGTTAAAACAGCACAGTAGACAAGAAATTCTTTCAAAAGCTGGTGACCATTTAGGTGTCAATAAGGTCATTTTCCTATCAATAATATGGAAAGATGGGTGGAAAAAGATTAAGATGAGAAAAGAAATGAAATGGAGAAGAAATGGAGAAGAAATGGAGAAGGGGGAGAAGCTCTTCCACTTATCACTTCCCTTCACGTCTTTCACAGGGGAACACGGCCCTAAATCGCCTCACAAATCAGTTTTCTTTATAGCCAAAAGGGGAGAGCATTGATTCTGACGCTGACCGGTGAATTTTCCAAGAAAATAGGTCAAAGTTTATTTTACAAATAGGAAAATAGAAAATAGTTAGATTTAGGAAAATAGTTAGATTTATTAAGAAGAAATTGTTGATAAAGAATGCTATGAAGAAAAACTTGTGCTCTTCTTTTTGAGTCTGGCTCAGAGATGTTCTAAGCAAGCCAGGACCTGACTTTGGCCTTGATTTACCTCAATAACTCTGAACTAAACTAGAGCTAGTACTTGTCTAGAATCAAATTTAATAATCTAGCCAATCAATTCAAACTCTTGCTACTAAATCAAGTTATGAGAATGGCTCTAAATCGAGATTCAATTAGAAAACATGCTTCAGTACTTTTCCTTTTAAAGATTTATCAAATCAACTTACCAACTCGTTGTTTCTTGAGACTGATGAGTGGCTCGAATTCCATTTTCACGAAATTCTCATTTCGTTGATCGGAATCTAATGACGAGGATGGAGTTTCGCTGATACTCATAAATCTAGAACGTCTTGAATTTTGAACAAGTAAAAGGACAAGTAACAAGGACAAGTACAAGTAAGATATTCAAGAGAGAATGTAAAAATGGACATTGATCTGATAGAGTCTACAGCTGTTGTGACCCAAACGAAAGGGATAAGAACTTTTTTTAAAGATTTAGCCTTAAAAAACAATAAGACAAATAGCTTCAATTGATCAGTTTAAGCTCTACTGTGGTTAAAAGATAAGTTTGGATAAGAAAACGATAAATGTTTATAGTTTTAATAGCTAGATCACTTTAAACTAGTGAAAGAGATTGGGATGTGGTTCAAGAATGGCCCCAAGAATGGCCACTTAGTGAACCAAATTGTCTAAAGGGGATCTTTGGGTGCTTTATAGACTTATCATAGTGCTTTAATGATCGATCAAAAGTGAATCAAGCTTCCTAAGAAATAGACTTCTTCTTAAAATCTTTCCCTCAAGAAGTAGCTGACCCAAAACACCCATAAAAATCCGCAGGCGATTGATAAATTTTTATTGTGTTTGCCCATTTTTAAGACTTTGTCTTTCTTCGTGAACTTTGAGCTTTATTTTGAAATCATTTTCTTTAGAAGATATTGTTCAAAAAGGAGGAATTCATGGGAGCACAAAACAGTAGAAATGAAAGAAGAAATAGACGGTGTCAATCATTGAATTGGCTTCTCTTTTTGCTTTCCCTTTAACTCTCCTTCATGAAAAGATTCGGGCATAAACAATGGGAGAAAAATCGGCAAAAAAGACTATAGATGATTGATTTTATGGAAACGGTTGGAAATTGGTAAAATATCAAAGTAAAATCTAGAGTTTAATCTCTAATTAATCTCTAATTACAACTTGAGTCAAATAGGGCTAAGATTTAGCTCTAGCTTCTAACTCTAGCTTTCTTTTAGCATTTTCAAATGAAAAATTTTGAAACAGTACTAGTTTTTTTTTGTTTTAAAGCTACATTACTACTTTAAGGTAAATTAAATTGTCTTTATAATCGTAGCCAGACTTTAATTTTTAAGGAAACTCTTTGCAAAAATACAATTGAGTTAAATGAATGGCCAAAACAAGCTTTCTGGGTGAATAAAATTGTGATTAGATGACTCATCAAAGCACAGAAAGCTCGAGAAGTGATTCCCGGATGAGCAAGATTGTTTAAAACATCTAAAAGGTGAGGGGTTCATTGAGATAGACAAGTTTACAAAGACAAAGAGACGATCATCACTTTTGACGGCCAAATGATTGGGCCATGACAGGGGAACAGGAAAAGAAAGAAGAAAGGCCATTCTTGAACCACATCCCAATCTCTTTCACTCAAAGAAATCAACTTTGTCGAACATTTTATAATGTTGACAAAGATTTGGTTCTTAATCTCAAGTTTGTCTATAGTAGAACAAGCATTAAAAGCAGAGCCGTTTTAAAAGCAGTTTTATTAAAAGAGGAATTTGAATTTGGATCGATTCTCACTAAAATCGAGTGAGAATCGATCCAAATTCCACTTTTAATAAAACTGCTTTTAAAACGGCTCTGCTTTTAATGTTAATGCTAATCAAATTATTGGAAGATTTTGAAAAAATAGATTAGTAGACATGTCAGTAAAGTTGTGATTAACACGTGTTGGATGATCTGGGGAAAGGCTTCATCGAACATGTGCTATTGAGTTCATTCCAAGGACCGCATTCCCATTTCTTTTGTCTTAAAGAAGAAAAATGAACTTTGTGACTTGTGTTTATTGAAAAAAAAGAGAGCTCACAACAAATGATTCATGAAAAATCAAACAACAGATAATTTGTAAAAGAAAATATTAGGAAAAAGTGAGTCGAGAAATTCTTTTGTCGTATAGATTTTGATTGAAAGCATTGAAAGCTTTCATTGTTGTTGCTATTGTTATTTTTGATTCTAGAGTTGATCTGTCTTCGCACTTAGATGTTCCTATTTTGAAAATGACAAAATCATAATTGCATGCAATTCAAGTGTTGATAAAGATTTATTATCACCGTTTTATCATTGTTCTTTTTTGCTTCAAAATCAACGTCTTTTTAAGGCATGGTGATCGCGTCTTAGCTGAAAATTGGGTCATTAAAATGTTAAAATCGAAATTTTTATAAATAAATGATATTTTGTTTATTGCTATTATTGCTAAGTATTGCTTAAAACTCTCCTAAAGCCAAATTGATCATGAAATGCTTACCATTCATTTGGTTAGAAATGAACCAAAGCTTTTCATTGTTTATGAGGAAAAAAAGAGTGGGTAATTTGCTTAATTATCCGTTGTATTCGAAGCACCAAAATTTTTCTCCGTTTCTTTACACTTCTGTTTCAAATGCCGTATTCTCTCTATAAAAACGGTAAATAAAAAAAGCAGTTTTATTGGCAGGGTACTTGTAACTAGGATTTTATAATATCTATTAGAATTATACTGTATTTTCTCTAATAGTAGTGCAACCCGCCGAGCCGAGTTGGTGACTATTTTACGGTTTTCAAGCTTCCGCAGAAGCTCAATACTCAAAACCCGCACTAGATCTCATCGTCAGCTACATTTTCCGATCCCACATCGATAGGTTCTGATAAGCGGTTCTCGAGATTTCGAGGAATTTAGGCGACGCTTAGGGTGCACTACTATTAGAGAAAATAGGGTATGCAGTTTTTAACACATTCGCCACTATACAGCCCACTTTTCTACACTACTATTAGAGAAAATACGGTATATAAAAAAGCAATTTTATTGGCAGGATACTTGTAACTAGGATTTTATAATATCTATTAGAATTATACCGTATTTTCTCTAATAGTAGTGCACCCCGACGAGCCGAGTTACTATTTTACGGTTTCCAAGCTTTCGCAGAAGCTTTAGAAGCAGAAGCAGAAATTGATCACGAACTGCCTACCATTCATTTGGTTAGCAATGAACCAAAGCTTTTCATTGTTTGTGAGAAAAAAAGAGCGGGTAATTTGCTTCATTATTCGTATTCGTATTAGCGTATTAGCTTTTGAATATTAGCGTATTAGCGTATTAGCTTTTGAAACGGTGTTTGCGAGCGACAATGCTGTGGCCCACTTCGAGGCTACACAATGCTGTGGCCCACTTCGAGGCTACACAATGCTGTGGCCCACTTCGAGGCTACACAATGCTGTGGCCCACTTCGAGGCTACACAATGCTGTGGCCCACTTCGAGGCACACATTTGGCCCACTTCGAGGCTACAAATGCTGTGGCCCACCGAGGCTCAAACCACCGAGGCTACACAATGGCCCATTCGGGCTACACAATGCTGTGGCCCACTTCGAGGCTACACATTGCTGTGGCCCATTTCGAGGCTACACAATGCTGTGGCCCACTTCGAGGCTACACAATGCACGTTGTCGATAATTTCAATCGGGTTCGTTTCAAAAGCTAAACGTCGAATACGTATTAATTATCCGTATTCGACGCACCAAAATTTTCCTCCGTTTCTTTACACTTCTGTTTCAAAGATATTCAATGAAATGAGGAAATATTTGTTGCATTTTAAGTTGAGAAACGTTATATCGTAGGCAAATTTCGCATCGTTATATCAAGAATATCGTTATATCGAACATTGAGGGTTGTTTTTTTGTCATTTTATATGAGGCTCACTGAGCATGATCATCATTATATCGAGAGTCGACTGTACTTTTTGGTTTTTTTGAATGAGTTCGAGTGAAAGTGAGATTGAATACCTTGAGACTCCATAGAAGATACACAAATGCTGGGAATGGGCGAGAAATTCAAACTCCAACTGCCTTCAGAAATCGCTGAACCAAAAATTTATGTCAAAGCCATATTCAGACAAGTTCAGACTCAAGTTGAGCTCAGAAAAAAACGACTTTCACTTGAAAATATGAGTGTCGAGTGTTAACAGAGTTCCTCGAATGATCATTTCAAAAGAGGGATTTGAAAAAAAGTTGAAAAGGGAGCTGTTCAAAGGAGAATCTTGCATACGATTATTGGTGAATGAAAAAAAGAGGGGAAAGAAATTGAATGGTGGAAAGGGGATAAAGGGGGCGAGTCTGGGAAGAGTCTGGGAAGAAAGGATCAAACAAAACTATCATCTCCTTTTCCCTTATTCTTGAACTCTTCATCCATTCCCTCACAAAAACAATCTCAAAACCTTTGCTGTTTCAATTATTATGAGCACTCAGCTTTATCGCCTTGAACCACCTTTTTTGGGATGAATATTGTCTAAATAGAAAGACAATAAAATTTTGAAATGAAGTTATTGCAAAATTTCTTGTTGTTGTTATTATATTCACTGAGTGAATCCTATTTTACGAAGGATTTTCGCGAATTTTTGGTTAATATTAATGGTGCTGAGATCGCTGAGTTATTAGAGAGAGTGGATTTACGAGAAAATGGAAGTTTTGGTGGGAAAATCGATGGAATGGAGAAGTTGAAGAATCAGGTCGGATTTCGAGAAGTGCTTTTGAGAAATTGAAATGAATAGGTTAGAAATTGAGAATCTAGAAATTCCATTAAAATCTGATCAATTGTTGTTCTTTGTTTGTATTCTAAAGTCAAATCTAAATGATCTCAAATCGTAAGCGTAAACAAAAGCGTACTGTATCGTCCTTTCTTAAATGAATACTATAAAATCTCTTCAGCCAGTGATCCTTGTCCATGGTGTGATGAGCGATATCATGCGCTTCTTCCCAATCAAACACTTTTACCATCGACAAGGTTATTCAGAGGGTGAGGTGAGTGAAATTTGAATCCCGAATCTTCATGAACTTTATATTCTTATTCATTTTTAGATTTACGGTACCACTTGGGGTAATCCAGATGATTTACTTATCAATGTTACTCTCAAATGTGCATATGTTAAACAGGTATTTAGAAGAAAAGATTCAGAAGAATATTTAGCTATTCTAAAGATTTCATAAATTCTCGTTTCTTTCAGCTTCGTGCTTTCTTTGAGTCAGTTCACAAATACACAAAGAAAAAAGTTGATGTGCTTGGTTATTCGATGGGATCTGTTTTAGCGAGAAAGGCGATTCTTGGTGAACTTTTGTGTAAACAGAGAAGTTAAATGAGTAAATTTGAATGACGGAGAAGTTAAATGACTAAATTTAAATGACAGAGAAGTTAAATGACTAAAGTTAAAAGACAGAGAAGTTAAATGACTAAAGTTTAATGACGGAGAAGTTAAATGATTAAAGGTTAAATCTAGAAAGGTAATATATACAATTTTCAACTAAAAATATCAATAGCAATGACTTTTTCGTTCTAAACTTTCTCTATTTCAGGCGGTAACTGTGAAGGCGAATTGGGTGAACCGCTCACGAAAATTGTGAGTAAATTGATTAGTTTTCATGATGAATAAAGTAATCGGATTTCTTTTAGGTAGACACTTTCGTTTCGGTGGCTGGTTCTAATTATGGATCTTCATACTGTGATGAGTATTCGTATTTCGATGTTTGCAATCCGACAAACGGGCTCAGCTGTGACTCGGAGTTTTTGGTAAGTACAAGAATTTTCTATTATATGTTAAATTTAATCAATAACTTTTAAAAAGATTGAGATTTTCAAAGTTTTATTTATATTTATAGTTCTATTTATCGAATTCGATCAGCAGATGTTCCTTTTCAATCAAAAAAAATCTCGTTTTCTTTTCTAGAAAGAGCTGAACTCTTATCCAAAACGATTCGAAGGCCGGTTCTCTTTTGCAATCGCGAGTAACTTTGATGAAAAGGTTTGTGAAAAGAGGATTTTAGAGGGGAAAGTTTTCAGTTTCGTTTTCAGGTCAAATGGGTAAGAGAAATTCATTCTAAAACTATTTAAAAGTGAATTTATTCCGTTTAGAATATTTAGAATTGTTTAGAATTGTTTAGAATTGTTTAGAAAATGGTTTAGAATTGTTTTGGTGATTTATTTAAGAATTCAGGTTGGCGAGTGGTGTTGTGGGAAGAAGTGTTGCGCTTTGTTGAACTCGAATCGAGAGTTTTGGGGCTATGAGTCAAGCCACGATCGTTTGATGATTGGGTGAGGAAAGTTGAAATCTTAAGATAAAGATTTCTGTAATAAGTAAAGTTTGTAATGTATTAGTAAAGTCTGTAGTGTATTAGTAAATGTTCTGTGTAAGTAAATGTATAAGTAAGTATAAGTTCTGTATAAGTAAGTATAAGTTCTGTATAGGTAAGTCTAAGTTCTGTCTGAGTAAGTATAAGTTCTGCCTAAGTAAGTATAAGTTCTATATATCTGTAAATGCCATTCTCGTTAGTTTTTGGGTATCGAATGTTGAAATTCTCGAGGATCAGTGCGAACTTTCAGCTCTGCTCGTCTCCAATTCGAACTCATCACCAAACATCGTCGTATCAAAGCAAAACTCATCGTTAAACGAAAGAAATCACCGCAAAAGTTTCCCTTCAGCTTTAATAATTCAAATATTGAACGGGAAAGTGCAGAAGAGAATCGAAATTCAAATATTGTCAACTTTGAATCAATTTCTGACTCAATGAAGTCACAACTCCTTGAGAGTTTTTCGAGATTGGATAAAGAAAGAATTAATCTAAAGGGTACAATGGATTATGAAGATTTAGTCAAAGAGAAAGATTTCATTTTAAAGAATCAAGAAAATTCGATAAAAGTTGTTTCTGAAACGTTTCCCAAGACTATGACTTTTGAAGATGAATTGCCAAATTCTCGAGATGAAAAGCTAAAGCCAAACAATTCAAAGAAAACTTCTACAAAGCCACTCTTTTCTCCATTATCATTGCTTTTCGGAAAACCCGATGGAAACGATTTTTCGTTTGGGATCTCTGGTGGACCAAGTTTGAAATCGGGAAAGATTGATTCAAGCGATGGGAAAATGAATGAGGATAAAGCTGATGAATTACAGAAGTTGTCTTCAGGGATCATTGGTGAAGGTGGGAGAGGACCGGGAGAGTTTCGGAAGGAGAACGAGTCAGAGAATCTTCCACAAGAAGAACAAAGCAAAGAGCAGACTCAAGAAGTTCCAAAAGTCGATAGAGATCATCCAGTTTTTATCTCAACTCCTGGAGGAATTGGTGCTGGAAGTGAGCTTGACAAAGTTGATTTTGAAAGTCCTCTTGAAACTGGTAACAGTGCTGGTGAAGTGATTCAAGAATCAGAAGCTTCTGAAGCTGGAATAACAGATGAGCTGTTTCAAGAACCAGAAAGTTCAAGAACTCAAAAAGAACTGGTTCGGAAACGGATTGAGATGACAAAAGGAATGAATGGGAAGATGGAAATAGAAACTAGTCAAGCTAAAGGTGGACAAGAGCGAAATGAGTCACCATTTGAAGAAATCGCTGAGAAAAGCAATGTTTTAAGAAATTCTCGAGTAATTGGGGTGTTTGATGAAGATTTTACTATAGAAAGCCAGACTGAGAACACTTTCCAAGAAATGAAACGAATGGGAATAGCTGGAGTAGGACATGAAACTCTTCAAAATTCTGATCTCATGGAGAATGAGGTTTTAAAAATGATTGCAAGGGAAGGAGCTTCACAATTCTCAGAAACGAATTCGAAAAATGTGCAAATTGTCCATCCAAGACTGTCAACAATTACAAAAATCTCGGAAAAAGATCTTATGGAAAAATTTGGACCGAAAAACATGATCATCACTCGAGTAGAGGCTTCTGAATTACAAAAGAATGAGTTAAAATCAGAAAAAATACTAAAGAATTTGATTATCAAAGATTTACCGGATAAAGTGATTGAGATTGATACGGCGAAGAGAGATTTGATTGAAATGCCGAGTCAAAACGATTATGCAATTAGAACCGAGTCAAAACCAATAATTCATCATCAAAAACGACACAGTACTCACAAATTACCCATCAAGAAATTCAAGCGAAGAAAAGTTTCTCATTCTTCTGAATTGCAGAAAAATGTGGATAAATCATTGAAATATAAAATGAAAAAGCAGAAAAGAAAAAGATTGAGAAAAACGAGACGATCAGCGAGGACATCGAAGGGGAAAGGATTTGAAATTCATCAATATCCAATTGTGAGAATTGAACGACTGAAAAAGCAACGATCAACGGGAAAAGAATGACATTTTTGAGAGAAAATCGTTTGATTTTACTCAAATTTCTTTTTGCCATTCTCATTGTTGCTCAGTTTTTTTTCTTGTTGAATAAAATGATCAAAAATCAGTACGCAAACAATAAACTTGGTGTAATTTTATAATTCCAAAGTCTAGAATAGCATTTGAAGATCGATTTTCAAAATTTTCGCAGAGTTCAACTATTTTAGACTATTACAATTTTCTAAAAATTTATTGATCCAGTCATTTTGTGAATCTAGATAGCATCAGAAAGACATAGAGCTCATGTTAACAACTAGGCTAGTACCAAGTTTGACCCAAGCTTGAGATTTTGAATATTTAAAGGTGGATAGGTTTCAAGGTTATTTTGACTTAAATATTAGGTTGATGAATAAGTCTTTTCCTTTCTTTTCGTACTTTCGTTCAAACCAACAAATGCATCAATAACTATTGTTTCATTAGGAAGAAAACATTTCTATACCAACCTAACAGTGATTTTCTACTTGCTAAATAATAGTTAATGTAGTCTAAAATTAAAATACAGTACCAGCTCATTGTCAACTTATAACAATCTGCTGTTCTCTTTTCTTTTTACATACATATTAGTGAATCTATTCCATCTACAGTCATCAGGTTTACTTATTGAAAGGGTTTTGGTTAATTGTTGGTTGGTTGGTTGGTTGGTTGGTTGGTTGGTTGGTTGGTTGATTGGTTGATTGGTTGATTGGTTGGTTGGTTGGTTAGTTGGTTGTTTGGTTGGTTGTTTGGTTGGTTGGTTAGTTGGTTGGTTGGTTGGTTGATTGGTTGGTTAGTTGGTTGGTTGGTTGTTTGATTGCTTGGTTAGTTGGTTGGTTGGTTGTTTGATTGCTTGGTTAGTTGGTTGGTTAGTTGATTGTTTGGTTGGTTGATTGGCTGGTTAGTTGGTTGGTTGGTTAGTTGGTTGGTTGGTTGGTTGATTGGTTGATTGGTTGGTTGGTTGGTTGGTTGGTTAGTTGGTTGTTTGGTTGGTTGATTGGTTGGTTAGTTGGTTGGTTGGTTGTTTGATTGCTTGGTTAGTTGGTTGGTTAGTTGATTGTTTGGTTGGTTGATTGGTTGATTGGTTAGTTGGTTGGTTAATTTTGATTAATTTTAAGTTTTGTTAACTCTAGTTTGACAAGATCTAAAGCTAAAGAAGAATTTGACTATTAAATTAGTTTTTGTGTAGTTTTCTGATGTTTTTATATTGTATTTAGATTCATTAAAGTTTATTATCTATCAAAATCGCTATCATTATAAAAAGTTTTTTCGTTTTTACAAAGAAAGAAGAAAAAGCGGAATTGTTGTTTTGAGAAAATGAAATAAAGGGAAAAAAAAAGAAATAAACGATCACAAATCAAGAATGGCTGCTGGTCTTGGAAAAGAAATCGAGAAAAATCAAAAATTTATAAAAATCTTTACACTTATTGCATTGAAACAGAGGGGAAGGATTTAAAAATAAAATAAAAAATAAAATCGAGTTTTTCATTTGAATGAAATGAGCATTTGAGATCAGACATCGATCGGACAATTAAACCGAACTGAAAATATTAAATTAAATTAAATTTCAATCCCAAATTGTCCTCAAATGAGCGAGTTTAGTGCGCCAGAAAGGATTCGTTTTCATTTTTTGAGTATAAAGTACATTAGATAAGCTTCTACATAGTTATGAATTGCTCTCACATTCTTGCACTTTCTGGAATCCCTGTTTGATACGAGAGATGAGAAGTGACTCCTCTCGCCATTTCATTATCATCGGGATCCATTTCAACACGGTTTTCTAGAAATAAAATGATTTAGATTAAGAATCGGAGTTGATTATATAATACTTTAAAGTTTAGTTGTTATTTCTAAAGTAGTTGATCAATTAATGTCTATTTTAATGTTAATGAAATGTTGTTTAAACTAGCTTCTGACAAAATAGACAACATTATACTTTAGTTCTTTTTATTGATCTCAGATTTGAACTCACGTCTTTCCTGAATATTCTGTTTCCATCTCTCCAACTCCTCCAATTGTCTCACTTGCTCTTGTTGCTCCTCGTTGCAGATAGATTGATAAACCTGGAAAAGAAAAGCTCGGTTTAATTGTCCGATCGATGTCTGATCTTAAATTTGTTAAAAAAAAAGAAAACTTAAATCTAGCTAAAATTATTGCGGAATGCGGATTTCAAAATTTTCATAAATTTCCAAAGATAGAAGTCTAATATCGATAAATGTTATGTTATAAATGTTATAAACTATTTGAAAGTTGTAAATCTCCTCTATAAAACACGCTCAAACACGTTTTTCAATTGATTGAAACATTGAAGAAATTTCGAGAGCGAAATGCGAGTGAAGGAGTCGAGTCACTTTAGGGACAAGTTTAGTGTGGTCAAAATAGAGTTAGCTTCCCAAAATTGAAGATTTAAAAAGGAAAAGGATAACTATATATGAATTCATTAAAAAAAAGTCAAACGGAAATGCATTTACAGAAATTTAGATAGAGCGTAAGTTCAAAACCCTCAAAATTGTCAAAAAAACCGGCTTTTTCACAAAAAAAGGAAAATTATTGTAAAAACAAAAGTTTTCCCATGAAATGATCCCAACTCTTAATTTTGAATGATATTTGAATGGAATGGGATATTTAGGGCCCTCATTTTCCACTATATAGTCAAAACCGAACTCTTGTGAAAGTGCGGTTTTCAAAAAGTGCTCTTTTTTGGTCACTCGCCGGTCAGTGATAGAAACCTGATATCGATGAATGTTATGTTATAAATCTTATAAACTAATTGAAAGTTGTAAATCTCCTCTATAAAACACGCTAAAACGTTTTTCAATTGATCGAAACATTGAAGAAATTTCGAGAGCGAAATGCGAGTGACCAGAAAAGGGTACTTTTTGAAAGCTCACAAGAGTTCGGTTTTGACTATATAGTGGAAAATTGCCGGAAAATATCATTCAAAATAATTAAGAGTTGGGATCATTTGATGGGGAAACTTTGTTTTTAGTCAAAGTGGAAAATGACTGCCCTAAAATATGATACAAAATAATTCCAAACATTCATCGATATCAGTTTTATGTTTATGAAAAATGTTGAAATCCGCATTTCTTATTCATCTACCTAATAGATTGAATAATAAAAAAAAAGTTTAGAATAAAAGATACATCATAAGAGACAGGAGTCCCATCAATCCAGTTATTCTCTCGTTCTGCTGATCTTTCATCCAAATATGTGAACACATCGGGAGTGCCTGTGACGAAAGAGATTCGACTCACCTGAAAAATTGGGATAACTTTTCAATAGGGATCTTTCTTTTGCTTTAAACTAAGATTGACATCGACTATGACAGCTTTATAAGTGATTTACAATTGCAAAACACCGTTAGCTGGACCTTTCTGGGCAGCATTCTGTTTTAAATGTAATCGATTGTGACATTCTTGAGAAGCAAAAAGCTTTAAGTTTTATTTCAAAGCTAATCTTAGGTGGTAACTTTTGAATTTGTTGAGATCATCTATACTCTCCAGTGTCAAACCTGTCTCTCCGTTCTTCTTTGTTTTCTCTTCTCTGGTGGATGGAGGATTGACGAGGTCGAGGCTTCCATCAGATCAACAAACTCGAATTTTGGCTGCAATGGAAATAATGAATGTAAGACTGCCGGACAGAACTTTAGCTTTGAGTGAACAAAGAACTCTAACTAAAATCCAGTTAATCCCATGCTTACTATAGAAATTTAAGCATTTAAAGTCCTAATTTTGCATTGAACTCACATTTTCACTCATAGCTTCAAGTAGAAGTGGAATATCCTCTTCCATGACGAGTGAAATGAGAGAATTCCGAACGGGATTTCCATCGCCAGCCATTAAGGCCTAAATTCGATTTTAAAAACAAGAAAAATAGTTGATTCGTTGAATTGAAAGCCATATTCAAAAGTAAACAAAAGATGAAATCAAAAGATGAAATTTTTGTTATTTGAAAGCTTTAGAAGATGAGCTGGTCAATTTTGATTGTTAGAAAGTAAACTGACAATGGATTGATTGGGGAAAGAGTGGAGGAGAGTGAGTGGGGGAACTTCTTCATCCTCGGAATCATCGCTCAGATCGGGCATCTAGAACAATAAAGATAACAAAAATCAGCACAGCAAATGCAAATTATTAATTCATTTTAAAGAAAACTGTAAATAAAATCAAGGGTGTATGGGCAAAACGTGGAAAGTTTCAAAAGGGAATGGAAATGGACCCTCTGCTAGCAGAGATCTCGATCCATAAACCATCCGAATCACCAACTCAATGTTTGCTTCGATTACAGTAGGATTACTGTAGTCAATTCTATCTATCTATCTACGATAAAACAGAGTAAGATTAAGTTTAAAACTGTCCACATTTTAGAAAACGGTTTTCCAAGAAACACACTAGGGTAAAGCATATTCAGCTTTGATTTGATTTCAAAGCCAGCTTTCTCATTCCAAAGCCAGCTTTCTCATTCCAAAGCCAGCTTTCTCATTCCAAAGCCAGCTTTCTCATTCCAAAGCCAGCTTTCTCATTCCAAAGCCAGCTTTCTCATTCCAAAGCCAGCTTTCTCATTCCAAAGCCAGCTTTCTCATTCCAAAGCCAGCTTTCTCATTCCAAAGCCAGCTTTCTCATTCCAAAGCCAGCTTTCTCATTCCAAAGCCAGCTTTCTCATTCCAAAGCCAGCTTTGAAATCAAATCAAAGCTTTCATTTCAAAGCTGAATATGTCAAAATGGCAAACCAGAAGACAGATGTCAAAATGATTTTATTGCAAAAGTCTATAAGCTTAAAGCTGGTGTACAATTTTTTAAGATCTACACATAGTATTTTGTATATACCTTTAGAAAATACAGTACTTTAGCTAGAGTACTGTATTTTCTAAAGATCTTTAAAGTTCCAGCTGTCTCACTACAGTAAACCAGAACAAATTCAGCATATTAGAGTGAGATTATCTTTAAAAATTCCCCAACAACTTATCATCAAAAGCTAAAATTTCTTTAGCAAATACTACAAAAATTGTAATGAACCAAAATGACATCTGTTTTCTAAAGTACAAGTTCTCAGGGTAAATTCAAAATCAAAAGGCATGCCTGTAGTTTGATCGGCATCTCGACAATCGCCTCCTCTTTCTCTTTCTCCAAATGTTTCTTTATCGCTTCCTCATCCGGGATTTCTTCCACTTCTTCTTCCTTTTCCTCCAACGAATCCACATCAAACTCTCTTTCGATCACTTTTCTCGTGATCACTTCTATTTTCTCCTCTTTCTCCTCTTTCACTTCTTTGAAAAACGTGTATTTCCCGGTTTTTCTCCCGTATGGTTCTTCTTCTTCAACACTGTAATCGGATTGAGATGAATTAACGGAAACGGCTGAATCAGAGGTTGAAGCTCTTCCCCTCCTTTCTCCTGATTCTTGATTCTCTTCTTGAATATCTCCATTCTCTGATACTTCAGTCCCCTCATCTTCGGATTCCTAAAGAAAACACACTGTTGTTTGAAAAGAGTTTAGTCGTTAGTCGTTAAGGAAAAGTTATAAAGTCATGCGGAAAAAGTGACAGCAATTCTCACTATCAGTCAATCAATCAAGTCAAGTCTTACGCTGAGTTCTCGTGAGTGAATCATTCGTGGTGCGGGTTGGGGCTGCAAATGAAAGAGAAAAGATAATGTGGGGGGGAAAGACACTCAGCTCAATTTTGAAAGAGTCAAAAAAAATGGTTATTTAAGAGTTAATTGTTAGTACCAATGCTAATTTCTTAATTTTTAAAAATATAAAATATAAAACTGGATAAAATAAAAGATCTTTCGTCAAAATTGAGTTCTATTTCAAGTTTCAAGTTCTAGTTCAACCTAATAGTAAAGTTCACTTGCTATCGAAAGTTTAAGAATATGAGCTTTAGAATTAAGTTTAAAGCTAATCAGAGAGTTACTAGTATAAACCTAGAGGAAACTATGTCGTTAAAGAAAAGTCTTTGAAACAAATTTCTAGTCTAAGCTCTAAAATTAGAATCTAATGAAAGTAAACCTTTGGTTGATTCTATTCAAGTTCTGGATAAAATATAAGATCTTCGTCTTTGGCATTGGTTTAAGTATCCAATTACTTCCTAGTACAAAGTTTTATCTTAAAGAAAAGTCTATAAAACATTCAACGAAACTTCCGGGAAGGTCAAGATTTTAAAGGAGAAACTCTGTCGTTAAATATTATCTATCATAGAACCACTAGAGATGTCTAGATTAAGGAAATGTAAATGAAAATCTTGATCAATTTACCGTTCTAACAGTGGCATCATCTCCATAGGGTTTTGGTGAGAGAAGAGCTGGGGGCAGAGTTGTGATTGGTGGTGGAAGTGGGGGCAATAGATCGATCTGTTGTCGTGCTTGTTGTTCTAAAAACTGGGCGCTCAACGATTTTCGAGTTTGCATTGATGACTGCGAATCGGTGATTGAAGGCTCGATTCTGAAAAGAAGATTGAGATGAAGGTGTTTTGAAATAGGCAATTGGTTTCCAAGGCCAAGCTAGATCTTTTGGCAATCTTGCATTAGAATCAAGTTCAAGATTTATTAGTTTTTAACAGCTGTACCTCTTTTCCTGAACAGATTGACTTGGTGGTGGAGGTGGCGGTGGAGCGGGTCTCCTTGTCGGTGATGGCTCTGTAGCTTTTGAAGCTCCATCTAAAAAAATTAATATAATTGAGTATTGTTAGATGATTTTCTTTTTCCCTTCATTTCTAGTGATAACTCACAGTCTCGCAACGCGGCGGAACTCCAGTGAAAGTTAAATCTTGACGTTGATTCAACAACACTCATCTAAGAATGGATAAGGCTTAGAGAAAAGGAAAAGATAAGAGAATTCGAAAAATGAAAACTTGAGAAACAAGGAAACAGGGAAACAAGTTATTTTAATAAACAAGTAGTTAAAGAACAACTTTTTGAACTTTACCGTATTTTCTCTAATAGTAGTGCACCCCGGCGAGCCGAGTTGATGACTATTTTACGGTTTCCAAGCTTTTGCAGAAGTTCAAGACTCTAATCATCGTCAAGATCTCATCGTCAGCTACATTTTCCGACCTCACATCGATAGGTTCTGATAAGCGGTTCTCGAGATTTCGAGGAATTTAGGCGACGCTCAGGGTGCACTACTATTAGAGAAAATACGGGATTCGGCGATCACTGGATTCAGCTAAAACTATAGTAATCTAGAAATTATATGCCTGAGAAAGAGGTATGACCTCACAGATGTTAGAGTGCACTACTATTAGAGAAAATACGGTACTATGGTCAGGAACTCTGGAAAGTCTAAGAAAAAATAATTTCTACTTAACAACTTTAAAGTTTTAAGCACTAATCTCAAATTTTCCAGAAAATTATGAAAACTACTGTATCAAGAAGAAAAAAAGCAAAGTGATTGAGAGAGATCATTTATTTTTTTTGGGACAATGGGCGTCGCACGCCCTATTTTGGGCCATGTAGACTGAGAAAGGACAAAAAAAATGAGGGAAAAAGATAAGAATGTTTGGTTTTCCTTTTGGAGTCAGCCAAAGAAAAAAGGTTTTCATGTGTTTCACCATTTTTAATATATCCGTGAATGTGTGAAAGGAAAAAAGAATGGCGTTTATGGGGAATGGCGAAAGAGAAAAGAACGCTTGGGGGAAGGGGTCGAGAAGTTCCGGGAAAATTTAGTTGGCTATAGATTAATTCAAAGAAATTCCGGGTAAGGGCTGTTTCTAAGTCTTTAGGCTAAGCCAAGCTAAACCAGAGCCAGACCAAATATCAGTCTTGGACTGGGCTTTTGATTTTTGGTAACACTGAAGTTAAGAATGTACACTAGATGGCTTTTAGATTTTACAGGAATTATCTTGTAGTTATTTTCTTGTAAATCTTACAATTTGTATTTAAGTTGGATCGGTTAATTGATTCTACTCAAGTTCTGGATAAAATAAAAGATCTTTCGTCAAAATTGAGTTCGATTTTCAACCCAATAGTAAAGTTCACTTTCTATTGAAAGTTTGAGAATATGAGCTTTAGAATTAAGTTTAAAGCTAATCAGAGAGTTACATTATAAATCTAGAGGAAACTAAAAGAAAAGCTTGAAAAAAAGCAACCTAAAATTAGAACAATGAGTAAATTGGTTACATTGGTTTAAGTACCAATTACTTCCTAGTAAAATTTTATCTTAAGAAGTCTATAAAATATTCAACGAAACTTCCGGGAAGGTCAAGATTTTAAAGGAGAAACTCTGTCGTTAAATATTATCTATTATAGAACCATTAGACTTGAGACGTCTAGATAAAGGAAATGTAAGTGAAAATCTTGATCAATTTACCGTTCTAACAGTGGCATCATCTCCGAAGAATATGAGCTTTAGAATAAAGTTTAAAGCTAATCAGAGAGTTACTAGTATAAACATAGAGGAAACTATTTCGTTAAAGAAAAGTCTTTGAAACAAAGTTCTAGTTCTCTAAAATTTTAGCTCTAGTTCTAAGCTCTGAAATTAGAATCTAATGAAAGTAAACGTTAAGCATTGGTTTAAGTATCCAAGTACTTCCTAGTACAAAGTTTTATCTTAAAGAAAAGTCTATAAAATATTCAACGAAACTTCCGGGAAGGTCAAGATTTCAAAGGAGAACATGTTAGTTAATAATTTATTTGACAAATTTTGTCTTTGAGAAAAGTGGAGGTGGAGAAACTGGAAAAAAGTTAAATTTGGGTTTTTGAGAAGAGCAAAAGAGAGGGGAAATAATATGGGATTATAAAATTGAATTTATTTAAAGTTTCTGATGTAAATATCCATTTCTCATTATCGACAATTCATATATATTGTTGTTTTTGAGAGAAGAAGATGCCCTATTCGTGATTATGAATCAGTAAAACAAAGAGAAATAGAAAACAAAATGAGAAGGTGCTAGAAAATAAGATTTTTCAACACTGTCAATAAAAATGTTACCGTAATCTTTTCCTAAAGATTTTAAGTAGTACAAGTGTTGCCAGTAGAAGTGTTAGCGTGTTAAGCGGTAGAAGTGTTGCCAAAAAGTGCAACGGTTGAGGTATAACTCATTGAACAATGTGTAAAAGAGAAATATAAATTGAAGTAAAAAGAATAGAACAATACCTATAGGAAATAGAATGGTAATGCGGTAAACATTGTTCACAAATTCTCTATAGAATTCCCCTCAATGATCACTTGGAGGGTTTATTGAGAGCTCTCATTTCTGAGTGAATGAGAGAAAGAGTAGGAGAAAGAGAAAGAGAAAGAGGAAGAGGAAAGGGACACCAATTGCGCAGGTGTGTAAGCACCAATCTGGGATTGAAAGGAGAAGAAGCAAGGAGAGAAAAAGGGGAACAAACGGAAGTGTTACTGACAGCTTTCCTTCACAGCCTATCCATTGGGTGACTTGATTATTCAAGGATAGAGACTAGATAAGTCTCTATGTCTCAATTCAAAGTAAGCTAGAGAGCTAGAGCTTCCTTTGGATTGAATGTGGTTGGATTAAAGTAAATGGATTTATCAATGATTGATCAAGGCTTTGGCAGGAAAATAAAGCTAAACTTTTTGTTTAGATTTTAGATTTTAATTATTTGATTTAATGATTTGATTTAATGATTTGATTTAATGATTTAATTAATTTATTTGATTTATTTTGGATAACCATGACAAAACGAAGGCCAGATGAATCATTTCAGAATGAGGAAAAAATTGGAATCTTTAAGGGGAGATGTCTTGTCTGAAATCTTGTCTTGCGAATCTTGAATCTTGTCTTGCGTCGACAACTGAATACTCATTTGAGTTTTAGATTTTAATATAGAAAAAAAAAAATCAAAACCTCCGTAACGTTCAACTAACTGTCTCTATCAGTCCAATTTCTTGAAGAGAAATCTTTTTATTTTGCAAATAAAACCCTCATAAAAGTTATGGGTTTGGGAGAGAAGCGAAATTTTGAACTCGTTTTGAGAAAAGTACGAAAGAAAAGTATTTGTGGTGAAGGGAAAGGAGCTCGAGTAATTTAGAAATAAGAAAAATTTGAATGTTTCAAGTTTTGGAAAGATAATAAGTGGATTTTGGTGGAATTTTTGCTGAAATAAGTAAATGGAACCTTTCCTTGAAGCTTGTTCATGGGTTCAGCGCATCAGAAAGAATGCATTTGTATCGCAAGAGTACGCACGAAAGCTATTTGGTACGGGGAAGATCTAGAACTTAATCTACCAGGCAAATCAACCATAAAAAGTATAGCATTCATTTTGATTTCTATCAAAATTTTCGTAACATCTTTTCAAGTCATAAGCGCCTTAAATATTTTAATCTCTGTCTAAAATCGAAAATTTTAAAAAAGATCGAGACGAAAAAGAGAAGAAAAAAGAAAAATAATGTGTGAAAATCTAAGGGAATTTCTATTGAAATGTGCTAAAATTCTTGAATTCAATGAAAAAAGAAAAAGAAGTAAGAGGATTTCGAAAGATTAGAACACTTTACTAATTTGTTGAGAATTGAACTTTGGTGATCAGAAAGAGGGAGAGATTTTAAGGATCGAACTTTGGAATTTACCAAAACTGGCATACTGAACGCTTTAAATAAACCCAGTAGAATCGTAGAGCAAATCAAATCCAGGTCTTAGTCTACAAAGATATTTAACTTGACTCCCTCTATCCGAATTCGTCACTTGTTTTGCGTACGTAGACCAAAAGACCGGATAAATGGAATTGTCGCGAATATGTTAAGGATTTACTAATATTATCAATGGATCCAGGTCCTAGGAAAGGACTTTTGACCCAAGTCAGACCAAGATCAGATTAGATTAGATCCCAGCCAGAAGCCAGCGACCAAGTCTATAGTAAACCGAAGCCAGATTTGCCAAAACTGTCTTCAGTATACTGAACGCTTTAAATGAAAAATTTTAAATCCAGTAGAATAGTAGAGCAAATCAAATCCAGATCTTAGTCTGTTAGCTTAAATTACAGTGATGGCAGCTTTGGCAGCTTTTCAACGCCTTTATCCTGCGCCACTCTCGATCTTTTTACTAATTTATCGATAATTGAACTTTGGTGATCAGAAAGAGGGAGAGATTTCAAGGATTGAACTTTGGAATTGTACTTTTTAGCGTAAATTCGAATCTCTGAACTAAAATATTGACTTGACAAGGTCAAGTACCGTAAATACTGTAATAATACCCCACCTCCCTCGTACAGTCGCGTAGTCGCAAAAGTTTTTTAGTATTTCGTTTTTTTCAAAGCGCCCGTACTTTCAAAAAATACGTCTTTGGTATCAAAAATAGAGCTGAAATTCAGGGCTATTTTTTGATACCTAAGCGCGCATTATAGCATAAACCAGTGTCGAGAAAAACTAGTTCAAAGCTAGACTACGCAACACTCAGCACCGTCATTATAGGGGTGGGGTACTATTACAGTATTTACGGTAGCTTTTATTCAGCTACTAACAGACAATCCTTAGGGAAGAGTGAGCTCATCTTGGTCCAAACTTGCCTGCTTTCGATTAGATGTTTATTTATTTGATTTTATTGTTTTAATAAGGTCAACTACGATGCTTAAAAGTGATTTTTAGGGATTTCGGATGTTTAGAGAAAAAGAAAACGGAAAAGAAACTCATTGAAATGTGTTTTGTAATCCGGGTAACATCCAACCGTGAAATGACCTAAAAACCATCGCAAAAACGCATAAAA